CCCCCCCCCCCCCCGAACTATCAGGGCGCGTGCCAAATCGGCCGGTCGGGTAGGATCGGTATGCAGTAGAAAAGGGCATTCGAGGGCAGACATACGGTCATAAACTCCTTCAGCTGCTTCCGCTCCATGCGGGCAGCGAACTCGCGCTGCTCGTTTGCGTTGAGGCTGTTGCCATGGTATTTGTCAGTCTCGGGATCGGCCAGCAAAATTGACACGCTGGATTCAGTCTCGATGTCGATTGCTTGAAGACATACCCGTCCATTATGTGTGATAGATATTGAAATGTTTAAACGTGGTTCGTTGATGGAGTTGAACGTCTGGGTGTAAAATAACAACCGGTTCGGCGAGACGTGGAGCTCCGAAGCTGCGTCTCGGCGCAACTACGTTTGTCCGCGGACCGGGAAGCTGATCACGTGAGAGATGACATGGATCGAATCGATCATCTCAGATAGATCACATGACCTTCTTCGAAGCCCAGTCACCTGATCGGTCGTTTGCGGTGGAGTCCATCAAAGGGCCGTGTGGAAGAGTCTCCACAGTCCAATTAGACACTTGGCTACGGATTTGGAGAAGAGCGGCAGCTTAAATTCTGAAGCCAGAGAGATAATGATAATCAAAGATATCTATGTGCTGATTTTCCTCTGTCACAAGTCAACATTCTATCTGTTTTTTGAAGTCTTACCTTGAGGTGGATTAGATATGGTCTTGGACCTACTCGTCAAGAAATTCTGCCAGAGGCTCCAAGTTACGGAACGCCACTGTCCTTATTCAGGTGTCTCAATAGTCTAGGCGACTCGGACGACGATAGAATGACTAGTTGCTAGTTATATTTTTTCCTCCAATTATTATTGTGTGGATCTGTATAGTTATTACCATCTCTTTACTCTGCTAGGCTCGTTAGCCGAGGTGGTGTGGTGCCTGAGGACCCCCACACCCGGGTTCCTGGATCCGGTCATTCGAGACCCTCCGAACCCTTTTTTCCTTCAAAAATGGCCCCGTCCAGACACTCCAGCCCAACGGTCCCGGAGGTTTCGAGTGCTATTAATAAATTGGAGACCAAGGATAAGGCGACGGTACGACTCAAGTATCTACAGTACTCGCAGACTTCCTGGAAACGATGAACGAGAAGCATATCCTGCCATTCTGCGCTCCGTGCTCCATGCTCCATGCCCAAAGCTATCTACACTACTACTCCACAAGGGCCTTCTCTCCGTATACTTCCAGAACAAGTCCGTAAACCTCCCACGCTGATCCATACTACATACCCTTATTCTTTTTCCTCCATATTTTTCATTAATTTCGTCACGATTGACTGCACATGGCAGTTCCGATAGACTCGGAGGCGCGCGCATACGGTCCCGTTTCATGTAGAGTCCCCAATCCTAGTTCCTGGGTTCTCGCCATGACTACTCCCTCTCCCTTTACGCTTGACTCTTTCCCTCCTTCGTGCGGCTCTCTCCTTTCGCTCTAGCCTTTGCCAATCACTGGGGTCTACGTATCCTTTGCTGACCAGACCGGCCTCCCTTTTAATTCCTCTTTGTGCAAATTCATGGTGAGCACACGCTTGGACATCGTCGACCATTTGCGCCTGGTGGGTTTTGCAGACGAACTACACTTCGATCACAGCTCAGCTGGGCTGATCCAACGCTCGATCCTCATCCCTCCTTGTCTTTCTCTTTCTATACTCCTACTCCCCGTTCCTTTCCCATTACTAATCAACAATTGCCAACCACCAAAACATTGGGCTTGGGTCCCGAGAAGACTGCAGTTGTGGCTCGTGCCCACCTCCAACCCAATTTGACCCAAAAAAAACCATCGAAACTGTTTCCCCCCCCTCCTCGACCACTTCGACCACTTCGAACCAATACCCACTCCCTTTTGATCCCTGTCGCATCCCTTCTTCATCCTTTCCTCTTTTCACACTTTTATCTTCCCTCCTCTTCTGCATTAGTCCTACTCCCTTCAATTCATCTCCACCTCCTCCCTCCTTGTGCGATCAGCTTGAGAAACCCCGTTCGTTTGCCACCGCCATCCTGGACCCAGCCCCAGGATTTCCACTGGATCCTCTCTACACGAGGGCGGTGACGCAGGCCCTTCGACGTTCCCGCGATCATCCCCCCCATTCCCCTCCACACTCTGGATTCGAACGGCCGTAATCCTTTTCGTCGATTTCCTCGCTCTACATCCCTCGTAACTCCTCGACCCGGTTCCGTTTCTCTCGATCCCGGTTCACCATGGTGACCGGCAAGTCGCAGCCAGGCGTCGAGCCAGTTCAGCTCCCTGCCACCTCCCCTGACCCGACCGGCTCTAACTCCCCGCCTTCCAAGCGAGATTTGGCATCTTGGTGGAGGCAGTTCAAACGAAACACGAGGAAAGACGAAGTTAAAGGTACGTGGTGTTTGATAATGCTCCGAGGAACCCGGGGGCGCGCAAAATGTTGGCGCTCAGCCCGCTGGCTTCTCTGCGTTGCGACCTGACTTTGTCTGCGCACCGCTGCAAATCGCGATTTCCTGGAGCGGCGCGACTTGGGGAGGAGTGACAAGATATTGGTTTCCTCTCGTCTGGCGGAGTGGATCACCATCCATCCCGGAGGCTTTGTCTCGCCGAGTGGGGATTGTCTTTACTGGGAAACATAAGCTGACCCGTTTTCTTGCAATAGAACCACCTCGAGGCATCTTCGGTGTACCACTAAATGTCAGCATCAAGTATGCGAATGTGGCTATCTCTCTAACCGGAGAACATGGCAAAAGCCATATTTACGGATACGTTCCCATCGTCGTTGCCAAGTGTGGCGTGTTTTTGAAGGACCGAGGTACGCAAAAGCAGAGCTAACGTTCTTCTGCCGACCCGTTGGTACACTGCTAACATCATCTTATATAGCTACGGATGTAGAGGGCATCTTCCGCCTTAACGGCTCTGCCAAGCGCATTAAAGACTTGCAGGAAATCTTCGACTCCCCCGAACGTTACGGAAAAGGCCTCGATTGGTCCGGATACACCGTGCACGATGCCGCCAACGTCCTACGTCGATACCTCAACCAGTTGCCCGAGCCCATCGTTCCTTTAGAGTTCTATGAGCGGTTTCGCGAACCCCTACGTGTGTACCAAAGACAAGCACTGGACCAGGGAGAATCGGCCGCGGCTGAGAAGTTTGATCCCGCCCAGGCCGTCGAGACCTATCAGCGCCTGATTGTCGAGCTTCCCCCGTTGAATAAGCAGTTGCTTCTCTATATTCTGGATCTCCTTGCCGTCTTTGCATCCAAGTCGGATCAAAATCGCATGACCTCGGCCAACCTTTCGGCCATCTTTCAACCCGGAATGTTGTCTCACCCACAGCATGACATGTCGCCAGAGGAGTACAAGCTGAGTCAGGATGTGTTGATTTTCCTCATCGAGAACCAAGATCACTTTTTGGTCGGAATGAGTGGCACCACTCCCGATGAGCAGCAAGTCAAAGAGGTTGAAGCTGGCCTTCAGCCTGCCGCATTCTCCAAAGAAGTCGAGGGCGGCGTTGTAGCTCGCCCCTCACCAACTTCAAACATTCGACGATCTGTCTCCAATGCGAGCGGTAGCAATGAAGGTCACCGCAAGATCGACAGCATTCGGAGGAATGTCTCCGTGTCATCTCGAAACTCCCGCAATTCTCGTCATTCAAACAATGCTCCCAGTCCTGGCACACCCACCTCGACTTCGGGTGGTGGTGTTCATCGAAGCAACACCCTTCCCTCCAAGATGGGCCCCGTGGTGACATCGGCCCGCTTTGCCCGCGTTGGGGAAAGCGGCTCCGCCAACCCCTCGGGTCTCTCTGTTTCGCATCACAGCTCTCGATCCGGGAGTCAAGCGCCCTCTCTGCGTGAAGAGTCTGAGCAGAGACAGCCCGGCACTGCCACGCCGGGAACTCCCACCAGAAGTACCTTGGTGCATACATCAACGCATGGTCCTATACCAGTCGCGACAGCCGAGAAGCTCAATATCGTTGATCGCACTGTGCCCCAGGACAATCAGCAAACGCAAAATCCTCCTCAAAGTCCTCCACCTGCTACGCTCCCTCCACAGAGCATTCAGCTGCAGGGATTACCCACTGCCGCGTCTCCACCTCCTCAGGTTGTAACACCGAGCCGGGAGCGAAAGTTAGCCAACTTCTTTACTAAATCTCCACCTCCCGAAGGAGAGACTCGACAGCCTAATCGGCTTAGGAAAAAGCGTATTCCAGGCAGTGCAAGCATCAGTGCACAGAGCTCCACCAACTCTCTCGATCCGCACTGGGACACACCCTTGGAATCAACTTCACAGCGCAGGTCTTTTGACGGTGCTGTGGGAGATACTACGCCGAAGCCACCTAACACCGCGACGCTGAGCAACCGTGATGCAACGCCCGAATCAACTCCCACGTTGGGCGATAGCTCCTCGCACCCCAACACGGAGAACTCCTTGAGGCCACACCAGTCGCGTACGCCATCAATGAACTCTCGGTCATCATTCACGGACCATTCGGATCTGGAGCAGCCCGAGGATGGCTCGCGTTCCGACCGTCGAGAAAACCGACGCAGCTGGCGGTTCCATCGCTCGGCGAAACGCAGCAGTGAGCAGATCGGACTGGGTCTTGCCTCTCCTCCCTTGATTGCTTCAGATTCTGGCGCTGAGAAAAGTACTACCTCCTTTGGGAGCGGGTCGTATCAAAGCAACGATCCCTCCAGTCAGCCTTTGAGTTTGGATGCAGGCATTCAGAGCAACTCAATTGCCAATGCTGAACCGGAGAAGAGAAGTTTATTCGGCAAGTTCAAGGCCAAGATGGCTCAGGTAGTCAAGGACGACCGTGAGCGCGCAAAGAGTCCCAATCAGATCGATAACGACCCATCCGCTACAAGTCAACCACTCTCCCCACCAGTCCCAAACCAGGCGAATGGCAAGCCTCCAGTTGATGTCACTGTTGAGCAGCCAAAGGAGGAACCGCTCCGATCGCCCGCTTCTCCACTACCCGGAGCGGGCCTGCCTCCTGCCATCCCCGAGGAACCAAACAGTCCAGAGACACCCTCGGCAGCTGCCGTGGAGTTCAAGAAACAGCTTGAGCCCGAGTCAACATCAGCTGCTGAAAGCACAACGGTACCAGCGGAGACAACCGCGGTCGCTGAACCGTCGGAAATGACACCTACCGACAAAGAAACATCCGCATGAGCTGATGTGAGATATGACGATTCTGAACGATTTCTTTTTTTAGAGTACTGTACTCAAATCCCGTGTATTGCTGCTTCAACTAGCCACTTTGTTTTTTTTCCTCACAAATTCCTTCTTCTTGCTCTTCCTTCAGTCATTTCCTTATACAGCGTACAGCCCCGGATTCGTGGGAATCTTAAGCGGAGTCTCTAGTTTTCTTGGTGTTGGGGTTCGTGCTTAAGGCTTACCTGCATGGCTTTAGGAAAACATCCACGTTGGTAATTACTGGCGTTTGTTTGGTCAATATGATATCCGTGTCAGCCTTAAGGGCCTTTTCACATCTTGGCACCGTTGGTTTGTTTGTGGCCATGTGTCACCGTGTTTCTATTTTCTTGAGTGCCTGGTAATACAATTCAGACTCGGGGCTGTTTTCTGGGCCATGCTGCTATAATTTGCCAATACGTCTCTGTCCTAAAAGACATACTTTCAAGTGCGCTTGATCTGTTTCTTGTCCTCGTGCATCTGCCTTTCGCCTTGTTGGTACGGTTTCTCTAGGACGGGATCATGCTTAGTTTATTCTAGGTCGACTCCTAATTATCCTCATGCTAAGGTAATGAATGATACCCCTGAATATCGAAATGCGCTCGGTAGAATATCTCGTCATAGTCATTATTATTGCTGGAAATTTCAATCACTTGAACTAAAAAGCCGGAGTAGATGGCTCTCGTTATATGACTTTTTGAAGACTGCCCATTTTTGGCACCCGTGGACGGCAGCATGTGAGTCTAAGGACTAGCTAGATAGTATGTACACGGTTGTGAGATCTCTGTATCCATCTTGTTAAACATACTCTACTTCTGCACGCATTATTGTTCCTACGTGTTCTTTACCTCTACAATGATTGCTTGACATCTTCGTGCTATGCATAAATTTAGTGGATTATCGCCTGAATCCTCAGGCGGCGACCACAATGCAAATATGTCAAATGTACCCACAGCCACGGAGGGCCCCTTCCTATCCTCATTCCGGACCAACCGGAGCTCCAAAACGACACAAGGAGAAAAGTAATTCTCAAAAAGTGAAGCGCAAGTTTCAATGCGCCCACTATGGCCTCGCCAACATCACCTTCATCCGTGAACACCCCAGGCTCACCGAGTCAAGCCCCGGCCGAGAAACCCTCCGCTCCACCCGTCAACATCCTTCCCTCCCAACTCGCGCAGACATATTCCTACGCGCACCCAGTAATCCTGCTGGGACTAGGGGCATGGCGGTTCGAGGCTTTGGTCGCTAACCCTATGCGGGAGCTTCTTGCGGATTTGCCGTGGCTAGCTGCGCTACAGATCTCCTATGTCATGCTTTGTCTCCCGCCGGCGGGGACGGCTGCTGTCGAAGCTGGTGCTGCAGCTGATGAGGAGAAGAAGAAGGCTCCCCGTTCACCTTCGGGTCCTTCAGTTACTTTTCGCCCGGGCAAGCCTGGATATCGCCGGAAGCACTCCTCGGGGAAGAGCTCTTGGACGTGCATTTGGGCCAAGTTGATGGTATGGTCGTGCTTTTCGCCATCTTCTGTTCGATCTGTCCTAGGGCTAACCTTCGTTTCATAGCCCGCTTTCCTTTCCCTCACTTTCACATCCCTTCTCGCTACGCCTGTAATTGCCGTCCTCCTGGTTCTTTTTGGTGCTCCTCTCACCACACACAATGCCGAGACAATCCTCTGCGCAGCCCACATGGCTCTCTTATCCGCTACCGCCCTGGTCTACGTACACGGCATAGATACGTCAGTTTGGAGGGAAATCTGGGGCATTGCCCGTCCCGCAGATGCAGTCTGGGGTAGCGCTCTGGGTACTGGCCTAGGTGCTTGGTTCGGAGCTATTCCGATTCCTCTTGACTGGTAAGCTCCGTCAATCGACACGATTGGCATTAGGAGTAGCCATTGGCTAACATACATTTAGGGACCGCCCATGGCAAGCATTCCCCATTACCATTCTCACTGGCGCGTACATCGGGTACGCGGTTGGATCGTTGGTCTCTCGAACTCCGCTCATTTATGGAAAGCGCATCCAGTTTGCGCCCGAGCCCGCTGAGGAGGGTGAGAAGAAGACTAACTAGAGATCGGCTTCATGAATATCGAAGTGCTTCGTCTTGCATCTATCCAGTGGAGGTACTCCGTGTGTCAATCGCCGATGCTTTTCTCTCATGGCTGCAATCTACAGTATAGAGGATCTCATATCCAAAAATTAGTCATTCCATGTACACTAGCGTTTTCATATTACATCAATCTTGTAATGCAATTCTGTTCAATTGATTCAGACTTTACTACTGATTCGTTCCAGCCCACGGTGTTTCGAGCTTCGCTGGTAAACCTGGCCCGATAGCTCCGAGGGCATCTCTTTTCCAAACGTCAAATTTCCGTTCAAATTCACAAATCAAAGCTTGTTAAACTCTTTGAAGCTACCATGTCGACCAGACCCTTTACTAAACTTGGCAGCGCCTGCGATTGCCTCCTTCGAGACAACTTTGACGCCAGCACTGAACTCCTGGGACATGGCATCTTGGAACGACGAAGCCTCATAAGCACTGTAGTAGGCAGACCTGCGATCCGTATTCATACAAAGCTCTGGAAACGTGATGAGCTGCTTGGCGATTTCCAGCGCCCGTTGAAGAGCCCGTCCCTTTGGTACCACGCGATTGGCAAGTCCCATCGCGAGAGCTTCTTGAGCTCCTACCGGGCGACCAGTCAGGATCATATCGAGAGCTCGTCCCAGGCCGACGATGGCCTGTAGGCGGACGGTACCTCCGTCAATGAGAGGGACGCCCCAGCGGCGACAGAAGACGCCAAAGACTGCATCTTCTTCGACGACACGTATGTCCGCAAGGAGACTAAGTTCTAGTCCTCCGGCCACGGCGTATCCAGCTACGGCCGCGATGACTGGTTTCTTCACGATCAGCCGTGATGGGCCCATGGGTCCTAAGTTGCGATCGCTGACGGGTTGGAGATTCTCGGCTGGAGGAGAGTCCGCGGTCTTCTGGGCGACATTGTGCAGGTCGGCGCCAGCGCAAAAGGTGTTTCCGGCGCCCGTTAGAACGCAGACCTTCTGCGTCGCATCTTCTTCGAAGGCGAGGATGGCCTCGTATAGCCGCTTTGCGGTCAAGGGGTCCACTGCATTCTTTCTCTGGGGCCGATTTATGGAGATAATGGTGATTCCAGGATTTGAAGTAGTGTCAGTCAATACCGGATGTGTTTCCGCCATGATGGTGGGTGGACATGATCGTTATTGACAGCATCGCAAAAGACGCGAGCTTAACAAGCGGGGAGGAGACAAAGTTTCGGGGAAGCTGAGGAGGTACCTCGGCTTTGGACCCCCACACTTGACATCTTTCAACCATCCGATCACCGCCATGTCGAGCGCGTGCATCATCTGCCACAAGAGAAAGGTACGTTGCCTCCGGAGCTACGGTGTGGGGGGGGGGGGGACCCTGTCTTATCTCCACCGAGTTTGTTCGTTGATTGATACTGACATTTTCACAGGTGAGATGCGATTTGGCGACCCACAACCCTTGCACCAACTGCACCAAATCCGATGTAGAATGCAGGTAAGTAGATCTCCTTAATTGATAGTTTTGAAATGATCGCTAATCTCAGAAGGCCATATACACGAAAGCGCAAGAGGTTCACGAATAGCTTGTCGCCAGGGCGCGTACTCAACAGTGACTCAGTGAGTCAGCGCAGCTCACAGCTTCCTGCCGACGCGCCCGTTGAAAGCGGACTTGCACCGCCGCAGCTGTCGTCCTTTACAGACAGCGCGACTCCCGCCGTGAATAATGGCGAGCCCACTGCCCTCCTTGCAAGTAATGGCGAGCCATTCATCAAAGAGGAAAGCTACCGTGGTCGGAGCGAGTACTTGGGCGGTAGCGTGCCTTTTGACGAAAATATGGTGAAACCGGGCCACGAGACAACGTACACCAGCCCAAAGGCATCGGCTGCGGATCTTCAGATGTTGCGCGAGCAAGGCGCTTTTGAGCTGCCGCCGTTGCCCGTTCAAAGAGAGTTGATGAAGAGCTTTAACAAGTACTGCGCGCCGTGGACGCCGGTAGTTGACCCCAAGTGGCTGGACGAGAGTACACCGCCATCGATGCTGCTTCTTCAGTCGATTTTCCTGGCTGGAAGCAGAGTTTCCAAGGCACACTTGGATTATGGGTCAAGTGAGGTCTTCTATCGGCGTGCGAAACTACTGTTCTTCTTTGGCGGTCGCAATAATTCGCTGATTTCAATCGTGGCTGCTTGTCTTCTACACTGGTATAATCCCGTCGGACCGGAAGATGTCTCGACGGACACGAGCGGGTTCTGGATTCGAACGGCTGGAGCAATGGCCTTCCAGATTGGACTTCATAAAGAACCTCCCCCCAATGCGAAGGACCGTGGTCTACGGCGAAGGTTGTGGTGGTCTCTCGTGGTACGTGTTCGGTGATGGTGGTAGCTGTGTGCGGTTTTCTAACGTCTTTGCAGGTTCGGGATAATGTGATATCAGTCGGAGTGGGCAGGCCACGCACCATCAACCTTCGAGATAGTGACGTTCTTCCTCCTTCCATGAAAGACTTCCCGGTGAAGGATTTCCAGGCACAGCTCTTTTTGGCATACTGCACAATATCTTGCCACTTGGGCGATACTGTGGAATGCTATCTACGACGAGAAATTTCCCGGCAACGTCGGGTTGATCTTGAAAATGCTATATATAGATGGGCTCAGCAAGTTATTCCCAAGCTCCGCTCGTCTGCTACCCTACAAGAAGACGCTATAACCTCGCATTTTGAAGTCCAACAACTTTCGGTCATGTATTTTGTCGTACTGACTATTCTGCATCGCTCACCCACGCCGAACAGCGTACCGCCTGCAGCATCGCTAGTCGCATCATCATTTATCGCGGGGATCTATGAAGAATTTCTTCTCAGGGATGAGCTTCGATATCTTGGTCCCGTTTTCGCATTCTATCCACTTTGCAGCGGACTATCATTACTCTCAAGTTGGCGCTACTCCCAGTTACAAAGCACCGCCGAGCATGAGCTCACAGTCATCAAGCTCTCCCTTCAAAAGTTATCCGAGAGGTGGCTCTCTGCGGTCGGACCTCTCCGAGCCCTGAGCAAATTGACCGAAAAGGTCCGAGAACAAGGCTCCCTCGGCGGTCCCCCGCCAAAACTCGACTTTGACACGGCTTCTTTCTTTGCCGGATTCGATATCAGGTTGTGCAAGCAGTGGCGCTTGATTGGGCAGTCTGCCGAGCCAGAAACTCCCATCCCAGCAGCTACAGATACGTGTACACTGGCCGAGGTTCAGGATGCGGATGAGGCGATTCAACCCTTTAGTACTCAGCCGGAAGCCCCAGCAGATGATTTCGGCTTCCCGGCTCTTGATACTAGTATGGAACCTTTTACGAGTAATTGGGAAGGGTCTGGGTTTGATTGGAGCGGCTCGTGGCTGCTTAACATATAAATGTGTATACTAGCAATAAGAAGAAGTCTCACCTCGAGTTTACATCCAACCGGATAAAGTAGTACTAGCACGTTGCCGGCTTCTCGATTCGTAAAAGCTTGAAATACGCTATCAACTTGAATTCCCGTACCATTCCATGTGCATCATCATCATCATAAGCATAAGCGTTCTGGGCTTCTCATGAGATCACTCGCGCATCTCCTTTTCGATCTGAGCCAGCTCCTCAATTTGACTCATCCTGTCTGCCGCAGACCATGCCACAGGTTGTAAGTCCTTTGACACGAGCTTACTTATTTCAGCCAGTCGTTGTTTCCAGAATTCCCATCTCTCGGCGCATAACCCGTCCTTTCCATGATACAGCGTGCCGCCTTTAGTTACGCGCTTTTGCTGCTCGCTCAAGTCTTTATCGCTCAGTTGCCTATAGATTGTCTGTCCGGCATGAGTAATCCATTCGTTTACCACGGAGATGTAACAATCTCGAACGATTTGCTCCTGGGGAACGTCTTCTTCCAATGCATCCCTGAGCATCCAGATGATCAGCGTATCCCAGCTGAGGAGGTCTTTGCCCACGATTCTGGCCATGAATGAGTTCTGGTTGATCCATTCTGAGATTCCATCGGGGTCTGGCTCCCCAATATCTGTTATACGTTAGTATTTTCTATATGAACATGTAGTTCCAAGGAAAGGATTTCACTCACACTCCAAATGGTCCCTCAAGCAAGGGCGGAGAATAGGAAAGTCTGACCAAAGCTTCTGCTCGCTCTATTGTCCATGTAAGCTTCCGGGGGCATCATCAGTTTGGTTCAACGATCTTTACTTACACCCCATATGTCAAGTGTTCTCGTCGGAAACTTTCCCAAGGCTTGCATGAAAGAGATCATACGTATTTGGCCCGGGTGTTGAGGATGAACTAATCTCATAACCTGGATAATCAGACCCCACAAGGACCACAAGAAGGCTTCAGGATCTGCTGTGTTCTCATCCACAGGGGCCTTGGAATCTTCGTCATTTGATGGAAAGAGGTCATTTATCTTTGCAGCTGCATCGGCAGCCTCGATAATGGGACCTGGTTGTAGCAAGTCCTGCAAAATGATGAACAGCTTCTCTTCGAACGGTTTAAGTTCTTCTGCCGCTCTGACACGCTCGAGATCAAGCTTTTCATCCGCGGTATGTGATTCCATGTTTTCTGTTGATGTGTTCTGATGATATGGAACTGAAATCAGGCTGAACTGGTAGAAGTAGACACATTGCAGGTGAAATGTCACCTAACCCCTCCTTCTAGAATACGGCGCTAGTGAGTGCTCAGCCACCCACGTGGCCCAGTTATGGCTCAAGATCTTACTCAGGTGGATGCGATGACATCCAACAAGTACAAGAAAAAAGAGAAAAGGTCTAGCGGACTCCCATGCTATTTTTTGTTAATGAAATGAAGGCCATCGCTGTTAATCAGGGAGATGATCCATCGAAATGTATATAATGCGCCACAGACTCCACCAGCTCTATAGCTTGCCTCTGTTGTCCTTGACAGCCTCCAGATGATAGTACTGTCTAAATCGTTCCAAACATTCCGGATTGGCGACCGTGCTGCTAATGGCTTTGGGCAAATTACCGGTGCAAATAACGGATTTTACCAAAGTCTCGATCTTTTTCCCGTTAACGGTCATAGGGATCTCGTCCACGCCGAGCACAAATCGCGGGACATGCTTGCTGCTAAGTCCCTTACGAATCGCAGCCTTCAACTCAAGCGCTAGTTGACTGGTAAATATATGGCCGGGCTGCATAACCACGAACAGGAAGACTGATTCATCAGAATCATGCGGTCGGCGTCGGCCGATGCAAAGAGTTGATGAGATGCTCTTGTTGAAGGGTGCAGACTCCGTAATGGAATATATATCAGAGGAACCAAACCGGATACCCTGCGGATTGAGTACTCCATCACTGCCCGGGATTGTTAGTAGAATGAAAAGTTGCATGCACCGTAAGTATTGACTGACCTTCTTCCATGAATCTGCCAGCCTTTGGTCCGAGGGTTGTAGCTTGCCCAATCATGCTGAGCCCAACAATTCTGAAATTTGTCAAAATAGGTGCTTTTGTACTTTGATCCATCGGTGTCACCCCAGAAGAACGCTGGCATAGACGGGAAAGGCTGGCGGCAGACAAACTCGCCATGTTTTCCTGTCATTTTCACGGATTCGCCCGTCACAGGGTCTGCCACATCCACGTCTTGGCCTAACATGGGAAGCTGGATCTCTCCCGGGTAAAGAGGGCCAGCAGGATCAGTTCCAATCCACGATGTCACCAGATCCGTTCCACCAGTCACACTGGTAAGATGAACATTCGGTGGAAATGCGCGATAGAACCAGTGGTATTGGTCTGCGCCTAAATGGGAACCACCCGTCTGCACCATTCTCAAGCAAGACAGGTCAAATTCGTCTTTTGGGATACAGCGGGTCATTTCAAGTTCCTGCAGATATCGAGGCGAGCAGCCCCAATATGTCACGCGATGATACTCAGCAATTTTCGCCATTGCCTTTGCACCGGGCCACAGCGGTGATCCGTCATATAGAATCAAAGTTGGGCCCACTGATAAGTGACCGATCATGATGTTCCAGAGCACCCATGAGGTGCTGCTATACTGGAACACAACGTCGTCAGAGGTCAGGGAGTTGTGGAGAACAGATGTCTTCTTGTGTTGCAAGATCACGCTGTGGCTGTGTACTAAACACTTTGGCTGTCCGGTTGTCCCACTGGTGTAAAGGATATAGAGTGGGTGAGAGTATGGCAATCTCTTGAACTCCAATCTATCATCAGCTCGAGATGATGACAAGAACTGATCAAGGGTTGGAAATTCCGCATGTTGCGTGCCAAGGGGTATCAAAAACACCTTAGGCCTGACCTTCATAGCCCGGATAATATTTTGGATTTTCGACACGTTTGAGTGCAGTTTACCTTTGTATGTCGAGTCGCTGTCGGCAAAAAGCACTTTGGGTGTCACTTGTTGCAGTCGCGACACACATCCCTAGGTTCAATTAGACACATTTCATCACATATTTGAACAGATATCAAGCATACTTCTTCACCCAGATCAGGCGCTATGCTAGTCCAAATCGCACCAATGCTGGCGGTAGCAAGAAAGAGACCAACCGACCATACGCTGGTGGATATGATGGCAGCAACTCGATCGCCTTCTTGAATACCCAAACGCAGTAACGCGCTCCGCGCTTTCCTTATGTTCTCGCGTAGTGACTCCCACGACCAAATTTCGCCGCTCAAGTCTTGGCCTTCACGGACTCCAATCAGAGCAGTCTTGTTCAAGTCACGGCCAGTAACAACGTTCTCTGCGTAGTTGACTGTAGCTCCACGAAAAAACTCAGGGACCTTCTCCATTGGCGTGTTAGGATCAAATGCAGTTGTTAGACCTGTGGGCAATGGTGGAATAATGCCCGTGTACTGGTGGACATCTATCCAAAAATCGTGCAGATTGTTCACAGACCATTGATGTAAATCTTGTGAGGAGCGCAAGTTTAGGTCGAATTTTCGATTGACATGTTCACGATAGATGTTCATGGGAATCTTGTTTAGCGGTAGGTGAGGCATCCAAATCGGGGAAGGAGATGGCCCAGGGGCTCCATCTTTGGACACGGGTTTTGCCTTCATTCGTAGGTACTGTAATTGTATCTGAAATGAAACACTCGCTTTAGTCGTATGATGGTATAGGTGCTGATATTATATAGAAGACAGAGTATGGCTCGACTAGAATAGGTAGTCTGCACCGTTCTTTTAAAACTCGCTCGGAAATCGGCTCTCGCCAGGAGACGTTCCCCGCATTTCTTGTACATCTTGCTCCACTTGAACCGACTCAACTCGACCGGACTACATCACACGGTTCATTTCGGTGATTGTCGGTCATAGTCGGTGTGCATTGCTCGGCAAACCAACTCCAAGTACATATCGGCAAGCATAGCCATAGGGAGCCGACCCCGCATGTACAGACCAGTATCAATGCTACGGGCTAAATCATCATATAAGATACGCTCATCATGATCAGTCTCTTCTCGGTACTATTGTGAACTGATACTCGATATCATCCGTCATTCTCAAAATGTCCAAGCGTCTAACTCCTTCCACCATTGATGGTGGAATTATCCTTACTACTCCGGCTCTAGAAAATCCAGCTACATCTGATCATGTTTTCCAACGCATCTTGCAATGTAAGTTCCCTCTGGAATATACCAGCAGTGACTACGCCCATACTTTGACATCACAGCCTTCAAATCGCATGGTTCTAATCGAGTTCCGAATGCACAGGGCATCTTCCACAAGATGTGATCTGGAAAATTGCCCCAGAGCTTCGCTTGTTTGGATTGGACGCAATTTCAGCGAACATCAACTCTCTGATTGCAAATGCGGAAAGCCAACAACCTTACGTTAAAGCCCACAATGTGTGGGGAGCCCGATATGAATCGAACGGGCTAGTGACCAGCACAGGCTGGAAGGAACTGGGTAAATGGGGAATCAAGAACGGGTAATGTTTCTTCATACAAATTCCATCATTCAACCACTTCCTAACTACTTTCTTATCGAACAGCGTCGTCGGACTTGGATACGAAGACGAATTCGGCCCATATCGTCGCACTGTGCAGCATGCATTGTAAGTTTTCAGGAAGCAATAAAAGGTTCCCTTGGCTAAAATATCAAAAGTAATTACTTGTTCTCGGCTTCTTCCGCTGCCTTTTCCTGCCCAGTCTCCATGACCTCAGGAGCGGCGCGTTTAGTGAGACATCAAATATCTGATCTGCCCAAAGACCACCCGCTCCACGAGCTTTACGCAAAGCTCATTGCCCGAGAGAATAATTGGATCTCGGCTCAGTGGATGACAGAGCGTCCCGGTGGTAGCGATGTCAGAAATAGCGAGACGATTGCTACATACTCCCCACTGGCATCAAAGACGGGTAGGTTCGGTAACATGGAAGAGGGTGATTACCTTCTTTCTGGATTCAAGTTCTTTTGCAGTGCCACCGATTGCGATGTCGTCCTATTGCTGGCCAAAACTGAATCTGGAGAGCTATCTCTTTTCGTTGCCCCAACCACAAAAACGGTGACGGGCGCCTCGGGGAAGACCAAGAAGGTCTCTAACGGCATTCGCATCCATCGCCTCAAAAATAAGATGGGGACAAAAGAACTGCCAACCGCAGAAGTGGAGCTTCGAGAGGTGCGGGCGCATCTGATCGGTCCCAAGGACCGTGGAATTGCGACGATTGCTCTTCTCTTGAACACGACCCGCACCCACAACTTCATTACTGCGCTCTCTTGTCTGCGTCGTGCTATCGATATTGCAAAGGCTTTTGCGAGGGCTCGCACTACCATCGATCAGCCTCTGTGGACTTTCCCGATGCATCTGAATATGCTTTCGCAACTCGAAGTTAAGCATCGGGGCTGGATGCAGCTGGCATTTTTCACTTCTTCACTACTGAGCTACGTGGACAACGGGTTTCCGGTTGGTATACCAGACGTCTATTCGGTATTGGCAGGCTCTCCCAGTACTGCAACGGTTGTACTGCGAGCGTTTACGTCTACTTCCAAGGCTGTGATCTGTAAATCTGCAACATTGGCGTTCCAAGAATGTCAAGAAGCGATGGGCGGGGTTGGTTATATTGGTCAGTGCTATGACAGGGCTTTCAGTGAATTTTACTAACTTAGTTGACATAATAGATGAGCCTGATGAACCTGAATTCAACGTGAGTCGCCTGTGGCGTGACACCGCAAGCAACAGTGTATGGGAGGGTACTACGAATGTTTTGGCCAGTGAGACGGTGCGACATTTAACCAAAGGCCAGAATCTGGATCTGTTCCACAATTGGATCTCTAACGCTATCAGCCAAATCAGAGATTTGGCTTTCAAGACGACCCTTCAAGATATCTGGTTGGCTCTCAAGTCCAAACTTGAAGCTGGTCGAGATGAGAAGGGCCTGGGCGGGGTTCTGGGAGTCGGTCGCCAGATCATATTCACCCTGTCGTGGCTTGTAAGCGGCATGCTGCTCTGTTTAGATGCTCAACGAGACAACGACAGCGTTGCCAGAGAGGTGGCTCGGAGATGGGTCTTGGATGGTCAGGGTGTGCCTGGAGAGTTCGCATTCAACGATCTCATCTACCAGCGGTCTGTCTTGGCTCAGGATAGAAAGCCGACAAACCGGGAACGTACAGAGTGGGATTGTCGAATTGTTTGGGGAGTTGATCTTCCGTCTAATGCGTCGCCGGGATATCGGATGGCTAAGATTTAGGGAAGGAATTTCAGGGCTATCAGATACAAGTATTAGTCGGCTCTCTGAATATCAGACTGAGCACAAAGACAATCCACAGTCTGTAGATTCATGATTCGAAAGTGGAATGATAAAATGAGGATCTCTTGATCTTGCTATACAGTATATCTTATCCATCTGAGGCGATAATCACAGCTTGGAGTTCGCCTTCTGCAATGATCGATGCCCAGATGCCCTGGTAGCCGGAAGCTCAACGCCCCAGGCAATTCTACAATCCCACTGAAGATGCTCCTCCCCATCGTCTCGAGTCGCATCTCTGTGAACCGCGACGATATCATGGAATACAGTGTCCCCAACACCACCTTCAGCGCCAAGGATCCACCGGCGCGCGATCTCTACACTAACAGGGTCCTGGTCTCGCTCGGCATCAACAGCCAGGAGCATGCCACACAGAATCCAAGCAAGCGTGAACATATACCGGCGTGCATCGGCAAGAATCGTAAGAGGTGATCGGTTTTCCGTTGAAAAGCGGGCCCGTAGAGCAGACCAAGCCGTAGTGAGGGTATCCCGGAGCGCCGCGGTGCGAACCAAAGCCAACGTGCGATCAACCCAGGCAGCAAAGACGTCCAAATTATCAGCCTTGAGGAGGAAGCGGATCATCTCACTGGCTAGGACATTCGTAGTTCCCTCCCAGATGGAATTGACGGAGGTATTACGCAGAATTCGGGAGATGTTGAATTCGGGCTCATCCGCCTCGTCCATGTAACCCACACCACCCATAGCCTCCTGGCATTCTTGAATACCCAGCACCGACATCTTGCTCACAACAGCCTTTGCGGTGGCCGTGAGAGTACGGAATACCACGTTCGCTTCTCGGCCCGGGCGAGGCATGTGAGGGTGCTCCGAGGGTTGAGAGACTCTGTTCTCGACCAAACTCATGACGGCAATGGTAAAGAACCCGAGATTCATGCCACCACGATGCTTAACCTCCAGATCTGCCAAAAGACGCAGGTGCATGGGGATGAGCCACAGAGGCTCGCCCACGGTAGTACGTGCCTTTGCAAAGCTCTTGGTGATGCTAAGGGCGCGGCGCCAGCCAGAAAGGGAGCCGATGAAGGTATGAATGCGAGTGACATTGAGGAGAGGCGCAATAGTGACGACTCCCTGGTCCAGTTCTCCAACCAAATGCGCCCTCATGTCCTTGAGTTCTAGCTCGGCGGTCGGTAATTCCTTTGTACCTAATTTATTCTTCAGGCGATGTATTCTCACACCATTCGAGATCTGGCGGGATACACCATCACTTCCAATAACCGTCCGTCGTAGGGGCGCTAAGAATGTGCTCAATTTCCCAGAGGGAGTCTTAGCCAGAAGAAGGGCGACGTTCGCATCGGTGGCTGATGAGAAGAATTTGAAGCCGTTGATCAGATAGTCGCCATCGCCGAGAGGATCGACGCCCGAGTCCTTGGGCGGGGGGGAATAGGTTGCCCATGTCTCGGTGTTCTGAACGTCACTACCTCCTGCACGTTCCGTCATCCATTGACCCGAGGTCCAGTGGTCATCACCCTCCGAAACCAGACCCTTGTATACTGCGTGGAATGGATGGGTTGGAGATAGTTTGTTAACCCGGGAGGAAAGAATAAAGGCGGCACCATCGGTCATGCTGATGGGACAAGAGTATAGTCCCGAGGATGGGGAGTAGAGGTAGTTCCTTTGATCAGTGTCAATCTTCGTCTCGACATACAGACCAGCCCCAAGTTCTAGGGGATAGGTTCATCTTACAGTGCATATTGAACCGTTCTTCGGTCCAGACCCAACGTAGGATCATATCCAGCAGACACGATTCTATGGCGAGCTCCCCAATTTCCTAGTTGCTTCCAGCCCTCGGTGGTAATGAGGCGATCATAATCATATCGTTTACCCCAAACATTATGACTCTTGACGTATGGCTGATTTCGTTCAGCATCTGCGCTCCATTCACGAACCTGATCGGAGATCGCTTCAGCTCCCAACTGTGTGAAGTGTGGCTCTACCGATCGAAGAGTGGCCGCGGGCAGGTACCCTATAGACTGTTAGACTTGGAAAAGTTTGCGAGCATAATCATGGGCGACTCACATTCCAGCGCTCGTCGAAGACTAGTATCGGTCGTGTAGGTGTTCTCCAACGGGAGCGGCTGAGTTACATAGCCGCTCTCCGCAGTAGCCGGCTGAGGCGGGGATGGTGGCATGGCGGCCTGCTGTGATGGCGACGCAGCAAGTAGAGTGAATAAGTTACTACTACAGGATCATGTAAATGAACATGGATGGAATCCGGGGTATGTTCTCCTTATTTAACCCCGGTGGGGAACTGAGGTGTGCCACCGAAGTTCACTTGACACATTGCGGGGATGGACCTCGGCTCTCTCATGCTTATAAAGGGAACATCATCCCCACTTCGCCGCGAAATCACCGAGAGTGGGTGTCAACAGTCAACAAGCTAAGTTATTAGCTAGTGTCCAATATAGAGACGTTATCTGCTGTGTCGATGGGGCCAAATATTTGCATAATGGCGCATAATAAATAATAAAGTCGATCCGGAAGCAAACCTAACCTGTGATACATTGTTTCATACCATAGTTCAGCTAACATAGGTATCACTTTTTGATTGTTTTTTTTTTGGGAGAAATTCAGATCAAGCCACCCGATATGTTACATTTCATGAAGTGTGTTATACCCGGTTTCAATGAGGCTGCGTGGTCCTCGGGCATCAGAGCATATATGCCAGTAAAACAAACCTCCCAGCCTTGACGACGTCACAAATTCGGCTTTTTGCTGAACTGTCGCGGGGATATCATAGGTCACAAAACCTCCATCTGGTCCCACACAAGATGCAGCCCCGGCCTCTTTATCATGATATTCTTCAGCTCCGGGTCGTGGAAGATCGCGATAGTCAAAGACGCCGTCCTCCCCACCACTACCCGTATACCGCTGACCAGGCCCGTTGCAGCCGAGGAACGATCTTCCATACACCGGTACTCCCAGGATGATCTTTCGTGAAGGTACACCTTGTGAAAGTACGTAGTCAACCGCCGAATAGCCCGAGATGGGTGAGCCATGGAGCCGGGCCTGGTGGCCGGTTTCGGGGTCCCATGGCCCCGAGAAGTCATAGGCCATGAGATTGAGCATGTCTAGATGCCTGTGTGCCGCAGCAAGGTCGATATTTTGGAGAGCCCATTGACCGGCGGGGAGACAGGAGGCCAGAACATAGCGTGGAGCAGGCAACGCCTCTCGCAGCTTGGCCAGGAGGCGAACGTAATCCTTGCCCTGCTTGGGATCTGCGGGATGTTCCCAATCCACTACGTACAAACCATCAGCTTTCGTCTTCCACCTGCCGGAAGCTGTGCAGGCCCTATTGCGTCGGCGACTTACCATCAATGCCATCCAGCCCAAACTCATCCACCAATGCTCGTGCACTTCGAATGAATGTTTCCACGAGAGCTCGACTGTGAGCAACCGCTGGGAAGTTTTCACTTCCTTTGCCGCCACCACCAACAGAGAGGATAACTTTCATTTTGGAATACTGCTGTTTCAACTGGACAAAAGCGCGGAGACAGCCTTCGGTGCCGTCAACCGGCATTTGCGTATCGGCCCACTCATCACTCAACTGAAAAGAGTCGTCCGATTAGAGATAAACAAGATATACCAGGTTGGGAAAAAAATAAGGAGTAGTGATATCAGACTTACATAAATTGTGCCATCGTCTTTGACCCTGCAAGGATTCCAGATCGAGATTAGCGCGCTTATCTATACGGTTCCTCAGTGATTGGCCAACGTACCAAGCAAAGGCGTAGAATACGTGAGAAATAAATCCTAAGCGCAATGATGAAGGAGGCTGTTTCTTGTAAATGCGCCAGTTAGGGTAGTAGGCTGCGTTGGTGTACAAGGGCACTTCGTATGAAGCAGGCGACTCGGCGGCAGCGGGGTCAACGGCCTGCCGCCTGCGGAACATGCCTGAGAACATGCCTCGAAAGTGAAAGGAAATCCGAGGGCTCGCCAAAGAAACGATGAATCCGAGGGAAACAAATGAAACCTCCCCTGAATGAGAACGGATTTGCCAAAAGAAGGAATTGGAAAGCACACGAGCAGGAGGTGTAGGAGCAATTGAACAAATACCAAAAAGAAACAACCGCGTGAACTCTCTCCCCCGTGTGTTTCCTAATCAGGAATGCGTCACGTGGGTTGTTGCTGAGTCCGTCGCGGAAACCCGTCGAGAGTTTGTTGAGTTGCGTAAATCAAAATTGTCATCCGCACGATTGGACAGTCTCCAGCTAAATTTGAGATTCACATCGCACATCTCGGGGGGCTGTGACCTTGTGGGGGGTTACCCATCCAGACCCCCCTCTCTCTCAAATGATCCGCCATCAATTGGATACGATCGCTCGGGGCGAATGTGCGGGGCTTTGGGCCTAGCGCGAGTCATGCCAGAATTGAGATTTTTTTTCTCGGCCGCAGACCTTTGGGGGACTGAATAGACAGTGATGGGGCTGGGGGGGGGGGGGAAACAACGGTGTGTTCGTATTACCGCCAATCACCACTACAGCTTGGACTGGACCGGACTCTCCTCTCCAGCTTGGTGGTCAACCAGGCAACTTCTGGGGATCTCTCGGGTCATCGGGCCAGCAATTGACCAAGCGGGCGCCGCGACACCCGTTGAAAAGTATTCCACATCCCAGGGGCGGCGCCTCACGACCCCAGATGACGTGCGGTGAGATTCGACTAAAGGCTGCAGTCAGCCCAATTAGGCGGCAGCCCATTCTCTGGTGATGGACATGCATGTGGGGGATTCACAGAGGCGGAAACTCAGTTTGTCAACTCTTCGACCTTTGTCCGCGTTCCTTGACCCTCGAGCCTAGCGCGTATCAGCGCGCCAGATATGCGCGGGCAACCTCCAGGGGTCGCACACCTCATCTCCTTCGAACGTGCGTTATTTCCCATGGAGATGGTCCTCGTGGGATTACCGTTTCCCGTGGCGGAGACACCGACCAGCCCAGACCGCGAGCGTCACGCAGACCGAGCTGTTATAATTGCTTTTTTTTTGCTATGCTCGGATCGCCCGATACGCCCAATCAATTGGCCCGAGCATTTGCAAGGCGAGGCAATGCGACAGGGTTTTCTGTCAACCCCTTACTCTTTCCCCGCGATGTGTTCAGGACCGGGCAAGTTATCCGAGACATTGGTAATGTACTCCATGCGGAGGCGTTCAACGAATAAAATTGGAAGTGTTGGGCAACGAGCAGAGCCCCTTTCATACCTCGATCGCGATACAAAGTCCCGTACATTTCGCACCTCTACACTGATCGATCATAATACAGGACTCTGCTAGTGCAGGAGTGGCGTGACTGGATTTGACGCAGCCGCTTCCTTCCAATCCTTACCTTGAACTACAGGCTCTGATACTTTACAGCTCCGTTGCCTCGTACCCAGTCCTTCTCTCCCTCCGAATTGGCTTCCGGAGGTACAAGGGCATTCATTCTCTACAGATCTGTAGATGCTTCCGTGATGAAGTACTCTCAGTTCATGTCTTTGGGTTCGAACACCGGATTAACGACCTCATTGCCTCGCAAGAGGAAACGCTGTTTGGTTTCATCACTTTGAAGACACACGCAATGTGATAAATTGTTATGCCCGCCAATTTTCCATGGATCTTGCCGCCGATGAATGCTGTGCCGGCGTTGTACTCTGTGAAACGGACTTGAACGTAGAACGCGGGCAGACCAATAGAGACGTAGATACTCGTGATTGACTTGGCAAGCTGCTGTTTCTCCGCTGCTGAGAGTATATTGGGACTATGGTCGATACAACATACAGGCATGTTGGAGATCGTTTTAATGTGCGATTTGAACAAGGACAGTCAACACCTTGATAAGAATCAGAAAAGCTGGCTTCATATAAAAGCAGTCTCTCATGCATCACTTTCTTCAAACATCAAGTCTGTTCCTTTCAGAATCTCGATCGGAAATCTGATTTCATCAAGCTCTATCTTCCATTGCACTCGCTTATGATCAATTCCTACGTGGGGGAGTCGTTCGGAGAGATAGCGTAATATCGAAATCGATAGCCGCCAATCAGCTGCCCCGCCACTCCACCGATCACCCGCTGGCCTGATTCATCATCAAACAAGACTCGCCTCGGCATCCTGAGAGACCAGGGTTATCCAAACCGGTACTAACCTTAACACAAGCCGATAGAGCTTGGCTTAGAAATGATGCAATTTTGGTCGAGCATTCCCGTGGCGTTGTTCCACCGCGTAAGCTAAACGCTACCAAAGTAAGGTCCTGGTATGCTTCCCGCATTGCTTGGCGGTGTACCAGCGAGATTTTGTCGATATTATCATCAATATCTTAGATTGGTAATTATTAGATTGGTAAGATAGTCGAGAAGGATCAAGAATTCCACATCAGAAAGTATATATTACTCTGTACATCAGCCCCCAATTGTTCGGCATTCGTTATCCTCTCAGATACTTCACACAAATCAATCACCATGGCGGGAGAATTAATCTTCATCACCGGTGCAACCGGCTTCGTCGGTAGTGCGACCGCTCTTGCTGCTCTCAAGGCAGGATACCGACTACGAATTTCTGTTCGAAAGCCATCAGAGAAGCTCCAAGCCTTGCTATCGGATTATAGCCAGCAGGTCGAATATGTCACTGTTTCCGACCTGACAAACGAGGCAGCTTTCCACGGAAAGCTGGACGGGGTTGACTATGTTCTGCATCTTGCCTCGCCTCTGCCTCATGGAACGGACAAGAAGGATTACTTCATTCCGGCTGTTAAAGGAACCATTGCCTTGCTAAAGGAGGCTGACCGGGTCGCGAGCATCAAGAAAGTGGTGATTACATCGTCGGTGGTTGCTCTGCTTCCACTCACTGGCCCTCCCAAAGGTGGTATCGTGAAAGGTAGACGAATTTTCGGCTCTCGAATTATTCAATGGATGAGCTAACTTCTCACCCTTACTCTAGAAGATAATGATTGGGATTTCAGCGTGGACGAAGATGCTAGCTTTGAGAATCCCAACAATCCTGGAAGCACGCCTTTCAGGCTCTACCACGCATCGAAGCTACTGTCCAACAACGCCACCTGGAGCTTCTGGAAGACCGCAAAGCCACACTACTCGTTGGTGTCGACTCACCCAGTCTACGTGATGGGCCATAATCTCGTACAGACATCTCCGGAAGACATCGGGTCCAATGGTGTTCTCTGGAAGGCCATAATGACCGGTGACCTCAGTGACGCAAGCATTGGAGTGCATGTCCAGGACGTCGCCGAAGCGCATGTTAAAGCCCTGGATCCGAAGGTCCCTGATGGCGCAAAGTACCTGCTGGCTGGCAAAAAAAGCGACTGGAAGGGAGTGGCCCAAATCGTGCACAGGGATTATCCTAATCTCGGCGCAAAGATTAGTGTGGAAGCCGAGGGAGGATTGTTGCCATTCGACACTACCAAGGCTGAGAAGGAGCTGGGGATGAATTGGCGCTCGTGGGAACAGATGATCCATGAAGTTGTGGATCAGCAGCTCTCACTGGCTAAGAAGTAGTTAATCTGTTAAGATTGATTACCCAGATTGTGCGAAGGAATTTGTGTGGTCTGGTCAGTGCGCTGGTATAGCTTCAACACCGCCAACGGAAAGCCATATATATATCACGTTTTAATAGATTTGAATTCATTCATTTTCACAGAATTCTATATTCTAAAAAGAGTAATTTCCATTGGATTCGAAATTGTCATAAAAGACTTGCAGCTGTTGATTGGTCGAGAGGTGTGAGCAAACGAATGCAAACAGTGCAAACATTGTAACACCTGATTTCTAAGGCGGCGAGAACCTTCCACCGCGGATTTCAATCATCTTTAACGCTGCGACTGTGCACGCTTTCCTTCCACGAACTCACCTTCATACTGTCCATTGCTCTGGCAGGATTCTCATTCTGATTCTCTTCTGCTAAAATTTTCTCACTCAAAGGAAGCTCGATAGCTTCTGACATCCTCTTTCTACGATCACCGTCTGATCTCGAAGCCGAACCATCTCGAAGCTCGTTCCGCTTCCAAAGTCAACATGACCGCCGACGTTCACAGCGCGGCTTCTCGCGTCCTCTCTGCAGAGCCCACGCGTGATCCCAGCTACAATGAATTCTCATTCACATCCTTCCTCCGCAAGAGCTTTGGCTTCGGTCTCGCCAGCGATGTGCCCGTCTGCAAGGCCTATGGCGAAGGCCACTGCCCACTCGGACCTGCGTGTCCGGACAGACACCCCACGCCTTCTCGAGTCACCACATCTACAACCACCGCCTCAGGAATGGCACCATCCACTACACATGGCTCGCTTGTCTGCAAACATTTCCTCAAGGGTCTCTGTAAGAAGGGGCTGAAGTGCGAGTATCTGCACGAATACAACCTGCGTCGTATGCCCGAATGCCAATCCTTCTCCCGGTCTGGATACTGTCCCAACGGCGATGACTGTCTCTACCAACACGTTCGCGAAGAGGCCCGCTTACCACCGTGTGAGCATTATGATCGGGGCTTCTGCGAATTGGGCCCCCTCTGCGCCAAGCGACACGTCCGCCGGAAGCTCTGCTTGTTCTACCTCGCCGGCTTCTGCCCCGAAGGCAAAGGGTGCGCGAATGCGCACCCTCGATGGACGGAGAATCTCCCACGGCCGACTATGCGGACGGAGAAGACTGAGGAAGAACTGGAGCACGAGCGTGCTCTTATCCGTGAAGAGCAGGAGAGGGAGAAGGAGCGCGAGCGTGAGTGGCGGAGTGAACGCGGTCGGGGTGGTGGTTTCATGCGAGGTCGTTATCGCGGCCGAGGAAGGGGTTAGGTTGCCTACCAATAGCGCCACATTTCTGCAGTCATTGCATTTTCACGGCGGGGGTGTTTTGGGAGCTTTTTTTTTTCTTCTGGATTTACTAGCGGTCATTCAGGACCGTTGTCGAGATACCCTTTCAATATTCATATAGCGGGATGAAATACATAACCATGATGGTCGAGAAAATAGCTTTATAAACAGAGACCTTATGGGCCCCGCCAACGGCGGGTTTTCCGCAGAGTCTTGGTCTCTGAATGGTGGTTACAGGAGATCTGCGGGCATTCAGATTAGGGTCTCATTAACCAGCCACGAAAGCCAGTCGACGGGTCCCTGCATACTTGGCCGTTTCTGGCCGCATTGCACGACCTTGATGCGATTTGGTCAGCACAAAATGTAACTAACTAATTGACTGTAGCGCAAGAATGTATCCAAAGTCAATGACATCATCAAGGTCAATTCAGCTTCCACTACGTAGTCCATCATTATTGTCGCAACTGCTGGAGTGGAAGGGATGGATCAATTGAGCTCCAAATGACCCTGTCAACCTCTAGCCATCACAACAATCCGACTTGCATGTCTGGACAAAAGGGAAATTCGACGAGCAACACACCGCCGTCCCATCGCAAACGTGGCCCTGTTGGCCTTGGCAACGCTATTCATTTGTCAGAGATCGGTCAGACTCGACAAAACACCTCTAAATCCGTGTAGACCCGAGTGGGGCCCGCCAGCCCAATAAGCAGCCCGCATTGCTCTGTCATCCATGACTGATGCACTTGCGCGAAGCTTTGCTATGCTTTGCTAATCGAACCATCCCCTCCCAGCACCGATGGCCCGACAGCAATTGGCGGACGAGGTGTCCTCATTGCTGGTGGGGTCGGGGTCCAGATTGCTATCGTCCGTGAATACTTAAGCTCCCCTTCCCCGCCCAACGACTCGAGCCATTATCCCCTTAAGCTTCTTTTATTCCTCTACATACCTCCATCACTACCCCTCCCCAATCCATTCACCATGGCTCCCAAGGTTGCTATCGTCTACGTACGTCAATTCGTCCCCGCCAATACCTGTCATCTCTTCCGAGGACTCCGCAACTAACTTCCGGCTCATTAGTACTCGATGTACGGCCACATCCAGAAGCTGGCTGAGGCTGAGAAGAAGGGTATTGAGGCTGCTGGTGGCGAGGCTACCATCTACCAGTACGATAATCCCTTGATCCGATATGCCTCCCGCCTTTGGTATTGACAATTTCCATCTAGGATCGGTGAGACTCTCTCTGAGGAGGTTCTCGCCAAGATGCACGCCCCCGCCAAGTCTGACTACCCCATTGTTGAGCCCACCACCCTTTTGGAGTACGATGCCGTCCTCTTCGGTATCCCCACCCGTTACGGTAACTTCCCTGCTCAGTGGAAGACCTTCTGGGACAAGACCGGCTCCATCTGGGCCTCCGGTGGCTACTGGGGCAAGTACGCCGGTGTCTTCGTTTCCACCGGCACCCTCGGCGGTGGTCAGGAGTCCACTGTCATCTCCTCCATGAGCACTCTCGCTCACCACGGCTTTATCTACGTTCCTCTGGGTTACAAGACCACCTTCCCTCTCCTTGCCAACCTTGAGGAGATCCACGGTGGCAGCCCCTGGGGTGCTGGTACCTTCGCTGTAAGTTGACCGTGAACAACAACCTATTGGGCTGAGGGCCTCAGACTAACGGATTATCCTAGGGTGCCGACGGTTCCCGCCAGCCCACTGCTCTCGAGCTCCAGATCGCCGAGGCTCAGGGCAAGGCCTTCTACGAGACCGTTGCCAAGGTCAACCACCAGTGACTACATGGCAGTGCCGAGTCGAAGCCCGAGACCTCGGCCCCCGCTACCAGTGCAGCTGCTCAGAAGTCTGAGCAGCCTGCCCAGCAGCAGCAGGGCAACCGGGAAGCAGCACAGGAAAGAGACAGTGAAGGAGGACCATGTGGCTTGCCCAAGAAGTGTACTATTTTGTAACTGATTGGGTCCTAGCTTTGTTTCCTCCTTGCGCTTGTTCTGGTTTCCTTGGTGACTTCCCGGGGGCGTTCTCGTAGGCGTTTCGATGTTTTCTGATGACGATATGGATATACATGATCACTTTTGATCCTAGAGGCTTCTCCTAGATTAAAGCTAATTCTCTCCTCCAATGGAAAGTTCTCGTCACCCTATACTATCAATGCTGTGCGAAACAACCGTATACTTTATAAATATTACCAAACGCTTTGTCGCATGGCGTGAATACTCAAGCCACTACCCCCCTATCTCATCTTGCAATAAGATCATTAATGGGTAAAACAACACGATTAGAATGCCTTGATGTAAACTAGCTAACTAATAGAAATCAGTGATAGAGCTCTTTGTCTGGAAAGTTCTAGAGACGAGAATATTTGTAATCGCATTACAAATATTACCATATGAGTACCCCAAGTCACGTGTATATTTGGTTATCGTGTAACGTCACCGCCCGCCAGCGATGATGCTCACCGCCCGCATGTTGTGACGTGACCTGCTGGAGCTTTGAATGCAGCTCCACGCCTTCATCATCAATCTCCACCATGCGCCTGCTCTTCTGACTCGAAAATACCCAGACTTCCTCCTTCCAACATCCAGGCCTAATTTAAACCGATACCCTACATCCCAAAATGGCGTCCCGCCCAATCCTTCTGCGATTCGAGAGCAGGAACGGCCAATTTCGATTCACAGTGAACCCCCAAGACCAGTTCCCCTCTCTTCAAGAAAAGGTGATGGCGACCCCAGTTGACCGGAGTGTTGATATTTGTGGAACTGAGGCTAAAATGGCTGCAAAATCAGATCGTCGAACATCTTCCCTTAGAGGTGGACCCCTCATCTATTACCCTGTCTAATAAACCGATCGGCACTGGTGGGGAAGAGCGAAACCTAGAAGCTTTGGCTGGAGTTGCCATAGCACAGGTTGGTCTCAAGTGAGTGATCTTTTGGCGCTGCTGAGTTATCCAAACATCAGTGTACTCATCTATACAATGTGTCAGGCATGGCGATAAGCTCTTCATCGGGTATCAAGAACGAGCTGCTCAACAGAACGGCACCACCAATGGCCATGCACCTACCCCTTCCGAACATCGATTAAATGGCGCCCCAGTTCCTCAAAAACAGACCGTTCCGATCCGCCCGCTGGCTACATCGCCAACACTCAATATCTCAAATCCGTGGGACGTGGTGCAGCAGTCCCCACTAGACGATCTCCTCGATAAGAAAGATGGCAAGATCAAGCGAAACAAGGACCAGCGGATGTGTAAGCATGGCCCTAAGGGAATGTGCGATTACTGCATGCCTCTGGAGCCTTACGACGCCAAATATCTTGCAGAGAAGAAGATTAAGCACCTCTCCTTCCACTCATACCTTCGCAAAATCAATGCTGCAACCAACAAGCCAGAGATGAAAAGTTCATACATGCCGCCACTTAGTGAGCCGTACTACCGGGTACAGCGCGACTGTCCATCCGGGCACCCTCAATGGCCAGAGGGCATTTGCACAAAGTGCCAGCCCAGTGCCATCAGCCTACAACCTCAAGAGTTCCGCATGGTCGATCACGTGGAATTCTCTTCTCCGGATTTGATTAACTCGCTGTTGGACTTTTGGCGCAAGTCAGGTGCTCAACGACTAGGATTCCTTTATGGAACGTACGAGGAGTACACCGAGGTGCCTCTGGGCGTGAAGGCCGTCGTCCAGGCAATCTACGAGCCTCCACAAAATGGCGAGATTGACGGCGTTACACTCCGCGATTGGCATAATGAGCAGGAGGTGGACGAAGTTGCTCAGCTCTGTGGCCTGCAGAAAGTAGGAGTTATTTTCACAGATCTCCTTGACGCGGGCCGTGGGGATGGCTCGGTGGTCTGCAAACGACACATCGATTCGTACTTCCTTTCGTCTCTTGAAGTTGCATTCGCTTCCCGTCTCCAAGCTCAATACCCCAAGGCCACGAAATGGAGCCGGACAGGACGTTTCGGCTCCGACTTTGTCACATGTGTGCTGAGTGGAGACGAGACTGGAGCTATTGCCGTGAGTTCCTACCAGGCGACGGTATCGGCAGTAGAGATGGTGCGAGCCGACATCGTAGAACCCTCTGCAGAGCCCTCTGTCATGCTCGTTCAGTCCGAGAACGACGAGGATGTGGGCAGCAAGACACGATACATCCCCGAGGTTTTCTTCCGTCGCATCAATGAATATGGTGTCAGCGTTCAGGAGAACGCCAAACCAAGTTTCCCCGTTGATTACCTCCTAGTCACACTGACACACGGTTTCCCCACCGAGTCAGCACCCCTTTTCACCGACAGCAAATTCCCCATTGAGAATCGCGAGGTCATCGGCGAAAGCCAGGAACTGCGACATGTTGCTCAAAAGTTGATGTCACATGGAGACCCCGACAAGGCTATTCAGGGCCTATCTGACTTCCATCTCCTGTGCTTCTTGCATGGATTGTCTACGTTCAATAAGGTCAGTTCTGCCTAGATTCGTACTTGCTAAAGAACCCCACGGCATAGACAGTCAAAGTTCTCAGGTACTAATTTCAATGTTGACAGGATGAGGAAGCGCTCCTCGGCCGAGTTGCGACGACCCGAGCCCCCGCGGATGGAATGCAGCTGTTGAATACCCCCGGCTGGGCAACCTTGATGACAATCCTTCAGGAGAGTGGTGAGCGCCCCCCTAAGCGCCCCTGGCCCACCGCGGCCGAGGCACCCCGCCCGGCATCCCATTCTGGAAAACGGCGGGTACATTCACCCGCCGCCCAACTTCCCCGATCCGTGTCTCCCAAGTCCGACGGTGAACAGCTTGCTAAGAGGTTCAAGGGAACTAGTCTAGAGTGATTGGTTCTATTTCTTCAAAGCTAGATCTTCTTCCGTTCTTTTCTCCGATTCGGTCCGGCTCGCATCATGCTCGTCTTAGAGATTTAGGATGACATCGGCAGTTTCGCAGACGGTATCGCCCAGTCATCGCAGGAAATCATTTTCTTTGTGTTTCGAGGTGCATTTTGGATGGAGATCTCTCGATCAGTGGGTATTGGTGGGTGCAGGAGAGAAGGAGGAATAGAACATCGGTCCCCTCGGCGTTCAGTTGGGCCTTTGGCAGGGGTCATATCTCATACTTCAACATCTATTACGTTATCGGTGGTTCGGTGGGTCTCTACAGTCTAGCATTCAATACATGACGGAAACGTGCGCAATATCATCATAGTTCCTTGAGAGAAGATTGATTAAGTACAGCATATAACAAATTAGCGCCGAACGACCACCCTCGTATACTCGTCGCATCAAAATATCCCAAACGTCGAATCATTATGTTCACAATTTTACCCGTTCATGTATCTATATCCCAAAAACCAAATGAAATAGAACGTATGCAAACATCATGACCGAGGAAAACATCAAGGCTGTTCAAATGTACGGGCAGCCACCAAGCTAGGATTTGATTTTGCGACTTGCCCGAACAATGTCCTTCAACCGACTTTCCAGAACCTGTCTTCCTTCCCCATCAGTCCAAACCTCATGTGGAGCATCGTGAACAACGTCCCAGGCAAGTAACTTGTTCGTGATCTGCGAGAGATCCTCCTGTCTCTTCGCCCACTCTGGGTCTGCTCGCATCTTGAGACCTGAGCTCACAACGACCAATGGAGTCGTACCCATCTGGATATGTCGAGCAGATTGAACTTCCGCCGAAGTCATGGTCACTGCCACGAGATTCTCCTGTAGCTTTGCCTTGATGAATTTTCCAGTCTGATAGGCGGAGCCTCCGATGACTCGGTCTTCGCGGGTACGTCCTCGGAAGAGAGCACCCGCTAGACGATCCAAACCCAAGGGTGACAAAATACCGCGTAGCCACAGCATGAAGCCTCGTTTGGGTTGGCCAATGTCAGCGAGGTATGCCTCGTGAAGTGGATCAATGAGGAAGATGCCGCTGACTTCCAGTAAATGGCGGCTAGCGAAAAGGCGAGAGTAAAGGCTGCCCACGCCAGCAGAGACGACGACCCAAGGTCCGGATTCGCCGGCCAGAGCTAACGCTTCGGATAATACGTCTGCAGACATGCCTGCTGAATGGGGTGAGGGTGCATTATCAGACCATCCGAATCCGGGTCGGTCCCAGTAGCAGTATCTGCTGATAGCTCCGGATTGATACGCATCGTCGATGAATGGTTGTAAAGTATGTTCGACGGGGCCGTAGTCACCTTCGACAAGAATAGTCGGCTCATTGGAATCTTCGGTGCGATTCCCAACACAAGCTAAATGGACTCGATACGTGTCCCCGTGCACGGAGTAGCGTTTTCCAATAGGCTGAAGTGAAGCATCCCGAGCACGCAGGATTAGCGTTGCCGTGAATAAAAGAGTCACAAAAGCCATCACTGCCAACATGACTATCTCAACAAGAACGGCAAGCCATTCTCGGAGGGAGCGACGAGTCTCTTCACGACCAGTCAGTCGCTCCTCTTCCTCCCGTTTACCCCGTGTGACAACTTGATTCTGAAGAATCTGGTAGACGGAAATGACAAGTGCCCACACGACGGACGCGATACCAACCCAACCTTCTTCAAAGCGGATCTGTGGGACGCCGACTATGATAGACATATCGATCAACAGAAGGACCGCGAGGATGATCCCACAGACCGTCATTGGTTTCGAGGGAACGACGAAGAACAGCAGACCGAGCACAAGGTAGCCGGCTGTCAAGGTAATGTAGGAAAAGGCGAAGAATCCAGATCCCCGCGAGTGCATCAGCGGTGGACTGACAAATATTGATACCAGAAGGAACGTCCACCACACAAAGCTCGCAGCTAGTGCAAGAAGGGAAAGCCCTCGCAACGCTCGTACACTCCATAGATTGTAAGGGGAGACCTGATCGCGATTAGTGTACTTCAACAAACTTGACAAGGATCAATAAAACTTACAGCTGGATCATCGGGACTCAAATATCCTCGATCATTATTCGGGGGAAGCAATCTGGATCGCTCAGTCGGCTCTTCATGATCTGATGCGGAAACATTCCCATGCCCTTCGTCCCGAGCACCAGATGATCCGGGCCTGTTGGGCTCATCCTTCTTTTGCCAGAATGAAACCATTTTGCAAATCACAATATGGCTGACTTCTGCAAAAGGTGTTAATCTAAAGACGGGAGTGAGGCGGGGGGAAGATCATAGTTCGTGGAAGATCAAGTTTGATAAGATAGTCTGTAAATATGACGTCATGGATCGCCCTCAGTGGGGGTCTTGATTTAAGTCAAATTATTCCCAGGTTTGTAAATTGGAGGCAGGATGATATTGATAGACTCAGAGGAACTCATAAGCAGGAGAGAACTCTACATTCTTCTCTTCATGAACATGTCTTTTTATTGAAAAAATTGTGGGGGCTATATGTCGTGCGTCATCGTTGTGCAGTGACGAGTTGGATGCAGTTTGTGATTCAAACTAGGTATTAGTCTTATCCCGATCTAGGATAACGCTTATCCAAAAAACTCAGGGAAATCTTGCGGTTGAAACTCAATCCCCTCTGGGACTTGCTTGCATAAATCAATGTATAGCTAACTACCTTTGCAATTAGAGCAAAGCACCGACCGGTGATTGACTAAATTTTCGACCAGTGTATTTGAAAAGTGTCCTAAACTACTTGAGGTATTATCAGCTGGTGTATTATCATTCTACCCCTAAAGTCACTTGTATAGTAAGACAGTGTAGATGATACTCATTGCTTTGTTAAATGGGACGCACGAAAGGCTTTCATGTTCGTGGTACCAAAGCTCATCTCCAAGATCGGGTCACAAATTTCAACTATTGGTTTATCTGCTCTGTGTTTTTGTTTATGTGACAGACCTCCAGTAGTCTAGCAGTAGAAATTCGGGATGGGAGCGATCACGCCCCAGTGTGATATATATGGGAACCTAGATATGAAGCAACTGCTTTGCTGGGCTTGGCGGGGCTGTTATCGGCACCTTCTCCCTGGCTTGGCCTTCCCTCCAGAATGTATCCTGCACAATATGACCCGACGGAGGACTTCCTAGACATACTTCCTCTGCTTGATCATACTTTATTATTTAAGATCTAGGTACTGCTCTTCCCTGACCTCTATCGCACTAAATACCTTAGTCAGCGGAATATTGACGTCTGCGGCCTCAGGTTTCCAAGGCCAACTTTCTAGCCCACGGCCCACCAAAAGCCACCAGGTGAATGCCAAAGCCGACGGTGGTATGATCTCAACCTGCCTCCAGAATTTATCGCCCAAAGCTTTAAACGAGCAAGTATCCCACTAAAGCACCTTGTTGTCTAACTTAAGCAACAATCAATCACCACGCTGTTATCCGTGCTCACTACCCCATTCTCGGGTCAGAGGCCACACCGTTTACCCTCCACGTATAATCTCATGAGCGAGCTCCAGAAGTCCTTTGCAAAGGCTAAATTGGGCAAGCTTCCCCCGGAAGTACCCATGTTTCACCCAATGGATATTCCAGAAGAACATCACGAAGAGGATGGCTCTTCCGCGTCCTCGGTTTCTTCGACGGGGACTCTAATGCCCTCCCCCACGAGGAATCTATTTGCTCGAAGAAGCAGCGCGTACGTATGGATCTTATCGGTCTTTCTTGTTGATCTAAACAAAATCGTCTTGATGCCGAGCATGATGCTCATTGTCAGGTCTACCGTCCCAAGCGATTGAGCTAACATCACTCTCCAGACAATCAATGCAATCACTGTCTTGGACAGATTTCTTCAGTCAAGAGCTGTTCCTCCCCGAGGAAATTGACGGAATTCAGATTACCCACCATGTGTATTTGACACCACCGTTAGAATCAGGGCCATTGTTCGTTATGCATCACGGTGCCGGTTCGTCGGGCCTCTCATTTGCAACTTGTGCAGAGGAGCTCCGGAAACTTCTTCCGAAAGCCGGTGTCTTGTCCCTTGATGCAAGAAGCCATGGCCGTACCACCATGGCTCTAACATCGAAGCCTCTAAATCAGGAGAGCTCTTCCACTGGAGCTGCTTCTCAGGCGAAGGTTGATGGGAAGATTGAACTCGATCTCAGCCTGGACACACTGAGCCGCGACCTTGTCTTCGTCGTTCGAGAGACACAGGCGAGGATGGGCTGGGAGAATCTCCCAGATATTGTGCTCGTCGGTCATAGTCTCGGCGGTGCAGTTATTACTGATGTCGCTAAGAAAGGCGAGCTAGGCTCGAAGCTACTAGCGTATGCAGTACTAGATGTCGTCGAAGGTTGAAGTTGCCCCAACCAGCACAAAAATTTGGAACAGTTGTTTCTAACGATAGCGACAGGGTCCGCTATGGATGCGCTCCAAAGCATGGAGAATTATCTTTCAACCCGACCGACCCGGTTCCCTTCGCTAACGTCAGGAATTGAGTGGCAGTGAGTCTCTCACCCTCCGTTATCATGCTTTGCCCGTGATACGCCTCTAAAGCACTTCATAGTACTCGTTCCCGGACAATTCGAAATCATACCTCAGCTCGAGTCTCCGTCCCGTCCCTCATCTACGAGGAAACTGAGCCAACCGACCCCTCACGTCCGTGGGTATGGAGAACTAATCTCGCTGCCACGAAGCCCTTCTGGGAGAACTGGTTCATAGGATTGAGTCGCAAATTCCTCGACGCGCGGGGTGGCAAGCTGTTGTTGCTAGCGGGGACGGATCGATTGGATAAAGAATTGATCATTGGGCAGATGCAAGGTATACGGTCCTTCTCCTTCTTTCTCTTCCTTAGCAGGAGCATGGGCTAATTTTTATACGTTCATAGGAAAATACCAGCTTCAAGTCTTCCCAGAAGCGGGTCATTTCATTCAGGAAGACCAACCGAGCAAGACGGCGCAGGTGTTGGCTGACTTTTACAGGCGGAATGATCGAAGCGCACTGGTGTTGCCGCCCAAGGTGGGTGACTTGCAGGCCGCTGCTGCGATGAAAAAAGGCGCTGGCGTCTTGGAGAAAGGACATACCAAGTAGATACAAGATAAATTTCCAATAAATTCCTACGGAGATCCAGAAATAGAGAATGCGATAGCCGCGTAAATGTGGCGATACGACATGTCTACAGTTACAGATGGACTTGCAATTGTCATTGATGCAAGTGAATTTTGATTAGAAGCAAATCCCTTTCTCCAAATGATTCCATCCCTGCCACCAGGTCGTTTTGTATGCATTACAGCCATTACAATCCATAGGTCCTTCTACCCAGAAAGGGGACAGGCCAGCGGACGACGGCTGTGATTTTGTAGTTCCAGACCAAGCAGAGCAGAGTCACTAGATGATTGAGACTGTTCCTTCAGTAAGGTAAAAGGCCTCTGCAGAAATAAGATAGAAAAAAGATGTTCACGCCGCCACCGTACCATAACACCGAACAGAGATCGATCTCCAGATTACAAACGCCATCCAATCTCAAAGGAACAGTTAGCGTAAGCTTTCTGAAGATTACCATGACCAGATAAACATGAAGAAGGTATCCGAAGAAACCGGGGTATTTGCGTTAGAGAAGATAAGAATAAGGTCGACACGGTGTGAAGACTGAGGAAAATGAATATGCCCATCTAGGGAAGATAGGCACCGCCCGCAACGACCAAGTTCATGTTCGTAAACTTGACCTTGTAGACGGGACTCTTTTTAGTCGGGAAAGCGCTAATCTGGTCGGGGGTGACAACCACATCTTTGCCCTTCTTCTTTTTGCTAGAGGCCGTAGCGCTTGCAGGGGCATTGCTGGCATCGAGCTTGGCACCGGCACCGCCTTCACCAATCACGCGTCCCTGGGTGGCATCTTGGGGGCTGCTGACATCCCAGATACGGACAGTACCATCGGCACCACCAGATACGAGGACTGTCGATTCGACACTCCAGCTGAGTGACCAGATACCGCCCTTTCCATGACCACGCATGCGCTTCAACAGCCGGCCTGGTGCGAGATCCCACAGGAAAATGGAGCCAGCATCGTCTGCAGATGCCAAGAGCTTGCCATCGCGACTGCACTCCATAGCAGTCACGTTGCCAGTGTGGCCAGTAAACATACGCACCGCATTTCCAGTGGTGATAGCCCACATTCGTACGGTCTTGTCAGAGCTGGCTGAGAAGACGTAAGCAGAGTTTGGATGGAAGCAGACACAGTCCACATCTTGATCATGACCAGCGAAGATACGTAGCTGGCGGATGTGATCAGTGACCCAGAGTCGAGCAGTGCGGTCAGAGCCACCAGAGACGAAGTAGTGACCAAAGGGTCCCCATCGCAAGTCCCAGACGGGACGATCATGGCCCTTGTAAACGACAAGGCATTGCCAGGTGTCAAGAGACCACAGGCGGATTGTCTTGTCCGCTGACGAGGAGAGAAGGAATCGAGAATTGGTCGGAACATAGTCATCGTCGGAGACATTTTCAGACTTGGCTGCGCAAGGTGGGAAAGCAACAGCATAAACAGGGCCAGCATGGCCGATCAGGCGCCGAGAGTTTGCCGGGGGAAGATCGTCCAAATCCGGGTAGGCTGCTTCGATATTCTTCCCGTCAAGGCTCCACACGCGGATGTAAGACTGGGCGAATCCTGCAGCGACAAGCATGTTGTCATCGGAGAAGTCCAGGCAGTTGATACTTCAAAGGAACAGTCAGCAAAGCCTGCAACATAGGTACGATAAGCACGGGACATCTTACCCATCAAAGGTGTTGTGGAAGGTGAACATGCACACGCTGACTCCCGGACCCACACCACCAGTGCGACCTTCAATCTTGAACCGATCCCTGTGCTCCCGAACCTTCATGCATTCAATCGCGACGTCGCGAGCAGTAGAGGCAGGGAATGGAATGTCTGCACGAGTAGGCGCCTCCTCGTCCTCTTCCTTCTTAATCATCTGCTCAAACTCTTGTACGAGTGAGTTGCGGCCAGGGGCAGGGGGTTCTCTGGCATCTTCATCGGCCAATTCAGCACGAATATCCTCTTCCAGGTCCTGCTCCATTGGCAACTTCCCAAGCCGAAGTCTTGGCAGGGTTCCGGCCATGGCTGGATTATCTCCAGTGTATGCCGAGCCGGGATGGTGGCCCGGAATACCCTCATCTTCGGAGGGGAATGACTGACCCGCTCCGATTTGGCCAAGCATGGCAGCAAAACTGAACCGATCATCGGAAGCACGGTCCATAGTTTTGATAGTGCAGTAGCTGCTCAAAATGGCGTTCATCACAGAGCCACCCTCCTTCTCCTTGCTTTCGAGGAATTGAAGGAGATTGGTGTAGGCGGGATTGCTCAGAACGATGCGGTACTTGTTGGTTCGATAGAGCTTAGCGGTATCATTGGCCTGCACATGTTCCGGGAGGCTGATGGGCTCGAGCTTACGGACGTCGTCCGTGTGCTCAGGGAGGAACATGTTCTTGTTGGCATCAAAGAACTGCTTGGCGTCTTGAGGGTAGAAAGCCGTAACCATATTTAAGAACGAGTAAACAAACAGCGGCCACAACACACGGCGAAGCTCCGGCTAATGATTGGAATCAGCAATTATTCAATTGGACATGGCAGCAGTTAGATGTGACGATGTCCATTTACCTTGTACAAATCCAGATTCTCCTCGACCCACGCCTTAAGCAGCTCTATAGCATTCAGTCAGTACACAAATCATACGAATGCAAAGTAGGAAGGTTATTTACCGAATCCTTTTCTGAATTTTGGACGGGCATCTTCTCCAAGAGGTGGAAGCGGACGTCCATCGATCTCCTGATTGGCGGATTCCATACGAAGCATAGCTTCGGTCCGGCTGTAGCCCTTCTTGGCGAGGTAATCGATGACCTATAAGTAGAGAGATACATTAGACTTTGGCCGTCAAAAAATGACATAACATTGAATAAATCGGACGGCATCCGGTTTCGCGGCCTGCTGCAGCAGCGTTTCAAGTCTTGGTTGAGTCTCAACTGGCACTGCCGGCTGCACAGGGACTGTATTTAAAGCAGTTTGCGTGACGGAGACAGGATTTTGAGAAACCTGAGTGGCCGGAGCATCGTGCGTATGTACAGTCTTCCCAACCGTCTTAGGGCCAGTGGCAGTTCCAGGAGAAGCATTCTCCCCTAGAGCAGAAGATTGCCCCGAAAAAACGAGCTTCAAACGAGGCAAAGATTTCCCAGGCACAGGCTCAGTTGATTCAGGCTTCTCAAAATGACCCTTGCGTGCAGACGGAGGCGACTTTTGCCTCATCGGGAGATACTCGTCGTCTTTGCCAACCTCTTTCGAGGGCTTGCGCTTGGGTCGAGGCATGATTTTTCCAGAAAGCGAGAGTAAAGATAGGTAATGATAAGTGGGGTAAATGAAGGTTGAAACTCTCTCTGTCACACGAAACGCGTCCTGGCAGAATACAAACCAGACGCGGGAAGACGGTGACAGATGAGAGACGTGTTGCCCATCCGGTCAGGGAAGCACGATGGGCAACTGACAGAGGTCGCGACTGCAGATTGAAGGCAGGCACGTGGAAATATCGATAAGCCTCCTCATGAAGTAGCAATTCGCTGATGCTCTTCGTAATTTCCACCTTCATCCAGACGGAGCATATATCAAGTCTTTCTTTCATCTCAGAGTGACAAGTCTCACCATGGCTGGCAGGCACCCGGAGAAGATAATCGATTCATGGATCAAGTTGAAACTGATCTCCAGGCTTCAGGGACACAGAAACAGCCACAATGCAGCACACAAGACCATACAAAGAGCATGGCCACTCCAAACAGGATACCATGGGGATACACGAGGCACAGAAATCAAGACATTCAACTTACAATTTGATTCAAATTCTGCTGTGACATAGCACCACTTTGAGGAGGTGGAGGGCCAGGCGGAGGGGCCGAGTGTACAGGAGTTCCAGACATAGGCTGTTGCGACGACATGGGCATATTTCCTCCACTTGCGCCAGGTCCCATGCTGCCGCCTCGCGGCGCAGGGCTGGGAGCGCCGCCTGGCGCAGACATTGCGATTGAACAGGCGTGGAAAGTTCAGAAAGCTGCCAGGTGAAAATACAGATATTCAGAACAGATGAAAGACAAGGGCGAGAGTTGAAAAGGAGAGATTGAAAGAGGAAGGCCGGGATGAATTTGATATTCGGCAGGCTGCCGGCGCGCGACAGGCTTCCAGGCTGAATAAGCTCCCCGGATTCCTGGTCAGGTGATCTCGTGCTATGTGGGAGCTCTCCAGCTAGCAATCTTTATTTGATTCCTTCACTGACGCGAAAAGACACTTAAACAAAAACCCAAAAAATGAACCCTTGGAATCCTCTTTTCTGAAAGGTCTATCTCACAACCATCAACTAGCAAAATGAGTGAAGAAGCCCCTGCCTCCCAAACATTCACTGCTGCGGATCGCATCCGGCAACTGAATGACATCGACCAGGTACGAGCGGGATGAAGCCACCCTTCGCCTCAATGAACCTGGCTGACATTATTTTTACGCAGGATGTGGCCAAATTGATTAACTCCGCTGGTCTCGCCATTCAAGCGCTAACCAACACCAAGCCCGACTCCGAAACACCAACTGACGGCACTCTGGAATCCCACAAGGCCCAATTCAAAGAAGCTACCGCGAAATATTTCTCTCTGCTCTCCTCCATCGATGTTCGGCTGCGCCGACAAGTCTACGCCCTTGAAGAAGCCTCCCTTTCTACACCTGATATGGCTACTAAACCGGGTGATGCTGCTGGCGCTGGCGCCGGTGCCGTTGGAGCCGCGGGACCTGGATCTGGGAACCCTCTTGATGTCAGTTGGCTGAACAGCCGCAAGGATACGGTTGGCAAGGACAAGGAAGCTGAGCTGTGGGCTGCTGCGAGAAGTTTTGTGGAACAATTGGACAATGCGCCCAACGGATCGAAGGGCTCGGGCAACCAAGAGCAGAACGAGTCTGAGAAGATGGAGGTCGATTAAGATGGACCAGAAATGTTGCTGGATGAATAATGGGCTGGTTTTGGAACTTTATGAATGATACCCCGGTTACGGAAGCAAGAGCTTAGAGAAACCAGCAATTCCATGATTTACTTTGAAGGGCCATATATTGATATCAGGTGTATTTGGGTAAAATATCCAAGACTGTTCACAGAACAAAGCTATGCAAAAACGAAAGCAACAGCGGGTTGTCTAATCTGGGCTCCGGAGCCTCGTTTAACCTAACCTGCCTGGCAAGACACAAAACCAAGAATAGATCACTTCTGCATGCCCTTGATCATCTCGAGTTGCGTTGCACGGTCCCGATTAGCCTCTGAGAGCGACGACAGACCTTTATATTGATGTTAGCATTGCGGCTCTCGCGTTGACATATGCACAGCAACTTACTCCGCAGCTCACCAACAACGTCCTTGGCCTTGCCGAAGTAAACCTCCTCTAAACGACACAGTTCAGGTTAGCGAATGATTTCTACCACATCCTCGAAGGGAAGCCATACGCAGCAAGTTCCGCATCTTCAACTCCATATCCTCAACCAACCGTCCAACGTTGGCAATGTGGCTCGCATCCGACTCAACGGGCAAATCGGCCTCAACCTGACGGGTCATGTTACCGCTCAGGTCCATCTCACCGAGGGCCTCGGTTTCATTAGCCAGATGCAGAATAACAGTGCTAGTAAGCTTGTAGTGGGACATGCGTGCGCGGTCGGTAGCCTCGAAGACATGAATGCTGTCCCACTCGCCGGAGCTCTGGGAACCAGCCGTAACCCCTGGAGGAGAGAAGAAAGTATGTCAGCCACAGCCACAGTCACAGATCCCAAACCCCACAGTGTTTCGATAGAGGTAGAAAGAAGGGGATTGTCAACTCATACCCTTCTTAAGCAAAATCACACCCGCAAATCCATCATCCAAATCCCAAAAGTACACACTGCCAACACCGCCCTCATAATAAAGCTCCCGGTAAACATCAAACGCCTCATTAGCCGCGACCTCGAGCTTACGCACACGCTCACTAGGAACCGTTCCATCCTCAAGAGGGGGATCAAACTCATTGCTCCATGGTGACCGGTAGCTATCGCCGTCGCGGTTGTAGTCGCAGAGCAGGTAGTCCCGGCTGGTCTGCGGGCAGCGGCGAATCTCCAGGGGCTGGTCGACGGAGGAGAGGAGGTCTTCGGTCAGATCAGGGACGATGGATGTAATGGCCTGGAGATTGGTCTTGGTGTCGCGCGGGTTCAGGCGCCGGAGGAGGTCCCTAGGGTGAGCATGGTCAGCTTGAGGGCTCGCGGTGCTGTTCGGAGCGGGGTTGCGGCAGGGGCTTGCATTGCAAGTGTTGCGGATCTCGTGGTCGAGGGGGTAGAGGAGATGAAGGAGAAGACGGTCATGGTCTAATTACTTACAGCGCGCTATCGAATTGTGCGTCAGCCATGGTGTGGGAGGGGGATTGTGCTTGTGTATACTCCGTTCTGGTCACAAGGCGGCGGTGTTGACGGGTGGAGGTGCGTGGGTGTATTGGCGGGCCCTCGTGGCACTAGCCTAAACCATTTAGATAGATCTACCACAATACGATGAGAACTACAGTGAAGAACGTGAAACATTTGGAAAATCTGGCCCCAATTATGACTTGATCGTTCTATGTACATATGTGTAAGTTATTAGGGGGCTACAAATGCCGAACCCGATATTACACTAACAACAATTCCCACGGGTTTTTGTTCATCACTCGTCACTGTCACTATCGGAAAAGACAATCCTCTTTTGTCTCCGTGGCTGTGGTACGGGCAGAGGTTGAGCCTTTGGCTTTGACTGAAAGATGACACTGGCATCTGGAAGGTCAGAATCGGAGTCATCAGAGTCAAAGTCACTTTCGATGGGTATCGGGGGTGGTGGCTGAAGCTGGGGCTCCGAGTCGGAAAGATTGGGCGACATCAATGCGGAGATTTCATCGTGTTCATAATCCGGAGCCACGGATATGGAGGGCCCAAGACTCTTAGAGGGTTTCGTGACTTGAGACCGGCCTGGCTGCTTCGTAGAGCCAGAAGACGATCGACGGGGAGCTTTGGTAGCCTTCTCGGTCTCCCTTGCTATGATCTGCTTATATCGATCCTCACAGTCGGGCCCAGCTTTGTCCATCTTTTGCAATGTTGTGATCATCCGACGGGTCAAAGAGCCATGTGTCACCGTCTTAGTTGGTCTGGGAACGAGCTGCAGTTGTGGAAAAGCATCGGTTCGCGGGTAGCGAATGAATTGTGGTGAGGTATCGCCAATATTCTGATAGTGATGCTCCAGCTCCTGCTGCTCGCTTGCAGACAGCACAACGTCCTTCAATAGCGGCACCTCCACTGGCTCCGGTGTGGGTGTGCGTGGTCGGTTTTTAGGTGTCGGCTTCTGCTTTGCCGACTTGGCGAAGCTCTCCTCCAGCGTCGAGGCGCGAGCGAAACCGGTCTCCACATCATCAGGCATATGAAACTTCTTGGGGGGACGCTTAGGTATCTTGCCCTTGCGCTTCGGTTCGGGAAGCTCTTGCTGGGAATTCTCTGGAGGGATATCGATATGTCGCTTATCGGGGACTGGGCGCATCCCCGGAGGCAGAATACGAGCAGATCGGTCATCGTGAAAGGTGAACCGGGTTCCACTGGCGATCATTTGCTGCATCTTCTCGTAGTTGTCTTTCGCTTTGGTAAAGTTATCCTCCTCCTTGCCCTTCATCAACAGCAAGGTGATTCTGCCCGCTCTCTTACGGCCCGTTCGACCCATCCGTTGCAGCATGCGAATAGGTGATGCGGAGGAATCGTAACAGACGATGAGATCGACCTCACCAATATCCAGACCTTCTTCACCGATTGAGGTAGCAACGATCGTGTTGTAGGTTCCACCTTTGAATTTCTCGATGATCGACAGCTGGGTCTTTTGATCCATTCCTTCAGAGCCCTTTGCCGAGCTCTGTCCCACGAAGACATGTGGCCGGATCATAGGAGCATAGCGCTGGAGCACTCTGGTTACCTCTTCCGCACTGTCACGGAAATGCACAAATATCATCACTCTCGTTGCAGGCCTTCCATTTCCGTCCACGTTCTCTTTCCCTTCCCTTGCATCCATGAAATGGTTTAATATCACCGACTTGAGATATTCCAGTTTAGGATGTCCAATAAACTCCGGATTCTTTGTCCAAGGTTCAAGGTGGCTGAGAAGCTTCTTGAAACTCTCATCTTGTACAACTTGCTTCTGCCATTTGCCTCCCTTCTGACCATCGGTGTTGGATTTGAAATGCAATATGTGACGGTAAAACGGCACGATACCGTGATATTTCAACAAGTCGATAGCATGCGCTAGGCTTGCAAGAACGGTAAAAATAGCGTTGACCTTGCCTTTAAGCCCAAAATTGGCATTGCGGCCGGCATCAGACCCCATCCACTGTTGTCTTGCCTTGGTGAGACCGAAGGCTGTCAGACCCATGGGATCGTTTCCCCAATAAGCATTCATAGTCCGAAGTTGGCTGACCAGCGGTCGCAGTGTGGTGGATAATAAATCCATGCAAAAGATCATCTCATCCGAGTTTTCGAACGTCTCGATGTCGACATCACGGTTGTGGACGTATTCTCGGATGTCAATCGAATTTTCTGTGCGAATTTCGACTCGTGATATGTCAAGGCCATCGATAACTGCTTGCACCGATTCGACCGTAGATCCGGGAGTGGCTGTCAATGCCAGGACACGGAAACTCTGGTTGAAACGTCGCAGGAATTTAACCACTTCTACGTAAGCATAGCCTCCAGTAGCACGGTGGGCCTCATCGACGACCAACAACACAATTCGCTTGGGGTCTGCAATTCCGGTCTTCAAGTCGTTGATCAAGGTCTGCGGAGTCATGAAGAACACGCGTTTAGATTGCCACTCCTTTGCACGAAGACCGGGAGCAGCGCCGCCCGTCAGCATTGTCGTCTGCGATCGTGGGATGCCAGCAATGTCCAAACATGCCGATACTTGCTGTGATACCAAGGGTTTGGTAGGAGCAACAAATACCATCTGTGCATCTGTCGTCCATCGGAACCAATTGAGCATGACCGTTGCAGCGATGAAGGTCTTTCCCAGACCGGTTGGTAAGGCAACGAGCAAATTGTGGAAAAGACCCTTTTGAGCAATATTGAATTGATAGTCTCGAATAGTTCCCAGATTTGTGGGATACCACCATGTATTCAATGAGTCCTGGTTCAACTTGTGATGTGTCGGACGCTCGTCTCTCTCCGGTGGTGCCCAATCCTTCTCTTGTGGCGTCTGAACCTGGTTCTGTGCAGCCATGCCATAAAGCGTCATTTGTCGCATATATTGAGGACGGTTTGCGGATCGATTGAAGCTTGATTGGGGGTTCGCCAATTGTGCCGGCCGTAGTACTGGCGACAACGATGGGGAAGAATCGAAAGCATCATCGGGAATATCCTCAAGCTCAAACGAAGCGTCCATAGCGGCGCCCGGACCATCATTCCGAGCAGGTTGACGTTGTTGTAAAGAGGGATTCGTCGTTTCCCGCATGGTCTTCTCGTCCTCAAATGCATCCAGCGAAGCAGCCAGAGCCGCCCTGAGAGCTTCCTCCTCGTCATAGTAGTTGTCATCCGGCTGCTGCACAGATTTATTGGAGTTTCTGGCTTGTGATTCAGGCATGGTCACCGGGGGCGGCGACTGGAGTGATGGTTTCTGCCACCTAGGACCACGGAGTCGTTCAGGGCTCGAGTCGGGCTGGGTGAGTTGGGTAACGAAGATGTTCTCTTGGAAGTTGCTCTGCTTAGGGACGAAGCTACGGGACTTGGATCGTGCTTGCTGTTCATATTCTGCCGACGAGTCTCGCCCGGGTGGAAGATCTTCATCAATATCGGAGAACGAGTCCGTTCCTGACGCGATATCACGGTCGCCGTCTTTCCCACGCGTCGGCGATTGGACGCGGCGGCGTTTTGCCGGGCGTGGTGAGGCAACCTCTCCGTTTGGAGAGTCTGGAACAATAAAATCATCGTCAAAATAGTCCGATTCGGACTCTGTCGCGGACATGGCGCCCATCGAGCGCTGCCCAGCGCTTTCTGAGCGTTACTACTGGGAACCCCACGCGTCGAGGCCATCGCGCGGTCAGGTGATCCAAATGAGCCGTTTGCATAGTTTGTCATCTACCCTAACTATCGTTTTAGAAGCAGCATTCTATGTACAGTATTCTGTAGAAGGAGTGAAGATTGATACAGAGAACTTCTCGTAGTTTCTCATTGGGTCTGTCCCAAGGATACATCAAATTAATTAATTGTCCCGTCTTTCCCGCTATCATTAAGGGCACCCTCCCGATTATACAGCACGCAACCGACCGACTACCGTTGGAGTACACCATAGGAAACTACCAATTGAGCTCACCACGGGATCTATTTTTTACTATGGCCCTTTTTATGCTGTAATTCAAATTTTAAAGCAGACGAGAATTGAGACTCCCATGTCTAATGCAAAGAAGGGGCAGTTTTACGGACTTGTCCGGGCATTGCATTACGGACGTATGTAAATGGGTGTCGAATGTTCCATTTTAATTGCAACTCAGGAACATAATTGGAATTGCTTGATCATTTGACCTACGATACTCCTACTATATACGTTGTAGGTTGAGATATTCCCAATTTCCCGTGGCCAAAACCGTTACTCTTCCAGCGAGGATCGGTGCCGACCGGCTCGATACGAAAAACATCCCACGAAAAGCCAACTCCCTTACTGCCGGCGGGGGACACTAGTGCCGGGGATGTGGAGAAATCGATAGTCACCAATACACGTACACAAACAATGGAAAAGAAAAAAAAAACAAAAACAAACTATAGTCACAGGGCGATAGTGACAATTGTACTCCGTACGAGGCAGCTTGGAGGTGGCACGGACGAGTTGCAGGACCCCCAGATTTGACAGATCCACTGGGGCGTCAGGGTCCTGCGGCAGGATGGTTTAGCGTCGTTAGCGCTTCCCTGCCCTGCAGCCTGTGCAACCTCCTCAAGGGGGGCACCAAGTATAGTTCGTGGAGTTTCCAATCTCCCCCTGTGGAGAGAAGAGAAAGGGAGACGTAGGTACCCTGTATACAGGAAGCAAGGTAGAAACCCTCTATCCTGCAGAGTGCAGGCAGGGCGCTCATTGAGGAAACTATGGAGCCCGAGGTGGAAAACGTCCCGAATACTCCGTACTTGGTAGAGTCAATCTGAGACAGAGCGAATAAGAGCTAGCGCCAATGGGCTATTCGTAGGTTTTCCAGGCTTTGGGGGGAAGGGCCAAGGGTTCTGATTAGACTGGATCGGTTGGGTGAGAATCGTCCAACATGCCAATGCCCCTACTGAATCCCCGTGATTCCTTGGTTTGCTGCTTGTGGCCTGGACCCTTTGTTTGTGCCCGTATTTAACGGCTCTTTCCTCCTTCTGCTGTGTTTCCTCCTCTCCACACTTTTCTTCCTTCTTTGCTTTCCTATTTCCGTCACCCGTTAGACTCCAGTCTCTACCTGTACTTTCCCACTCTATCCACAATGAAGTTCACCCTGATCGCCCTCTCCACCCTGCTGGCCCTGGCTGCCGCTGCGGACTCCACCACCTCCACGGTGGCTCCGGCTACCACCCTTAGCGCTGAGGCCCAGTGCGCCCAGAAGTGTAAGTCACTCCTTCTCGAGAGTCCAATATCAATTCCACAAGATCAATTCGAATCTCTGACGCGTCTTTACTACAGGCGACGCCAACGACGTGTGCTGCGTTGCGCAGTGCTACCATGTCCCCTGCCCCAGCGATGACAATGCCAACGACACCAACAGCTGTGTCGCTGCTTGCCCCCAGGGCACTGGCTCGCCCTCCGACACCCAGAAGTACGCCGACTGTGAGCAGAAGTGCTACAGCTCGCACTTCTTCAATCCCACCACTGCCGTTGCCCAGGCCACCCACTCTGCCTCGTCTGGCTCCTCGGGCACTACCGTTACTGGTAGCTCGGCCACTGAGACTGGCTCGTCCGGCTCTGACTGTGCGTATCAGCTTTCATTCCAATATAGACGCTCCGAGAACCTTTCACTAACAGCCATCCCACTACAGCCAACAAGGCCGCCAGCAACACCAGCGGCTCTGCCACCAATACCGCCTCCGGTGCTGCCCAGTCTACTGGTGCCGCCGCCAACCTCCAGCTGGGTGCTTCCGGTGCTGGCCTCTTTGGCCTGGTCCTGGCTGCCTTTGCTCTGTAAGCGCGCAACCACGGAGATATCCCAGGGATCAATCCCCCATTGATCCTTCTCGGATTGCGGGGCCGCATGGTTTGGGAAATAATTTTGAACCAATGGCCCCGTGACCGAAACCAACTGTTCTGCTTTCCTTTCAATTGTGTGATAGTATCAAAGATACCTAGTTTTTTTGGTTCTGAATAGGGCCTTTTTGTGAATGACATACGAATAATAATTCGGGGAAACAACCTATCCCCATCATGATCAAGTTTGCGCTGTTTCTTTATTTTCATTTGATAAGTTTGTATGGAGTAGAACTAGCATTCCTCGGCGGACCACAAGGCAGACAGGAATCCCGATACATCGATCGAATCGAATCGAGTCTTAAGTGTTGCATTCCGCTGATCACGCCCCACACGGTGGACTGTTTTCCCCGCAAACGATCCCAGGGAGGATGTTGTCCCAGGTACTGTTCAGTCATTTGAATATGCACTGACCACGGGTTATGCGATGCAGGGGGGACTGTAAAGTAAGTATTACCATTTCAGATCCATATTGTATCCAAGGATGCGAATTCTTAGCAGCGCATAACACGTCGTCGATATAGTTACCTGAAGCTAGTTAGCTAAAGTAGAGATCGTCTCGGGGATTCACCGCCAACGCCAACGGAACGCGTTGTTTACTGCGGGGAAGAAAGTTTCTGCTGATCTTAGGTTACGGGCAATCGCCAGGATATATCTCTCCCCTCTGTGAAGTTCACACCCATTTCTACACTTACATATCTCGACCTATCCCACAAAGAGCCTCGCATCTAAGCACATCCCCCCTCATATATACTCCACTCCAACCCTCGTCTTCGCAATACCGTCCCCAACCGGACTCTTCACCAAACAACCCCGCAAAAATGGACATCACCAGCCCGGAATTCCAAACCCTCTACGCATCCATGACCACCTTCGTCAACACCTGCATGTCGGGCCACGACCCCTCCCACAACCCCGCCCACGTCCACCGCGTCGCAAACCTCGCAAACACAATCCTAGAAGCCGAGGCCACCGCCCTCCCCACCCGACCCCTCGACCCAGCAGTCGTCAAACTAGCCGCTCTGCTCCACGACATCGGCGACAGGAAGTATCTCCCCACACTTGCATCTGCGAGCAACGAGTCCAAATCCGGGGCACCCACCAGCGAGCAGGTCGACGTCGATCCTAAAACGATGGTCCAAATAGCCCTGCTCAACCACGGGGCTCCCGCGGAACTAGCTGCGAAAGTCCAAATGGTGGTCTCCCACGTCTCCTACACGACCGAGTGTAAAGACCCCGCGTTGATCCGTCGGCTTATCGACGAGGACGGGTACCCGGAGCTAGCAATCGTGCAGGATGCGGATCGACTAGATGCCATCGGGGCGGTTGGGATCGGGCGGACGTTTACGTTTCTCGGGGCCCAGGGCAAGAAATTTGCGGGGGAGAATGGGTGGGAGATGGGGAATTGTATAGAGCATTTTGTGGAGAAGTTGGAGAGGTTAGAGGGGATGATGAAGACGGAGACTGGCAAGGGAATGGCGAGGGTGAGGACGGAGAGATTGAAGGTTTTTAGGGGGTGGTGGGAGGAGGAGATGGAGGTTGCGACTGCTGGCGCTGTATAGGAAGGGGCTTATAGTAGAGCTACCGTGTAGAGGTGCCAACTTATAGATGATGCAATTTACGAATTTAAAAGGTGCGGGGCTGTCTATCTTGAATACCATGGGGTGTTGTAGCCCCACTGGTTGCATTGATTGATTCATGTTCAGAGTATAGCCGTTTCGAGCTTCCAGCGAGAGACGAGAGTAGAGCTCAATGTGCAGGAAAGCGTCAAAAAGACAAGAAATGAGAAAAGACCATTCTGATCAAAACTCTCCGACGCCAACGGAAAGGGAAACGTCATCGGTAGAGACAGTCGTCTCGAGTGTCCGAGACAGGAAACAAGAAAGGAAAAAAGCATGACATGTCCTCCAGTCTATAGAATGCCAAGAACAACGATCAGTACATGGTTTGGGTATTTGGGTTTCTGTGAGAAAAGTGCCAAAAAAAAAACGAAAAAAAGTCATCGAGACAATACCAAAGGAAAAGATGATCAGATAGCAAGTGCACCCAAAAAAGAAAAAACAAGACAAGCCAACATGTATGTAATGCAATTTCATAGGTCTGGTTCCATCTGGGAAGGATCGAGACGGAAATCAAGGGACAAACTCCGGCTGCAATTCTCCAACGCCGCGCAGGCAAAAATCTAAAACACTGGATAATCATCAAAAAGTAGTGGAAAACCCCCCCCCAAAAAACACCAAAAAAAGAAAACCCGGTTCTCACGTAATAAACGAGAAGAGAATGAAAATCAATTCAAACCCGATCCCGTGCAAAGTCCAGGACTTCGCAGTCATCCTCGAAAAATCCGTCATCCGCCCTGAGAGGAGTAGAGTGTTTCTTCTTCCGGCGAGTGGTAATGACCACTTCTTCAACATTGCCGGTACTATTACCAAGAGTGATGAGATTCTCCATCTCTCCACCGGCCCCAAAGGACTCGCCGCGGATGGCAGCATCCTCATCGGCCTCGCCATCTTGGTCATCACCACTGGTATTGTACGATCGGACATGCACCTTAGTTGTCGGGATGTCGTCGCCAAAAACCCACTGACCGCTAGGCACCTGTGCTTTGCTATCACTAGGGTAAACGTGGAGGCTCACACGCTGATCCGTGTGGAATGGTTGGTAGGGTGTATTGGTCTCAATCTCAGCCTGAGATAGCGGCTGGCAAAAGGCCTTGCCCGTACTGCTAGGCTGGGAGCTGGCAGAGGGCAAGAGGAGGGATGCCTGAACGACCTTCTCAGGATCGTAAGGCACAAGAGGCGCCGGGCCACAGATACTCTGCATATTGGCAGGCAGCCTAAATTGGACATCTTTGCTTCCAATGACAGAATATGACTGACGATTCTTGTTGGTAGAAGTGCTTCGCTTTAGACGATACAGTTTGAACTGTCCATCATCCACCAGGCCCATGAAGATATGTCCCTTGTTAAAGATCCAAATCACCCGAGACGGAGCCGGGTCCCTTGCGAGCCCTGACAGGTGAAGTCGGTTCTCGCCGACATGCCGGAGGGTCTGTACAGTCCCCGTGGCTGCCGCCCCCATGGACTTGCTCAGTCCTGCTGCAACGACCTTGCCACCTTTGATGCTAGCCGCAGTTGGCAGAGCAAATCCGCTCACATGAGGGAAACCGCTACCAGTAGACTGAACGCGACCTCGTACTGCAGAGAGGAATGGCTGTGTCTTCCCGCCCATGAAGGTCATAGCCGCAGAAAGTGGGTTTCCAGCCGCTGCTGGACCCGACAACTCATCACCTGTAGGATCCACGGTTGGCGATTTCTTAGCGGTTGGACGAGCTCGACGGAAAGGAGGCCACTGGAATGCACTTCGAGGCAAGTCGAAGACATGCACAGTTCCCTTCCGCGTGATGACAGCCAATCGATCCCCGACTGGGGCCGTCCAGATTACGTCCACGATGCTCGAAGTGGTTAGTCGCGCATATCGAGCAACCTGTCGGACGTTGGGACTGTGGCCACCCTGGTCGTCGGCCAAGAACGCCATGGCACGGCAGTGCTTGAGCTGCATTAGATCCCAGACATATTGCACATCACCCTTCTTGCTTGCGGTGAAGAGCATCAACCCATTGGGGGAGAGTGATAGGAAGCTACAGCCGTTGGGAACCTGAAATGTTGCCACGGGATTGAGAGATGCTGCTTTTGCATCCAGGCCATCATCAAATCTTTTGAGATCGATAATCGAGACCGCATCGGGCTCCGGCGATGACGTGACCTGGGTATCCAAGGAGTGTGTAGGCGGGAACAGTCCATAGCCCTGTCCGGGGGAGTCTGGGCCCCGAGTAGGTCGGAGTGGTGGAGTGCTTGGAGTGGAAGATTGCCCATTGTTCCAATAGTTGTTCCACGCCTGAAGTCCTTGATCACCCATCCAGCGGGCACCTTTGACCAGCTCCTGAGTGACACCTCGGGCAACCTTGTCGAGGAAGCTTTCGCCGTCGCCTGCATCTGTAGCGCAGTTCACAGATGGCACGGTTGACGGACTGCGGGTCTCCATTCCTTGAGCTCTGGGGTGCATCAAATGTGCGGGGACTGTTCCTTGGATGGAGGCTCTGTGAGAAGAGGGAGGCACAATCGCTAGCCATCTTCCTTGAAGGGCCAAGACCGGTCGCTCCCTGGCAAATGTTCTTGGAAGATCATGGTGAGACCCGTCCGCATCGGTAGAACTTGACGAGGTAGAGTATCGTCGTGCTTCTCCAAGCTGAACATTGGTCCAGGTCTTTCCCAGACACTGATAGGCACCCGTTAAGGTGTATTTGAAGGCATACACCTCTCCACTAATCCCAGAAGCAACAATAACGTGGTTCCCGCTGTGGAAAAGTCTCAAGCTACCCACCGGGCCCGGTGCCAAGGAAGGAAGGCCCGGAATATTCCCTGGTGATGGCACTGGTTTGCTGGAAAATAGGGTCGCTACATGCTCACCAGATCGGAGAGAATATACCTCCACCCGGGTTTGGTAACTTGTAGGCTCTCCTCTCACAGATCGCCGCTCACCCGAATAGCCCCGCGCCATCGAAGGAGGAACCTCGTTCACATCCGAGGCAGCGGCAGACACCCGACCTTCCTCTTCGCCAGGCGGCATTGGCCCGTGCAAGACAATAGCCACGTGTGGTTGAGACGTAGTGCCTGCATCGGGATATTGATTTCCAGACAGGATCTTCGCTTCGAGGACCCGGCCATTTAACCCATTGATCTGCCCAACCAATCGAGTGCGACGATCCTCAACGGCAAGCACCTCGACTGCACCGTCGGTCCCGACCACGAGCACATTCAAAGCCGTCCGTGGAGTCTTGACGGACATGCTCGGCAGGGTGTCAAAGCTGCAGAAGGAGTAGGCGCCATCACCGGGACGATTCTGGGTAGGAAGGTCGATCTCAGGAGCACCATAGAAATGAGCCTGGGGTAGATGTGGAGGCGGGGCTAGGTTGCTCATCGGGCTTCCGTAGGAATGACTCTTTCGTCGATCGACCGACTGCTGGCGCGATTGAATATTGCTCCGATACCCACTCCCGTAACTGAACGGTCGAATGCGAGTCGGTGGCGATGCGGACGAGGGTAGACTGAAGCCACCACGTTCCTGAATGGTTGGAAAGTTGAGTGGAGATTCATTGGGGAGCTCCCCATCCATCAAATCGGTGGGTGGACTCTTGCCATAGGGTACTGCCTGTGCCCAGCTATCCGTCCTAGTCGTCAGGTCGTTCTCTGCCGTTTCCCCGATTGACCCGAGAGCATCGAGGACGGGCGAGGCTACGGGAAGGGGATCATGATGGTCCAGTGGAGGGTTTACATCTACCTCTGCCTCTGCCTCTGGATCTGGATCTGGAAAGGAGAGAGGCTCCTCCAGGGCGGGAACTGCAGGGATTCTATGCCATGATTCAGTCATAAGCAGGCTAGCTTGGGGAAGGGAGGTAATAGGGGAGCCCTACAAATCCTCTGGGGGTGCTTCGGGCGCTGCCTTGCCCCCCTTGGCCTTTTTACCATTCTTCTTCTTCTTGCTTTTCCCACTTGGCTCATGCTCCAGAATGGTGTTGCTTGGGCCGGACAGGGTGGGCGCTGAGCGATCGTCTTCTAAAGACCGGCTGTGCTGGCGGATCAAGTCGTCAGGGGCTGCCGGGGGCATTCAAGAAGTCGGTTGCCTCAGAAAAATGAGGCTAGAGGGAAGTTCTCGAGCACGGGATAACCGCTCTCAAGACCTGTGGTAAGGTCTGAGAACGGAGGGGGTTGACACCGTCGGCCGATTCACTGAGGTGGGGGGCTAGCTGAAGTACACGAAGAGGGGTCGGGACTACCGTGAGCTCGTCCATCAGTTATGGGTTCATGGGCATAAAGGGTAGTTGATAAGATGTTGTAGATAGTATAAGAAACATTTCTAAGCAACATACCTATACAAGGTCTCTGTTCCTGTTGGTCGTGGGGTGTTTAGTGGTTTGAGGGGGTGCTAGGATACTGCGTATCTGGAGCGGAGACGCTCTCGATACGCGGGGAAGCTCAGATAAGGCTGATAGACGACACACAGCACCAGCTGGATGACAGATCCAGCAAGTGCGTAGAATAGTTGAGTATAAAAGCTTTGGAGATCGATCGACCCGAGGCCAAGTAACAAGTGAAGTAAGAGAGAGAGAGAGAGAGAGAGAGAGAGGGAGAAGGAGAGGGAGAGAAGGGAGCGCGATAAGAGGGGGGGGGGAAGTCGGGAACGCGGTACCTGACTCAGAGCGAATGCAGCGAGACGCCGCGAAACTCGGGCGGGGGAGGAAAGATGGGGCCCACGCTAACTATGGGAGTTTACTGAGGATTCCAGCTGCCGTGATGGTGATTATTACAGGTTATTACGATTATTGTTTTGGCTAGCTGACCCCGTCATTCCCCGCTGGTCACAATCGCCCTAAACGACTCTCGACGACTATTTAGAGCCGCCTTACGAGAACCGATGAACACTCCACGAGATCTCCAGGGGACCTGGCCGTCTTGCATCATCATCCACATTCCCATGTCATCTCTCGATCTGGCAGTATCACACCCAGTTTCAAGTTCCCGTGGGACACGTTCCCTTCCCAGTTCCCAGTTGCACGCCACAAAGACCCCTACCGGTAGTTGGAAGGTAACTAGACAATGGGATTATCTAAGCCCCGATGGCATGGCCACCCTCCGACCGTGGAACGCGGTAAATCCGTTTTTGGTCATTCATCCTGTCTTTGTTTGAATTTCTTGTAGTCAGCTCATCTTGGGGATCTCCGTGGATCACCGGTGGAGTTCGATGGTTGAGGGGTCACGGGGTGTGCCTGCAAGAACGTGATGGCCACGCAGCCTATCATCTTGCGACCGGAGTCCATTCTGAGTAACTCATGGGAAAACAGGAGTAATGCCGCGAATCAGCTCCGTCATGGGCTTATGTAGGCAACGCTGCATCCTCCGATACGTGCATTCCAAGGCCTCGAGTTCAGGGCCTCCAGCCCGCCATACTGGGCCGCTCTAAACACCAGACCTCGGAAGCCTGTTGGGTCGTTGACAGTTCCTTCATAAAGGGCTCATGCGCGGGAAACATCCTGGAGAAGAAGCAACATTCTTTTGTTTTTTTTTTCAAATATCTAGTAAAAACGCTGATCGACCCTTTCTTTTTCCATCGTGAAATCAAGAGAGAAAAACAGTCCCGGGTATACACAAGAGGTGGTGGTGGTGGTACATGGCTCCCTCTCGGAGCCGTAGCATGCGATCGCAGTCATTCCCTTTCCTCTGCTCCCCCCCCCCCCCCCCCCCCCCCCCCCCCCCCTTCCTTTTCGATCCGTCGCATCATCTTTAGGTCTTCTTCTTCGCCGCAGCCTTGGCCTTGGCAGCCTTTTTCTTGTTGCTGTTGATCATCACAATGCCTATGAAGGTGCCCACCACGGCCGAGCCTAGAAGAGTCAGGATGACGGGGATGCGGATCGCCCAAACACGCGGCGGGAAGAGGTCGTGGAGAGGATGGCCGGGGTCAACGAAGGGCTAAAATGAAGGGAAAAAGTGAGAAAAAGGTCAAAACCGGAGCCGACAGGGAAAGAAACACGTACCATCAACAACGTCCACGCGGTGTAGTAGAGAAAGATAGCGGATGCGGCCAAGAGCATGGCGGAACCCACGAGTTGACCCAGCTGATGAAAACATTGTTAATTTTGAGGAAGACAAAATAGTTGGGAGTCAATCAGTCAGGATCATACCATTATGTTAAGGAGCGGTCGCGATCAAGCGCAATGAAAGGGAAGGGAATCTGGTGAGAGCCCTGGACGTGGAATATATGGCCAAAGGGTGCTACAGTGAGGAGCTCGCCCCGTCTATTGATCTCCCAAGGACACTCGACATCATCGACACCGCTTTCGTCTGCCGCCTAGACTACTGCGATACTGTAATAGATAGCTTCTCACACTAAAGGGATTCCAATGAAATAAGAATTAACGTATTATCAAAAGGCTCTAGGATTTAAGTAAATCTTTGATAACAAAGAAAGACTCACAAGTCAAAATAATCTTTGTTTATCATTGAGGAAGACATTGAGATTCTGCTGGCAAAATGCCTGCGGCCAAATCTCCCAGGGGATTTGCTGTAGCTGGCCTTCTTCATTGTCACGTGACCAACACCAGAGCTTTCTTTCGCGGCTCCGCCTACTTTGGAGGAACCTCACCACCGTGCCTCCGGTGTTTCCTCCCCTACCACCACCTCCTCCACTCACCTGGCCTTCCGGTGCCTCTGAGATCTCACCATGTCAGACCCGGTTGTTTTGCAGTCTGCGGTGCGAGTGCCCACCCCACCCCCGGGGTCATTCTCACCTGCTGCAGGTGCTCGAAAGCGCTCGCCTCCCTCACGATCGCCCTCACCCAACCGTCGTCGCTCACCTCCGGGTGATTCGCACCGAGATGATGCTGAAGTGCCCCGTATGGATGAGCAACGCGCAATCGAGCGGGAACGCCAGCTCGCCGAGCGTGTACGCCAGCACGAGGAGCAGGAAGCTGCTCGCAAACCCATGACCGAGGAGGAGAAACAAGCAGCAGCCAAGGCCGAGTACGAGAAGCTTTTGAACATGCGCTCTGGCGGTACTTATATCCCTCCAGCACGACTCCGCGCGCTGCAGGCGCAGATCACGGATAAGACGAGCAAGGAGTACCAACGTATGGCGTGGGAGGCGTTGAAGAAGTCGATCAACGGTCTGATCAACAAGGTCAATGTCTCCAATATCAAATATATCGTACCCGAGCTTTTTGGCGAGAACTTGGTTCGCGGCCGTGGATTGTTCTGTCGATCCATCATGAAGGCGCAGGCTGCCAGTTTGCCCTTTACGGCCATCTACGCGGCGATGACCGCCATTGTGAACACGAAATTACCCCAGGTTGGAGAGCTTCTGGTCTCTCGGCTGATCGTTCAGTTCCGCAAGGCTTTCAAGCGAAATGACAAAGCCGTCTGCATCTCATCTACCACCTTCATTGCCCACCTTGTCAACCACCAAGTCGCCAATGAGATGCTCGTTGCGCAAATTTTGCTTCTGCTGCTCCATAAGCCCACTGACGACAGCGTGGAAATCGCAGTCGGCCTCACCCGGGAAGTTGGGCAGCACTTGGAGGAAATGAACCCTCAAATCGCGAATGCCGTTTTCGATCAATTCCGAAATATCCTCCACGAGGCCGATATCGACAAGCGCGTGCAATACATGATCGAGGTTCTGTTCCAAGTGCGCAAGGACCGGTACAAGGATAACCCAGCAGTCAAAGAGGAGCTTGACCTGGTGGAGGAAGAGGATCAAATCACACATCAAATCGGGTTGGACGATGAAGTTGAAACCATGGATACTCTGAACATTTTCAAGTTCGATGCAGAATGGGAGCAAAATGAGGAGAAATATAAGAAGTTAAAGGCCGAGATTCTGGGCGAGGACAGCGATGAGGATGAAGATGACGAGGACGAGGACGAGAGTTCCGAGGATGAATCAGACACCGAGGCACAAAAGATGGATATTAAGGACCAGACCAACACTGATCTCGTCAATCTTCGTCGGACGATTTACTTGACAATCATGTCGAGTATCGACTTTGAAGAATGTTGTCACAAGTTGATGAAGATTAATCTCCCTGCCGGCATGGAGCCTGAACTGCCTTCTATGATCATTGAGTGTTGCTCCCAGGAACGGACATACTCCAAGTTCTACGGTTTGATTGGAGAACGGTTTGCCAAGATTAACCGCCTCTGGTCTGACCTGTTTGAGGCCGCATTCGCCAAATACTACGACACTATTCACCGTTACGAGACGAACCGTCTGCGAAACATTGCACGCTTCTTTGGACACATGCTTAGCAATGACGCCATTGGCTGGCATGTCCTGTCCGTGGTTCATATGAATGAGGAGGAGACCACCTCCAGCAGCCGTATTTTCATCAAGATTCTCTTCCAGGATCTTGCAGAGAACCTCGGTCTGCCTGGTTTGCAGGCCCGTTTCAGAGACGAGGTCCTGCGGCCCAGCTTCGAGGGTCTTTTCCCGACAGAGAACCCGCGCCACACTCGCTTCTCCATCAACTACTTTACCAGTATCGGTATGGGTGTGTTGACAGAAGACATGCGCGAGCATCTCAAGAACGCCCCTCGGCCTGCTGTACCCGCTCTGCCTGCTCGCACTTCGCGCTCACCATCAGATCGCTCATACTCGCGGTCTTCATCTTATACCCGCTCCTCTCGTTCACGATCTCGCTCCTACTCTCGCTCCCGCTCCCGCTCCCGCTCCTATTCTTATTCTCGATCCCCTTCAATGGACCGTGGGCGATCCTACTCCCGCTCCGCCTCGCCCGATTCACGGGGCCGGAGTTACACACCATCGCGTTCTCGCTCCCGCTCGCGCTCAAAATCTCCCACCCGCCGCCGGGATGCATCGTACAGTCGTTCTCGGTCGAGGTCGAGGACCATCTCTCGCACTCCAAAGCGACGCATTAGGGCCCGCTCCTATTCGCGAAGCATCAGTCGCAGCCCGATTCGCCGTTCAGCCTCTCGATCAGCCTCCCCTCCACGCCGAGGTGCGGCCACGGCTGCTCGGCGAGACCGTAGCTATTCGAGATCACCTTCTCGATCCGTATCACCACCGCCTCGTCGGGAGCCGGCCGCGAAAAATGCTCGACGGTACTCTTCGGCATCTGCATCTCCTCCACCTCGCCGCGGTCGTGACGATTCCGGTTCTCGATCTCGTTCCCGCTCTCCTCCCAGAAGGCCGGACGATTCCCGGGGTCGAAGTGTCTCTCGAACTCCTCCTCGCCGCCGCTGAGCGGATGTATCATTGTTCTCGCTTTTTTTTACTTTTCGTTCTTACGGCATGACTTCTGCCGAATTTGGGGATCTTGTATGAGGTCATATTTTTGGGGTTCGGATCGGTGCTAGGAAACACAATCAAGTCAATGAATCTATTCTCAAACTACTGTGTACTTTATATCTGCTATCTTTTGACTCTCCTAGATCTTTTTCAGATACCATGCAAATGCCCATATTTGGGCAGAAACCAGAGCACAGCCCAACCAAGTCTAATGGGTATACCAACAAAGATTACCAACCAACCAATCAACCCTTGTTCTATAACTCCCTCACAATAAACCAAACCAAAATCTAATCCTCCATCGCCTCCCAAATACACCTCTCACACCTACAATTGCCCCCCAAAGCCCCACAGGCCCACTCCCTCCTCTCCTTGACCCCCAACCCAATATCACAGTAATGATTCAAAATCTCCTCATCCCGTTTAATCCCACCTTTCTTCGCATCCTTCATCTCAATCTTCCCATCCTCCCTCGTCCGCGCCCAAACGGCCGTCTCCAGATCATTCCGTGCGCGGAACGTAATCTCCCCACCCCATTCCCATCGCACGTTCGGATCACACGAGTGATTCGCCAGACACCACAGTGGATGCACGGCGCAGAGCTCCGGACCACCGTCCCAGGTGGAGAGACGGCCGGAGGCGGTGCCGCGGAATTTGGCGTAGAGGGTGTTGAGGATCCAGGTGTCGTAGCGGGGGAGGGTAGCGTAGGGGTCTAGTTCCATTTCCTCGAGGAAGCGGGTCGGTTGGAGGATATTTAGCTGGAAGGAGAAAGGGAGGGTGGCGGCCTCGTCCTTTGAGAGCGTGGATTGTGGGAGCAAGGTGAGATCAAAGTCGTGGAAGTCTCCCCAGATATACTTGACCTCGGGGAGATCGAGGGCGTGGACGTCCTGTGTCGCGGACATGGCGAGCGCACGGCCCAGCAGGAGGAGGTATAGATAATCTGCCTTGTCCTTTGGATCGGGGATGTCCTTGCCGATAGACTCGAGGCCATCTTCCAGACCGCAAACAGCGCCGTGGTAGACCTTCTGCGCGGTATCATGGCATTCCTGGCTACAGAAGATTGTATCTGCGCAACCGCCCTCGCATCCAACCGGTGGGTTCTCGGCTGAGAGGTCGGGAAGGGGAGCGTTACACGCATCGCAGAGATCGTCGTGTAGGCGATTCGTGGCCGTCAACAGCGAGGACTCGCGGAGGATGATCTCGTCCGGGGCGATATCTTCCTTTGCGAAGAGGCCCAGTTGCACAGAGACTTCGTCTTCATCGGGTGTTTCCCCGTGTAGAGCCGGCAAAGCCACGGCACGTACCTCGCATTTCGGCGCGACGGATTTCAGTCTCTCGTTCAAGAGGACGAGTTCCTCCGGTGCACGACGATCCGGTTCATGCTCGTTCCAGGGATACAAGATGCGACGGGCGAAACCCTGAGCTGGCAGGACGGCGGAGTCAATTGCGTCTAGCTCGACGTCGTCCATGGTACCCGTGCGAGACTGGTAAATCTTCTTGATAGAGTCCATCTGCTCGTTCAAAATAGCGATGGAACCCGCGCTCTGCTCCGAATCCAAGTCGCGTAGTAGTCCCATTCCACGGACGCCGAATTCAAACCCGTCGCGATAGCAGCCACATTGGACGAGACTGCGCACCAGTACAGCATATACATCGCCAATGATCGCGTCGTATTCTTCCTGCGTTACGGGTATCCCCTCGTCCTCGTCCTCGTCCTGGTCTTCATCTTCGTTCTCCTCCGCACTGGCATCACGATCCTTCTTCTCCGCACTGGCAGCAGTATCAACCTTCCTAGCATGGAACTCGCATCCATCCGGATCAACGACTGACTCCAGCAGCGAGAGAGCGCGGTACGCATCCGCCGCAGCGAGATCGGGGAATCCTAGTTGTTCATAGAGGCGGGCGCGATCAAGGTAGAGGTGTGGATTGTGCGGATCGGCGTAGAGTTGGGCGGTTTTGGAGGCGCGAGCCTGGAGGAGGTGTGTTGCCATGATGTGCCAAGCAATTGATGGCAAATGCAAGGCGATGTAGGCGTGGATAGACGTGAAATGGGAAATCTTCAAGTCTTTGAATCCCGCGGCGGAGTGGATTTTCTTTGCATGTGGGGCAATTCCGATGGAATTGGTGGGGTGTAGAGGGGCATTCACTTGGATATCTACAGGCAGCTACAATCTATATGGTAATGAGAAGGCAACTGGGAAATTGACCTAGAATATCCATCCTATTTTTTGGTTTTATCCATTCTATCATCAGTCTCTAGGATGATGTCCAAATTGCCCCCACCATATTAAACTTCATGCCTCATGCATTCTCAATGCTGATTCAAATTACATACAAAGAATTAAAAATCCCCGGTTCCCTTGATGCAAACAAAACATTCTGGATATCAGGGTAAGTAGTAATAACAATAAAGAAATGAAAAAAAAAGGGATAGGAACTTTGTGGGGACTATTCTCCCAAAGTCACCGTCGCGAGGTATCATCACATCACCTATTTCTTCCGTTAGCTTTCTTCCGCAGCTCCTAGACTGTAAGGGGTGACGAACACTGCAATTATCATCGAGAACCACCGTGGCACCCTCGCCCGGAGCCAGACCGGCAGCCAGACCACCAGTGCCAGCCTGTCCACCACGGAGGGTGGCAGCAAGACGTGCCAGCATACTTCTCTATTTGGAGGAGTCAGTCAAAGGGAAGGAGATGGGGTTCGTTGAAAGTAATAGCGCACTGTAATGTAGGCCTCACTCATGCCACCGCGACGATCGACATCGTTCTGACTAATGATGCGATAACTGTCCTGCAGACGCTTCCGGCTCTCAAGTCCACCGAGATTGCGCACGTCGGATCCGACAAGGTTGGCAGGATTGTCTGGATCCAGTATATTGATACCTCGGTGGGCAAGATCTTGAGCGTGTCGATCTGGGGAGAAGATCTTGATAGTGTTGTCGATGCCAGAGGCGGCGATGGTGGGTTCATATGGGTGACCTAGGCGGGAACTTTAGTTGTGATGTTTCAAGATTCGTATCGAGATCAGTAGTGACAGACCTTGGACAACGTTGACAACCTCGCTATCTCCCTCTAGAATGTTCACCAGATTCGCCGTCTTGCGATCCCAAATGAACAGATGCCCCGAGTCACTCCCGCTGACTACGTACTCATCGTTCAGCCCGAAAAAGTTAACATCCTTGACGGTCTTGATATTGCAGTGCCCACGGTAGACCCGCGTATGAGCAGAGACTGGCGCATCGGACTCGACTTCTCCACGGCGGGATTTGCGAGTGGTGCCCCGTATGAACAGCGGCTCTTCGCCGTCCTCACCAGGCGACTCTACATTATCTTCGTCCTCCGAGGAGTCTCCCAAGCCAATATTCCAGCCGTCTGCTTCGTCGTCTACGTCTTCGTCGCTTTCCGCATCCTCATCCTCGTCCTCGTCCTCACTTTCCGAATCTTCTACCTCACCGACATCATGGCCATTCCGACGCACTTCTGCTTCGGAGGCCTCGGAATCTGGACCAGAGCGAGAGGTCCTCACGAGGTTAATCGACTTCACTCTTTCTTCTTCCACGTCGGGATCAATATCATCTTGAATCCTCTCCAAGTCATCCTCGCTAGTCGAGTCATCGGTAGTCGTGTGAATTCCGCCAAAGGCCCGATTCACGAATGAGTAGTTGACACCTTTCCCGGCCTCCATTAGAATGCCTCGCCCCACCCGCAACACCCAGAATCTAGTAGCAGATTCCCGATCTAGAGATCGAACTTGCGAGGAGGGATTGGAGACGCGACGCCGATCAATCCGGGCAGCCGTAGTTCCCAGATCCTCCAGTGGCAACCGTACGGCATTCCCGAACGCAGTCACGGCTGCAACTTGAGTCTGGAATAAGATGCGAGTGGAATCATGCTCGAAGCGAGAGGCATCCACGTTGACGATGGGTTTTTCTCGGGCAAGTCCCTGGAGGTAAGGAAGAAGTATAGTATCGATCGCACCCTCAGTGGCCTCATCAGGGATGGGAAACCGTCCTTCCACGCGTCTTGGATGTTGCCCACGTTTGAATCCATTGAGTAGTCCTTGCCTACCACCCTGAATCCAGAGCAAAATAGCCTTGAGAAAGTCGTAGCCAAACTGAGCTTCCGTGTCAATAGACTCATCCTCATTGGGCGCGGGAACGATTTGTACAAAGTCCGAGACTGCGTTGGATGTACCTTCTTCCGAGGCATCACCATGCAAAGCACGAGCAATTGTACCAACAGCCTGGACAAACCGCCAAGATGCTTGACGGTTGCGACGCAGGGATTGCTGGAAAGTAACTGTATCGCTCGACGGATTCAGCGGATAGCGCCATTGACGCATGACCTCATCCATCTGGGGCAGCCACTCCGAGGCTAGTGAGAATGCAGAGGCAAAGGCTCCCGAGTAAGGCGTGAGACTTGACTGCTCAGCCTCACTGCCTTCCCGTGTGGTTGTCTCCAGCGAGAACAGCGCCTGGCGAAGCTTGACGAGACCCTTTGCAATCCGCATGCTGAGTCGTTGAGCCTCATTTAGCACAGAGTATCTCGCGCGTTGAACCATAGCAAGCTCGTCCTCATCGGGTATCGTCGGGAAGAGAACGTCCTCAGACTCACCATTCTCATAGGTGATTCTGAATGCATCTGGCTCTCCAGAGCGCTGTTGAGGTTGGTGCCGGTCACCACTTCCCTGGGACGACATTGAAGCAGGCTTGGGGCGCTTACGCTTTCGGCCCGAGGAGTCGGTTTTACGACGATTTGTCTTCTTGGACGCAGAAGGCGATTCGGGTGAAACGTCTCGCGCATCAGGGCTCCGGATGAGATCGAAGCTGTAAATGTGATCTCCAGACCAACTGACGACCATCTCATCCGGGTTTGCATCACTGATTTTGCAGGCGGTAATGTGACCGTCATCGAGGTGCTTCAGACGACGTTTACCCCGGGGAGCAAACCGCCGAACGCAACGAGTTGCTTTACCCATCAGCTCGTCATCAAGACTGGCAGCACTTGCTGTAGAAAAGCCCGGGCTACCTGTTTCAGCCATGAGGTCGCGACCAAGCATACGTCGGTCATGCAGGAAGCAGTACATGTGAGCGCCACCCAGGGCGATATAGTGCGGTTGACTGGGAGAGCAAGATATCGTGTTGAGATCGAGGCGGAACTTCTTGTAGGAGATGAGCGGCGGCGGGACGTTGGAGTCGTCATGGTCTAGTCCAGGTCGATATGCCATGAAGCCCTGGCCACCTCGGGGCGACGGATAAGCCTCCGAAGGCTGACGAAGATCCCACTGTCGGACTTCTCCATCTTCAGAGCATGTGAGGAACAGATGTGGCGATGATTCAGTGACAATGCGCTTTACGCGATCGGCATGGCTCCGGTAAACCCTGGCATTGGTATTGCCGGCACTTAGGTACCGCGTGCCTTCAAAAAAATTATTGAAGCGCCGACTCCGAGCCGAGGCTGCAAATGCCGAAGTGGAAGCAATGTCTCCGTTGGCGCTCGAGTATTCAATGTCAAAGACACGCACTTGCGAATCGCCCGCACAAGTTATCAAAGTCCGGTCGTTCGAATGTGGCATAAACTTGACGGAGAAGATATTGGCCTTGTGACCGGTGGCGACGGTCGTGTTCAACGCGAACTGAGCATCCGAAGAGTCGGGCTGGTACGAATAGATATTTAAATGCTGGTCATCCGAGCCAGAAGCCAAGAGACGTCCGGACTTGGACCAACTGCGACAGCATTAATTTCCCGTATTAAGCTAGAAGATGCGAGCACATTTAGATGGATCAGAGACATGACACATACCTGAGAGCATTCACACATCCCGTGTGACCCCCCAACTCATTCACAATATCCAGATCATCGATCCATTCTTTGGAGCCGTAAATGCCGCGGAGCGAGGCATAGGGCGACAGGTCCCCGCATTCTCGGCGCCAGAGACGGTCGTACAGCGAGTCTTTCATGATCGCGAGTGACTAGGGGAATCGCCAAAATTGAAGTCTTGACTAGGGAGGATCGCCAACCATCATGGACCCACGGTAACGTCGGCGATGTTGCAGGAACGGCCCTTTTTTTTTTTCTCTTCTCCCTCCTCTCTTAGGGCGTATCAGTCGAACGGCAGGTGGGAACCAGGTGGGACTGTAGATGACGTCAGGGACGTAACTGTCGGGGATTGACGATAAAAGTGGTTGAGCGCATCCGAGTGAACAATGAAGACGATGAGAAATGAGATGTGATGGTTTAGAGATATTTTGATGAACGTGGCAAGCCGGGGGATCGAGTGAGGGGAACAGAAACCGGGCAGTGCGAGTTTAAGCAGACAGGCTCACGAGGGCAAAGGACTGGGCTCGACCGGACGGGATCCAGAACCAGCAGCACGACGGACAGGGGGATCAGTCATCACTCCTCAATCAGCAATCAGCAATGATCAATCACGGCGGGGGCACTAGTCCGAGTGTGGTTTAGTGAGCCGTCATGACTGGAGTAACCAATTAACTAAGTAAGTTAGTCTGGCTCTGATGATGGGCGCTGAGTCATCCCAAGTATCAAGGGCAGGATTGGTTCCAGCTACACGTCGGTAGATAGCAGTGCACTGACAAGATGGTTATATACGAACGACATTATCTTATAGACGAAACGCGATCAAAGAGTAGACCAAAAAAAAATTCATTAATTTATTTCCATGAATCAAGACCTCCAAATCCCAACTCGTGGCGCATTTATCTCCCGCTTCGACCCAGTCAACTCGGTCGCAATCCGACAAACACACTCCCTCTCCGAACGAACAATCTCCGCTTCCAAACATCGCATAGCACGGATCTCCTGTAACATCAATCGAATCGACTCCGCCAGACCTTGGGACACACGCGTAAGCGCCGACTGCGGTAACTGTTCCACTTCGCCAAACCCCAGGATATCCAGACTCTGGAGGTGTCGAGCGCAGAGCTCCAACTTAGCCTGTAGAGCGTGCACCTCCTCTTTCCAGGTTTTGCCGAGTGGGTCGATGAAAATGGTGCCATCAAATGTCCCCGATGTCTCGCGCTGGTGCTGAATAGACTCCGCTTGCTGGAACCAGTCTTCAAAGACGGTCACGACTTTAGTATATCGGCCACCCATTCCATTCATTTCCAGGTCTGAAATTTCCTGTAGGACTTGGGAGAATATCTGGATCTGCTCGGGGAACCCATGCGGTCCCTGATGGTCGCGGCAATTCTGGACCCAACGGATTAAAGACTGCATGTTCAGCTGGTGTTGGCGACTTTTCTCGCCCACCAATATAGATCGGTATTGATCAGCGACGGCGTCGTACTTTTTGCGCAAGCGCGATTCAGACTCTGCCTTCCATTCTGCATGTTGCTGGAGTGAACTGGAGTGGAAGAGACTGAGCTGAAGGAGTTCTGTCTGCAAGGCGGCAATGTCTGGCCAGGATGTAGGAATAAGATGACTATCGGGTCCAGATGTGACTCCCGGAGTCGGAGTGGGAGGCTTGGTAGGTTTTCTGGGCGAGTAATGTTGCTGGTAGGCAGAGAACTGCGCACGAGGCGTCTGAGTGGCGGGAGAAGGGTCGGGCTGGGTTGATTTCGTACTTGCGGGCACCATCTGGCTACGGTGTCGGGCGTGACCTCGGACAGCGGCGGCTGGGGCCCCGGAAACAGGTTCTCGAGGTTGTCTCAAAGAGGCAGATCGCATGGGCCGAGGGGGAGGTAGCATTTCCGTCTTTTTGGGCGAGGGTGGACGGTGGGCTGCCGAGGACTGGGTGGGCGATCGTAATGTGGATGGCTTCCGTGGGGACGGCGGCACGAATGTAGGCGTCGTACCCTTTGTTGGAGCCGGTACATTGCCTTTGGTTGCGCTTGTCTTCAGAGCTCCCGGTCGTATCAAGCTCTGGCGACGTGTTGGCACTGCACCGCTCGGTTTCGCCGTCGAGGGCGCTCTCTGTCTCTCCTCCCCCGTATTTGCCTGCGGCTGCCTCCTTGGCGATGTCTCTCCTCGTTGTGGAAGTCTAGTCTCTGACGACTGAAACCGCACCTGTGCCGAGCCATTTTGATCGTCTCGGGCTATGTTGCTGCGCTGAGGAAGGTGGGTTCGTCCGCGACTATAGACCGCATTATCCTTGAGGGAGACCCCCTCGGCCGGCGAGGGGTTGGTAAAAGATCGAGGCTTGTCATTCGTTAGGCGGGTAGTTCCTTTGGCCGAACCGGTGGCCGGGGTCGCAGTGTTGGCCGTGGGTCGAGCTATATTAGATGTCTGCAATTTAATTAGCGAGGAATGCTGGGGATCCCGAGGCGATCTCCTGGCGACTGACCGATTTCCGGGGCTCACGGAGTGATGCGGAGCGCGTTGGGATGGGCATGGTCGTTACAGATGGTCATTAAATGGATACACCTCTCCCACACGAGCCTGTACTCGGATGAAGGTCAAATAAAGTCGAGGACTCGGCCCCGAGCTCCTGAGAGAAAGTGGTTCTTTGGGTGCGCGTCGATCTTCCTGCACCCAAAACAAATCCAGAGTGGAGCTTTGGGGCCGCACAGTTCGCGCGGAACTTTAATGACGAACCCCCTCACCCACTTGATGGAACTCGACATGAGTTATGACCTTTCGTACTCGAAGCTATCTTGAAGACTTTGTTTATTTTGGTACCAAGAAGCATTGCACCATTGGTAAAGATTCTATATTTCTTCATTGCATTCTATCCATACCATACCAGCTCCTTCAGCTTGAAAAGGCTAGAGGTACACTCAAAGGGAATCTCAATTTTTGAAACATTAGAGATCATCCAAATGCCAACTGTGACACGTTCCTGAAATCACATGAGCCAACGCCTTCACATATGAAAAATTCCAAATCGGGAGCTAGGGGCATTCCACGTCGTGTCGAGTCTTCACTCAAGGGAGTCGCATCCATCAATGCTCCAATCACGTATACTGCGTAAAGCTTTCTTCACAAGCTACCACGGCGAGGAAAGGCAATACCCTCCACGGCAGGGTGGTCCGTGAACCAGCTGACCTTGTCACCAGCACCGTGGTTGACCAGAGCCGAGGGGAGGCTGCGGCCCTCCTCGTTATCGAAGATAGCCTTCAGAATTTCCTTCTTTCCCCCGCCGGTAGCCACAAAAGCAATGTGCGAGGCAGAGGTCACCACGGGCAAGGTCAGGGTAATCCGCTTCGGCGGAGGCTTGGGAGAGTTGGTCTCGGGAGCAACCCACGCGTCCTTCTCGCGCAAGAGCTCGTGGCCCGGGAACAGACTGCAGGTGTGGCCATCCGGTCCACAGCCCAAAAGAATGAGGTCGAAGATGGGCAGCTTGACGCTTTCCTTGGCGGCGAACGAGCGCATCAAGTCTTCCTGGTAAGCGTCGGCCAAGGCCTGGGTGTCGTCGTCGTGGACGTGCTTCTCGTCGATGGGGTGGACGGTCGGAGCACCGAGCTCCGCGGGGATTTTGCTGAGCAATTCGTCCTTCAGGAGGAGGTAGTTGCTGTCCTTGTCGTCGAGGGGCACGGCGCGCTCATCGGCGAAGAAAATCTGCCATTTGCTGAACTGCGGGGTATCCTCGGGGGAGCCATTGTGATCGGCCAAGAGGGCCTTGGCTAGCACGGCGGGGAGAGAACCGCCGGAGACCGCGACGCGGAAGGTGTTGTGGCGGGCCAAAGCAGCATGCTGGCAGCGCAGGACGTAAGGCCGCAGTTGCTTGGCCAGCGCCTCGGTGTTGGGGAAACTGTAGAGGTTGGGTAGGGAGGTGGCCATGATTGCAGGGAGGTGTAAGTGGCGCGAAATGGAAAGGAGGAAGAGGGGAGGCCGAGATCGTAATCTTTGGGGCCAGAGAGGCTAGACGGCGGAGACTCGATAGGCTGGAAAATTCCTTTCGTATAGGCCTTGCAGCGAGGGGCTCGATATTGGAGGGCTAGAGATTTCGACACGAGGGTACGAAGAAGGGCTTCTGCAGAGCTGGCGGGGTTGGCGGGGCGACTTGACGCGCGACGGGAGAGGCAGCGATGACGTCGATGTTCGACTTGTAATCGATTACGGCTTTACTAGTTATCAGGACATTGTGAGATAACGCATCGTGCTCGTTCTACGAATAAAGAAGCTCGATATGTTTCCCTTATCATGTTGCGGATCCAGTTCGGATGATGCAAGAAACAAGTCACTCTTTTTTGGTCACCTTGCCCTGGATTGATAACGACCATTCCAATCTACCCAAGTGGATAAGATCAGCAAGTTGCCACACTTTAAACCGCATGGCGCATTGGAATCAGGTCTGATGTGATCTGACTCGGATCTTGTCTGGTCTGCTCGACCGTCCAAAGCAGTTGGGTAGGTCTGACTCGGCAGCAGTCGGGTCTTCCCTGTCAGTCTGCCGACATGTCAGCCCAGTCCCCGTGGGCTCCCTCCCCCATTTGGGCCACCTGCATCGCAGCCATCCGGGCATGACGAAATCATGCAGATGGTCTAGATGGCGACCGGGTGTTTCGGCTCCAAGACATCGATCGCGATCGAAGGAAGATGCAATGTAGAAGTCGATACCCTGAGGGTGATGAAAAGGTCAGACCGAGAACCGCCTACTTTGATTACGGGGTGTTCGGATCGGGTCTAGCTGGAAAAGACGTGGAGATAAACCTGGGATGGTTATTTGAAACAACCATGTGTTGGGGGTCGACATAGACATTGGCGGATCCGCCGGAGTGGATAGTGAGGAGGAACTAGTTGAACACTAGTTGTGCATGATTACAGAACTACTCATCACCGTTACACAATTGTGGGCAATAGTCTAGGGAAATCATTGTCATTAAACGAAAAAAAAGTATGTAATCCGAGCAGGAAACCCGTCATGAGGATTTTGACCCCAAAGCCGGTTTCCGGGGTTTTCCGTGAGATGTTGAGAATTCCAGAGTGTTTAGCTTTCCTCGGGGAGGAAGGTCAGGATGTCGAGGACTTGTGACTCGCTTCCTCTAGGTCGAACTGATCGGTCGAACTGATCCCCCAAAATTGCGAATCCCTTGACGACTCGCAGGTCGTTGGCGTCACGACAGCCCGACTAGGCGTCTCAATTCGAGCAGCCACTAGGCGATCCTCGGGTCTCGCGAATTAAACTACTGGGGCGTCCACCCAACCAAGACGCTATCGGCGCAATCCGCAAATCTGCAATCACGGGGGCCTAACGACTCGAGACGGAAATCTGGAATCTGGAATAATGAAATTATTCGTTGTGCTCGAGTCCAACAAGCTTAGGGCGTTTAGTGTTTCGTAATCTTTATTGATTTCTTGATTTTTGTCCAAAAACATCTTTCCAGAATGAATCCGCATAATTAAGCTCGCTCCGCCCCCTCCTCCTCCTCCTCCTCCTCCTCCTCTTCCTCCTCACCCACGGCCTGCCGTAGTTCCTCTCTTCTTGGATTATTCTTCAGCTTCTCCTCCTGCTCGTCCTCGACCTCCTGAGAAACCCTCGGTCGCATATACCCATTCTTCCGACATTCTCGCCCACCCCAAACCTCCCGGCATGAGTTCTCCCGTGGTCCACATCTCGCCGCAGACCCCGCTGCCCGCTCCATCCGAGGCATCTCCCTCGCAGGGTCTGATCTTCGACATAGTCCGCTGTTCGCGTTGCCAACAGTCCCTCAGCTTGGCCAGTCACTCCACTGCCTCGGGGGTCGTGCAGTTCGGCATGAACTCCTACTATTGTCACCGCTGCGCGTCCAAGGTCGGCTTTGTATGATCAAAAAGCGCGTTGCGTGAGCAATCAAAAGTAACTACAACAACACACCGACCGACCGACCGACCGACTATGTTCCACCACCGCGTACAAGCTGGGCTCGTGGCTCGAGACAAGCCACCGAGCAACACCCCACTCGATTAAAGTCAACCACAAATAAAATGTGATTTTCTATCATCCCTTCGACCCTTGGACTCTCTTCGACTTTTTCCTTCTGATTCTCCGATTCATTCTGAATCGACGTCTCATTCCCCGGTCCACTACGGCCGGAATTTCATTTTCTCGGAAAATACGATCGCACGGGCGATAAGACGGGTGTTCTTGTATTCCCATGTCTGATTCGGTGCCAATCACTTCCCTGATTAAGGGTGGCCAGACACTCCCAACGGACAAAGGTGTCCTGGACCAAACGCCTCGTGTTGGAAGAACCTTGGACACGGCCCTTCATTTTGTGAATCCGGAGGTGACGGATGGTGTTATTTCTCACATCATTCCCTTTTCTCGATATCAAAGATACTATCTTGGAACGGCAGACCCGGAAGTAGTCTGCCCGAAGCGGAGCCTTCTTTGGATTGTACGATTGCATGATCAGCCCATACACGGTTGCCTGATCGGGTTGGTGTTACGCGATATCTCTAGCACGTTATGTTGCATTGTACTGCAGTATCGCATTGAGGTCTATTATTTGATATCCACTGCTGCATGTTAGGATATTCTGCAGATAGCCAAGAGTTCTAGAGGGTCCGTCTTGCTGCTCAAACTTAGTATACAGTGCAATGTTTAGCATCGGGAAATAAATGCCGAAATGGCTCCTTATAACAACGTGCTATATCTCCCATTCACTAGAATCTCGGTCATTGAGCCTTTGCGTGATTTGTTATAATCCGACTTTTCAGGCTCTCACGGCCGGTGTAACTTGCAGCCGAGACCATATCCAGCCAGCGTTAATGTTGGAAATAGCTTCATATCCAGATCGGGAAACTTGCAAAACTTTGGGGATCATTTAAAGGACATGAGATTCACCTTGTTCCCCAGTTGTTACATCTCCCCACTTCAGTAGTGTCAGTTTTGTCTACAATGTTCATGCACCCTTCGACGAATTAGAATCCTGATTTCAAGTGTTCAAGGAGCCCGCTCAGCGCTTTGCCACCGAAGGACTTTCGTGGCCACTTCCACCATCATGGTCGCCCAAATGGATTAGTATCGAAAATACGCCCACTCTCAAATCCCGTCATTTGGAGGCTGATATGACTCCGTCCGCGCTCGAAGCACGATGTATAAGCCGCTTCACCATGATCTGCATCGTCGCCAACTAGAAGCTACCGCTCGTTCAAGCCGATAGGAACTAGTGCGCCCATAAACTGCAACCGGACTTGTTCTTCGTTACCTTCAATCGTAAACCCGGGGTCTTTTTAGACCGAAGGCAGCGCATCCTATTGATTGTCGCAAGTTTACCCTTGAGAAAGCCTGCAGGGACGGTAACCATGTGAGTATGGACCACGTTTACTAAACACAGGAATATTAAAATAACCCAGTGACGATAAGAGCCGAAGACAATACCAATTGCAATTGAAGGGGGCAATGTTGAGAGTATTGTGCTAGGCATCTTTGAGGGAGTGGTGGACCTTGGTAGAGATATATCCTGACTGACCCGCGGCAGGAATAACATAGTCACCGTACGCTCCAGAGGCTGCACGATACATTATACCGAGCTTTCAACTGCGAACGATAATCTGATTGAAATCCCTCATTACTTGGTTGAATTCGACATGCAATCATACTTGAATGTTACTTTTTACCTCGATATTCATCCACACAGCCTCTCGTTATGCTGCCGGGATTGCATATCTCAGAAGCGCCTTTTGCAATGTTAGACGCCGTGATGGCTAACACCCTCGTGCCCGTTATCTCGACATATACAGTTTCATACTTCATTTACTTTTTAACAGCCGGGAATTAATATGTACTTTAGGAGTTCCTGTGTCATACACGACCATGCTTCCATCTCCACATCATCTGAATCGAGGTCGCGCGTTGATCAATCGTCCAGAGCTCGATACCTCGATGGCTTTACGCCAGAGTCACTCACGCACCCCATAAGAAATAGCCATCACAGGATCCTTTCAGCCCCAATTTGGGTAGTTGAATGACGAGATGGTTGAAAAGTATCCTTGGATGACGAAACATAAGGGCTAAAATCTCGAGCTGGAGGGATTTCCCTCCGGAGCACCTGCAGATTCTTTCAGTCCTGCTTATCATCATGTCTCCAAGAATAGTGGACTGATCCATGCGATTACATCTGAATCGTGCTAAACCTAGCAAAGTTCCTGTTTATCGGGACTGCCGTGTCACCTTGGGGCTATGGAATTGTGAGCGTGGACCCTGTGCCACTCTAGACGCCTCTGTTGCCGCAATTAACGCATTTCTTGACAGGTTCGACTGTCTTTGACCATGTCAAAGAGTTATGAAGGATGAAGATTACCGAGCAAGTTCTATACTCTACAGTACTAGTACACAAGTACATGATACCGAGTATCGTCTTTTGCGTCCGTGCGCTTTGAAAAAACGCCATATCCATTCTGTGCATCAGTGACGCTCGCAAAAAAGTCGACCAGTTTCCTCCCAGCAAACCTCATCGTGGAGACCCTTCCACTCCGTCTTCGCTCAACTCTCAACGTACCGCACTCGCAGCCAGCCACGATCAAAGTCTACTTGATAGCTGCCGCTGCAGGTACTCTAATCTAGTCCTGCATCACGAATCAATAATGGCAGGCAAGACCAATGGCCGTTCGCCATCTCTATGGCTTTCCATCTGATTGCTCACGTCGCAGGGACCCTGGATGTTACTGGCATGCCGGTTAGCTCGATTGACTGGATGAGTACAGCAGGAACCCTCGGCCGCTCGGCGATCGGTGGTCGCTGATCTCCCACCCGTACGTAGATGTATTCTTTTTTTTTCTTTTCTTTTTCCTGAGTGGGTACACTATTGGATCCGATCTGGCTGATGATACCCACCAACCTAGGACTCTACCAACTGGGATTCTGCAAAGCTAAGGGGACCATGCAGCCCAGAAAGCCAATGTGATCGATGGGCCGCCCCGCACGCGCAGGGAAGCTCCAGTCCCACCCAGTGCTGGACAAGCCCCAAGGGCGTCTCTTCCCCCCGAAACACCTTCTGGAGGAGCGAGCGTGGCCGATCCGGATCTAGCGGTGTAACGTGAAGCATTTCAACGCTGCTTTTCGTACTCGAAGATCTTAGATTCGTCCTCTATGCACACCCAACGCATCCCCACTTTGGCCCCCGCTTCACTCTACGATCCATGAGACGGGACGACCCGGACATGATGGCGAGCTAAAGGCAATACCGATGGGTATAAGAGTTCCACCCTAGGGCACATGGATTTGAGATTGAGGACAGAGCGGCTCAGAGGGAACTAAAACAGAAAAAAAAAAGCAACGAACGGATGACACAAGTGCAGGTTCCTGAGTGGAACTATCCATGTATGCCCGGTGGGGTAGTACGGACAGAGGATCTATTGCATTTGGCATTGGCTGGAAGGAGCTGAGCTCGGGGCTTCATCGCGCGCGAAAATGACATATCTCAGCATCGCAAACAGGAGGAGTCCAACAAGCTCCGTCCTGACTGGCTGGTTGTTCTCCCTCGACGTCTTTCGATTCGACGGTCTCTGCATATTTCTGGGTCTCGCCTTTGAACTGGTCGGCTATTGTCTGCTGCGACTGCTATTGCTACTGCCACTACCACTTTCGAACAAGCCATCAGGCCTATTCCCACCTATTTTCCTACTAGTCTCGACTTTACATGGGATTAATCATGATGCAATTATCTCTTGTGAAACATGTACCCGAATTTCCTGCCTCCATTGTCCTTCGATCTTCCCGTACCGTGACCGAGAGATCTTATAATAATAAGATACTCCCTCGTCTCAGCTCTCGCGGGGAGCTTAGATTTTCCTTTCTATTCTTGCAAAGTGCGCATGTGTCGGTCTGACCAATTTGTTGACCTGCATTGAGTCTCGCTGCAACAAGGTAAGCTGCTTTGCCCTGCTGCTCTTGTGATCTTGTGTGAATACCCAGGGGAGGAAATGAAATACATTGCATCTTATGCTTGGGGATGTCGATATTCGGGCGATGAGATTTTTACCCGCCATGAATCACTTCCGCTGCCAACACCGAGCGACCTTCCCATCTGTTTCAGGCCCGCCTTCTTCTACTAGGGTCGTGTGCTGACTTGTACTTGCGGAGAAGAAGACACGTAAAGGTCACGTCCACTGGATTGAAAAAGCGATTATTCCAGTTCCAGATTCAATTGAATATAACCCTGGTCGGACGAGTTTCATCTCCGACTGTTTCGAAACGCCAGTGCCATCTTGGGATACTTGCACCACGGGCAAAGTCCTCGACGACGACTCTACAACTACCTGCATTTCCGATCAAGGTGCGCCAGTGTCGGGAAGAAGCAGCAGCAGCAGCAGCAGCAGCAGCAGCAAACACCAGAGATCTCCTGTAGAGATAAGACGGAAACCTGCTTGCAGCCATGCCACTGCATGGTAGAGAAAAGGGCCGCAGCCCGAAATCTCGGAGATCGGACGATGAATTCGTCGTGTTCCTCCAGGGTGTAAGTCATACGTTGGAAGCATTTCACCTTTAGCCACACGATTTGCTTATTTGATCTTCTCTGGCAGATTCCAGCCCACTGTCGCTGGCAGGAATTGAAAGATTTGGTGCGCCAGACGGCTTTGCATATTCGTCAGGCTGTAGTCTATGATGATAGCCACGGCTTTCCCACAGGTCTGGGTCAGATCATTGTCAAGAATGAGGATGAAGCGTGGCGGACTTACCGTAAGTGATTATTTCTACATTGGTAAATGATCGATGCTTTCTCATTTTCTAACATAATACACAGATAGACTATCAACCAACGGATGGGAAGGCCAGAGCCTGGTTGTAACATTAGCACGCACCAGTTCTCCTACCAAACCCATTGCTGGGCCTACAAGAAGTCCACCCGCAATGATTCAAGCCTACATGTCGGGTCACTCCACACCACCTCGGTCTCAAGGAAATATGACCATGCCTCCGTCACCTATCTCACCCGAGTAAGAGATCTTCCGTCTGACATTCATAGAATTCGCCATCTAACATGCCCAGATCTGTCCATTCTGCCAGTCCGACCTATCCGTACCCCGAATTCGCACCAATGGTAGGCCCAATGGCGATGCCCCCACAGCCCTACATGCCCATGATCCCAGAGCCCATGCAATGCGTCCCGCCATCTCCCATGATGCACTGCTCAATGTACGATGCCCCGGGATGGAACATGATGCCCATGTACCCAGTCTCCCCAGTCCAACCTCTCCACGATAACGCAGGAGACCACCCTTCCCAACGCTTCCACTCGCGCAAACTCGGGGCCAATCATCCCGTCCCATCAAGCTCCCCAGTTCCCGATCTCGCCCAGCGAGCAGTCTACATCCAAAATCTGAACCCAACAACCACAACCGCAGATGTGGAAGCCCTCCTCCAAAGCACCGGGACCGTCGAACATTGCAAGGTAACTGTTACCTCCGGTGTTCATGATCCTCATGCGCAAGCCCTCGCATCTGCAATTATGCATACCGTCGACGACGCGAAGCGTGTCGTGAACACATTCAATGGGATGATGTTCATTGGCTCCCGGATCCGGGTTAGAATGGACCATTCTCTCGATGTGCCCCGAAGAGAGAGCTGGGATGGGGTTGTTGAGCGGAATAAGACTGATCGGACGGAGCAGACGGCCAGTGAGAAGAGTTCTGAGTGCAGTGGCTGTGGACAAGATGTCTATTTCCCGGAACCAAAGCGGATTGATCCGCACAAGCCGCTGGTTGTTGATGGCAGTGGGCTGCAGAAGAAGTCATTAGAGTTCTTGTCGACATCGGCACCAACCTAGGGACCTAGAATTTGGGAGGTTGGCGGAATTGTCCTTCAATTTGGTTTGTTGGAGTACTAGTTGGTTCACCTTTGATTAATGGGGCTGGTCAAGCTGGGGATGGTAATGTATTATGTTACTATTGATTGTCGATTATTGAAAAGGGCTAATGCTCATATATTACAACTTTCCTTGCAAGTGCTGAGAAGCATTAATATTTAAGATGACCGTATATTCATCACGCTAGGCTGGCAGACTTCTATACACCATCCGCGGGAAACCAAACAGGCTCCATAACACCCTAGTAGAATCATCATTTCATTTCATCAGCTATCGTTTATCTCTGAAGGTCGTTCCAATGCAAATTTCAGATGCCATGGCCCAGCCACCATTTCCAACCAAACAATGAAAGCATATATGCCCAGAACGCCACGCCGGTGAAAATCAGAAACATAAACAAGCAACAAGAGAGACATTTCAAAACATGAATACACCTGCCTCGGGTCATTTTGCGTGATTGGCCATCTCCGCATACAAGTCATCGGGGATCTTTTGCACTAAGAGAACGGTCAAGGCGATGATACCCTTGGCATCGAGGGGAGGCAACGACCGAAGAACCTTGTTGGGACTAAAGAAATGTTAGAGATATGAAGCTGAGAAAGGGTAAGCATAGGGTTACTTACCTCGGGCTCTCAAGAAGGGTGTCCCGCATGCGGATTAGCTGAGCAACAATACACAGGATATTGAGATGCGGACCATATGCAAAGAGGAAGTCCCACAGATGCAGAACCTCTGGCAATGGGGGTGTACAGGCGCACAGCGTCAATACCGATGGGAAAGCATAAAGTTCAGCATACATTCCCTTGGAAAAGAGGTAAGCTGCAAGCTTGGGCTCCACAATTTCCAAGCATCGATCGACAAGTCGAAGACCTCTGTGCACTCCGTCCATGGCGCCGCGAATATAGCCCGGACATTCCTTAGTGACAAAGTAATGGAAGAGAGCAAATGCCTCTACCTCGCTGCGAGCGGCATACAGGAAAGGTGCGCAGAGGACATTCATACCCTGCACATAGATCGCCGAATCATTGACCGTGCTGCTGGGGCCTGAGCCAGGATCCTCCAGCTTTGGTTCTTCTTTAATGCTGGGTGGTGTGTTCACCAGCATCTCCATTTCGAGCCGTCTAGATGAGGAAGGCCGGGATCGAGGCTTGTTTTTGGTATCATGAAGCTTCCATGCCACAGCATTGAGTAGCCGAATTAGGCTTGCTTCGGTTACACGGCGCTTGAAGAGCGGGTCGGTCGCGAGGGTGCGGAAAGTATCATTGCGAATCTTCGCGTATGCGGGAGAGCCGCCGCGGTGGACAAGGGCGAGGTAGTTGTCAGTCGGAAGCGGCGCAACATTGAGAAGAATGGACCATAGATAGACTCGATATGGAGACTACAATTTCACCAACAGTCAGCTATACCCCTTCCAGGTAATTCCCAAAGCACGGGTTCGGGGCGCTTACCATGCCATCTCCATCCGCGTCTACTCCGGTTGACAAGACAAGGTATTTCAGCTCCTGCAAAGCTTGCTTCGTATTTCCATTGTGTGGACCATCGCGCACAAGATTCTCCAGAAGAGACCTCTTGATGCCCACCCCGGACCCAGTTTTGCGAGCAGGGCGCCTCTGCGTCGGGACTGGCGCTACCAGTGATGATGCTTCACGAGCAGCCGCGTCACTATTTGACCGAGGCCGACGGGCTGGTGTGCGGATCGTGGAGCCCGATTGAGTTGCTGACAATCCGATATCGGTGCCATGAGTCGCCGAGAGGTGGGATGACTGTGTTTGGGCAATGAGGGCGCTGGATGTTGTTAGGACCTGATGAGATTGGATCTTGCGCAGCGTGCGCATTGTTCGCGGCGAAGCTGGCGCATCGGAGCCACTGAGGCCCCAAGACGGCTGAGGCATGGCCATTTGGACTATCAACACGGCATCGGATGTCCAACACCACGCATCTCCTGGTTCTGGGGGAAGGGATCGGGTAGGTTGTAGAGGGTCAAGTATGAGGGCGCCGGTGGCTGGAAGCTGTTGGTTTTCTGCCGTTGGAGAAATGCGGAGCACGCGCTTCTTTCGGTCTGGCCCCCTCAGCGGCATCATCGGATTCCTCCTCCTACATAGATCAACTGTACGAATACATATGCTATCTTGTCAATTTAGTCGTAAATCAGCGTCACCACAAGTACTACATCACTACCTGCTATCTACTGACGGGCGCTTGGCATTTAGCATCATTTCCGCTGGACTACACGGATGATGAACTACCGACAATACAAAAACTCAAAACAAACATCCCCCAACGCCAACTCCGTCGAAACTCCATTTCTCATAGTCACCACATTCAGGCTTGAGCTGTACCTGCCTCGCGACGTCCATTGTTGCCATTTTCTCCTCCTCCCACGACGCTTCGGACAAAGTCGTGGTACTGGAAGACCTCGCCCCTCTTCACTGCTCCCGCCTTTGCACCCCGTCCTCCAAAAGCCCTGCGCCCGGTAAACCCGCTAAAGACCTCATCGATTTGTTGTTCCGTCAATGGGACACCCCCGACCTCAGGAAGTGTGTGTAAGAGGGCATCGCGTAGTTCGGCCACGTCAATTTGGCCATTATCGTCATCATCAAATGCCGCCAAGGCGTTGAGAAGCTCTTGGGAAGAAGACATGGGTGACATTAATTGAGAAAGAGTGTTCAGGAAAGTCGGGAAGTTGATGGTTTGAGATGCGCCAGGTGGGAAGAAGTGTGAGAGTGCGGAGGGTGATGCATCTTGACCTACAATAGCCTCTGATTAGCATGGGAGCTCGTCTGTGTTTGGAAATTTAACAACCAACATACCAAGGTTTACCAAGACATCTGCGACGTCATCTTTGTTGACTAGCCCGTCGTTGTCCCGGTCTAGGACTTGGAACGCTTCCCGAATCTCTCTAACTTGATTGGCAGGAAGTTTAGAAGAGGCATCACCGTTCACAACCGTAGATTCTTGTGATCGATTTCCAATTATTGGCGATTGATATCCGGGCGACTGCGCTCCTTTGGTCGGTGAGGAAGGAAGCTCTCGTGTGAATTTGGGCTGCGGGATAGGATCGTTTCTCGGGGGGACTGAATCATCCTCTTCAACGGTGTATGACTGGTTCAATTTGCTTGGTGACTGCATTGGGGTAAGCCCTCGACTTGGTGAGCTGCCTGGTGTGCCATTCGTACGAGCTGAGCCCGGCGGGGAGTTTGGTGTTGACGGTCGCCGGAAGGGCGAAGCTCGAGGGCTCCCAAAGGACAGCGGTGAGGGCTTAAAGGTTGGATTGTTTGACTGCATGATGAATCAAATTGTCAAAAATCTTATTTTAATTCATGCAAGCTGGGATCCTTACCATGATTGAGCAAGTTGCGTGGTGCAGTATGCGGAGTATATCACTGGAGTTGTTTGAAAATAGTAAACAATGCCCCGGCAACACAGTCGGCCCGATGAGGCACGTGCGGAGCCACCAACCAGCAGTTTTGGAGCTGTCGACTGCCGCTTTGCGACGGAAGTGAAGAAAATCATGTTCTTAGACTCGATATATCAATTTAGACATGTCATTCTTTATGATGCATAGCTACTTCTTAACCAGATTATATATTGGTTGGCCATGGCCAAGGTCGAATGTCCCGCTCACACTACTGCACACTGCATCTGTTATCGCCTATCGCCCCCGCTGTGGAGATCGCCCTTTTTCTGAATCGACCCCTGAACCATTGAACTCCCGGCCTGTGGTGATTGGTATTGGCAGCATTGAACACCACTCCCGTCGGGAATTCTTTTGCTCTCGAGGCCTATAGACAAAGGCATGTCCTTCAGTACCTTATCCTAACCCTGGCCCGTCTCGGTACTCCCGCAACCCCTTCGAAGATGGCGTCGACGCTGCCCTATCGACCGTCGAACGACTCCCTGTCCACCTCCAACCCTAAAGTCAATGGACTTCCTCGTCTCTCCCCTGCAGCCTCCTTCATTGGACGGTCTCCAAGCGGCTCACACGCCTCTTTTCGACGCACGTCGACTGAGAATACGGCAGGCTATAGGGCACGGCGGTGTAAGGCGCAATATCCGTTGGATTCGCCGGAGCGCCATGTGGAATATATCCTAGTGGCGTCCTTCCATATCGACCGGGGTCCGATCATGGAACACCAGTATCCGGCGGCAATCAGTGGCGATGAGAGCATGCTCGCGGAGCTGATGCTTCCGGATCAGACCCATGTGCGGAGTCAGGATTGGACCATTTTCTTCTTGCATAAGGACACGAGCGGCGAGGACGAGGACGAGTCGGGAGCCGGGAAGAAGAAAAAGAAAAAGAGAAAGTCAAGGTATCGCGCCAACGAGGAGGCGGCGGGTATGTCTGAGGAAGATTCAGATGAAGCCTCCGAGGAAGACAGCAGTGACGACGACGAGGGCGGGGAAGGACCGCCCTTGATGTATGTGCTGAACTTGGTGAACACGAAGCAGGATAATACTGTTCGACGGTAAGGTCATCCCATGATTGCGACTGCGAAGCCTTTTCATCTAACGAGACAACTAGTGGTGCTGTCGTCAAGGCCATGGCAATCTGCACGAGGCATTCATTCCTTCATATTTATAAAGTGAGTTTCATCCCTTTCAACAAAGTATGACCTCAATCTGACAAAATCACAGCCACTCTTGCTCTTAGCGCTGGAAGACTATTTCAAATCACCCTACCCCGAAACACTTGCGTCTCTCTATGATGCCGTGAACAATATGGATCTCTCGTTGATGCCGAAGATGTCGATCTTGGAGCGTCAGATCTTGCATTCCAGTAACACGAAAGACATGTTGATCGAGAAGTTTGAACAAATGGTTCGCCAACGAGAAGAAGAAGAGGCAGAAGACGGAGAATGTCCTCCATCGCCAAAGAAGGCGAGCCGATACGTTCTTCCTCGAGACACGCACGAATACGAGTCCAAAGTAGTCTATAACGACATTCCCATTCCCGTCAAGATTCCCACGGCCATCTGGCCCGAGACTGTTGGCGATTTCTCTCTCGTCAAACTGGTACAGACTTTCGCTGGGCCTCATGCCACATCCCCGCAGCCCTTCCCGAGCCACCCTCACTTGACGACCAGCGGCCCCTTTACACACCCCATCATTGTCCTTATCAACGCCATCCTCACGCAAAAACGAGTGATTTTCCTAGGACACAACCGGCCATCAGGCGAGGTGGCGGAAGCTGTTCTCGCAGCTTGTGCACTTGCTTCCGGTGGAATCCTACGCGGGTTCACTCGACACGCCTTCCCCTATACCGATCTGACGAAGATCGATGATCTCCTCAAAGTTCCCGGTTTCATTGCCGGTGTAACGAACCCCACCTTTGCCAATCATCCCGAGTGGTGGGATGTCCTGTGCGATCTACCGACAGGTCGCATGAAGATTTCAAGCCATGTTGAGCCTGCCCCAGTGACGGAAGGGCTCCTGTTCTTTCAGCAACAAAATGCGTTGTTGCCAAACCAAGCTTCAAACACACACCCAGACCCAACCGGAGACAATCTCTTTATGGATGACATTCTCCGTAGCATCAGCCAGCGCCATGGTGAGAATGCGATCCGGGCGAAGTGGCGCGCCTATATTGTCAAGTTTACTCGAGTTGCGGCGGCATTCGAGGAAGCTGTTTATGGCGCTTCGAACCTCTTTATAATTGGACCCGGAGAGGAGTTGTCACCTGACAGCCCGACGGGCCATCAAACAGACCCAACGGACCCGACATCTCTCAGAGGTCACGGCTACGTTTGGCCTGATGAGGCTTCTAAGCAACGCGAGCTTTCTGCGTCTGTCTCGCGAATTGAGGGATGGCGAAATACCCGTTCATACTACTCGTATATCCAAGATATTGCGGCGATGTATTACCCATCACGGCCAATTCAACGGCCTGATATCCACCATCACCATGACCGGCTTCGGTCCCTCAAGTTGTCCCACGCCGAAGCAGGTGCCATCTACCTCGCGCTATCTCACGCGGTCAAGGATTACGCTGGTATCTGTCAACTGCTGACCATCGCCCCTGAGAACCAGGCAGGGCTGTTCTACATCAGTATGGGTCTTTTCCATCCGGATCAGGTTGTACGGGAAGCGACAGTGGACCTCCTCGACCGCATTGCCGTTCACCCAGCGGGGCGACATTTCTGGACTCACCTTAGCCGCTTTGCCAAGCTGGGCTATTTCCGGGTGAAACGGGAACGTGAGGCTGCCCAGAGTCCTATCTCGGGTGCTGGCTCTCCCACTGCCACAAATCCTGGCACCAGCTTCGCTGGTGAGCCACAGAGTCTGGTGGCGGTTGCTCTTGGGGATAGTCTCAAAAGAAGAAGTTGATCCCGATAACTGAAAACCCGCGACCTCCTTTTCTTCAATTCCTGAGCGCCTTGTCTATTGTACCCTACTTTCTGCGCATATATCATCCGACCTCTCTTGCTCATCTGTGACGAACGTTAAGAGCCATACCTTTCCTTTTATCATGACATCTGTGATGCATACCTGTTTATACTTGCCTTGCTGTTATTGTGGATATACTTATGAATTGATCCGACATCAAGGGGCTCAGCTGAATCAAATGGTTTGAAAGCTATATTTACATCGTATCTTCCGATATATCTTTACATGATATACATATGTTCTCCCTAGCTCACTCCGAGGGGCGTGTATGAGTACTCATGTGCCTGCGCCTCCTAGATCCATCCCTTGAACAGATCAGCGATGGAACTCCAGTCTCCTTCCGTGTCACACCTACCGACCCGAGATCAATAGGATGAGCCCTATGAGCTTCCTCTGTCATGACTTAGAAAACAAGCATGGCAAGTCTAGCAGTCATAACCGCCAAAATGCTCGACGAGAATCCGAAAAGCGCGAAGCGCACCATCATAGTGTTCGTGATGGATTGGACCAAGCTATGCAAAATGCGCGTGCCAACATAAGTCCAGGCAAGAATAGAGTCGGTTCCATCAATCTTGCCACCACGGGCAATCGCCAGCGCCAGTGCAATCGCGTAGAATTGGGTTGGTTGCTCGAGAAGATGGTTATAGTTATCTCTCTTCCAGCGCGCAGCGGGAGGCAGCTGCGCATCTATCTGGCTCTTGGTGGTCTGGCCCGTAGGTTTGATTCGGTTATAGGCCGGGATAGTCACAGCGTACATCCAAACTTCCATGACCAAGGTCCAGCCATTGAGGGCGGCGACGGGTCCCAGAAGGCCGGAAGCAGTGATGCTTGACATGTTGAAAGAGTTCATGGAGGCCAACAAGGAGTATAAATTGTGAATTTCACGATCGATTTTGCTCGACAGATGGGCTGGGATGAGATATGAAGGGCTTTCCAGGGGTTATATACGGGGCCCATGACTCAGGCAGATGAATTTATGCCCCTCAACCCTTACCGAAATGGCATGGTCGGATTTCGGGCGTTGTGGAGTCCGTAAGGAATGGGCACTGGGCAGTTGTGGGCAGGAAGTGGGGATGCCACGCTGGGCGTTCGGAGCCTTGGGAATATACACCCGAGGCAGTCATAAGGTGCCAAGGTACCAGTGTTTCTGTTGCAGAGCGCCTAATGAGGCATTGATTTTCTGTCATTTGAACTTGTATGGTTGATAAGCAGAGCGGTTTACCAGAATCTAGGGGCCACAATGCAGTGCAGGCTAATTGGGTACCGGATAGCTGACCATCCAGCGCTTTTGTGGCAGGAATCCTAACAAAGATCAATTCCAGATACATGCCGCGTTTTAAGGTTGGTGCGAATGTGGCATCAGCGGTAAATTCTTCAGATAATTGGCCTGATTGGGGTAATGAAGGAGGAAAGCAAGTGAATAGGTTAACCAACACAGTGGCCGTATTGCCTGCAACCACACACGCTGTGAAAACTTCCTGACACTCTTATTCTCATGAATCATGATATTCAATGTCTTGGCCACTCTCACTTTCAATCCTGAATTTTCACCTTGACCTGTTCAATGCCATTGTTTGCGCAGTCTATGATATTATTAGATGATTGTGCGAAAGCATCTCATTGTTTCGATCTAACGACGAGGCCAAGGGGCATAGTGAAAAACCGAATATAGTCGCCCAGATTATTTTCAAGAACAACTCATGCAGTTTGTGCTTGGATGTGCATACAGGTATGTGGGTTCCTTACAGGTGAACTTGCAGTATACGTTACCTAAATATTTGAGGACACGGGCTGTGCCCGTCGCGTGTGGTGTGAAGGAGAAAGGTCCACTCTAGGAAATATATTGCTGGCAACATTTCACTCAAGCACCCTACTAAGTCAGTCAAACTTGAAAAAGCTAAGATATCAAGGCCAAGAAAAGTCCAACATATGTTGCGTGAATATTGCAGACATGTTGAAATCTTGTCGTCTGGCGACTTCTCTTGCTCGGACGGATACAGTAGAAACACACTCGGGCCAGTATTTGCAACATAATTTAATTTTGATCATATTACAAAAGTTTATCTCATACCTGCTCCTCTGATCCCCTAAATCATGTCCGGTAACCGCATCGTAAGACGTCCAAAGTCCGGGAGCATTGCGGAGATTGCGGAGATAGTAGATGACGATGGCTCGTTGTCCGTACTCAAAGTTTTACCATTGACCAATTTCGGTACTACTGACGATAGTTTATCCTAACAGATTGAATTCCAGCGGATTTTAGCTTCCTAATTCCTCGTCTCTGACTTCAAGCCGGACTTCCACTGAATAAAATTGGAGTCAATCATCAGCCAAAGGGCCCACATATATAAGTCCCCCGCCCCCGCTAACCTCGCATAATTCTTCACCTCCAACGATCAATCTACAGCGATCAGAACAGCTCACCCAGCATGCCTAAAGTTCTCATCCTCGGCGCAACAGGCTATCTTGGTCGCCAAATTGCCAATCTCCTCGTCCAGAGTGGACAACATACCGTCTACGGTGTGACGCGCACCACCGCCAAAGCAAAGCAGATGGCCAGAGAAGAGATCATCCCGATGGTGTGCGCGGACCCGATAAATCAACCGGACCCATATCTTGAGATCATTCGCTCCAAGCACATAGACGTGGTCGTGGACGTAGCTGGTGCCGATGCTGGCTCGCACAAGTTCCTCGCCGATGTGGTTTCAGTGGGCAAGGAGCGCAATTATGAATCATTGACCCGACATATGCCGTGCTCGAAGATAGGATACATATATTGCTCCGGTACATGGGTTCATGGCTCATCTAATGAGCCTGTGAACGATCTTGACATCGTGGGTCAAGGAGCAAACACGCCCCCAGAGGAATTGGTTGCCTGGCGAGTCGGAATGGAACAGGCCGTTCTTCGGGCGAAGGACGTCCTCGATGTTATGGTCCTGCGACCCGCTCTCATCTACGGCCGCGAAAGCACTATTTGGGCGTCCTACATTACTCCGGTTCTGGAAGCCGCGACGAAGACCACCAAGACGGTGGAAATCCCACTAGATGCTGATTCACGACCCGGCCTCATCCACGTCGACGACACGGCAAAGGCTTTCGTTCAAGCAATCGAGAAAGTGCACCTTTTTCCAGGTACGGGAGTATACCCCGTCTTTGATCTGGTGACCAGTCAAGAAAGCATGCGGGACATTTTCAATGCCTTGGCTTCCACTTGGGGGTTTACGGGTACGGTGGAGCTGAAAGGACATGGAGGAGATTTATTTTCCAAAGCGATGAGCACTAGTTTCCGAGGATCTTCTGCGAGGGCCAAGCAGCTGTTGGGCTGGCAGCCATCGAGGTTGAAAGGGTTTGTGCAAGATATGGATATTTATGCCGCTGCATTTGTTGCAGAGCACATTGACTAAGTTTAAATGGAACTCTAGATAGGTATCATGGCCAATAAGCAAACCAAATATATACACAACATACAGGCCGTACCTCCTGTCCAACTCCCTATAAGTACTGGAGTGGAGTGGCATGGTACCCGTACTTTTGGAAAATGCGGATCATCTCGGTATGCCCTAGCGAGGATGCCATTGATAACGGCGATTGGCCATGCGCGTCCTTTTTTAACGGGTCTGCGAGAAACTCCATCAACAGGCTGACCATATCAGTCTTTCCTTGATGAACAGCCTTCCAAAGTGGCGTCTTCCGAGGATACGCCGTCTTATCAACCTCTGCCCCTCTGTTTAATAAAAGTCGTGCAACCTCGACGTTGCCGTAGAATGCCGCTCGTGAAAGCGCAGTATCACCACTGGTGCATAGTCCATTCGGATCAGCACCTCGGTCCAACAGTAACCGAACAATGCTCTCGTGCCCAGCCGCAGCGGCTTGCGAAAGCGCCGTCTTTCCTAAGCCTTTGCCCGCATCGGGATGCGCACTGTGCCCAAGCAGGATTTGAACGAGATCCTCTCGACCCATCAGCGCGGCTGTTCCCAAAGCCGTGTCTCCGTTGTCTGACCTCCTGTCCAAATTTGCACCGTACTCGAGTAGTAGCTCGACGATATCGAGAAGACCAAACGAAACAGCGACCATCAAAGCGGTTTCTCCGGCATCGTTGATGGTGTCCACGTTCGCACCCTTGTCCAAGGATAGCTTGACAGAATACTGTCCACCCATTTGAATCAACGTCATGAACTCCTCTTTACTGCCGGTAAGCTTAAATCTCATGCGCTTGACAATGCTGGGCTTCTTGCCGCGAATAAGTGACTTTGGTCGGGTAGAATCGTTCATGGAAGAACTGTTCTGTGATTGGTTTTCCTGGCTGTTTTCGATGCTGCTTTCTGACTCGATGGGGATAGGCAAATTTTCCCGCGGTACGACTTGTTTATCGAAGTTTGTATTTGCTGGGAAGAATGGCTCCATGGCCACGGGAATGGGGTAGTTCTCGATTGGGAGTGCTTGCTTTTCCGTATCCTCCGTATCTTGGAGCTCCATTGCGACTGGGATTGGGAAATCTTCTGTGGGGAGCAGCACTTCCTTGTCGGAAAGGCCTTTCTCTGGATATTCTTGTGATCGAAAGGGCAGTGTGAGTTGCTCCCCAAGAGGTGTTGTGTTGTAGAGTGAATTTCTTGGGGGCAAAGCTGGTTTGATCGATCGTGATGATTTTGCTGGTGGGCTGCTACCTTCCAGGAGGTGCTCCTTGTCTACAGCATGTCGTAGTGTTGAAATGATATAGCCATGGTCCTGGTCCGACCACTCAGGTACGATACCAACATCGTGCAGTTCAATTTGTAGGTTGTTCCATGCTTCATCTTTCTCGCTCTTTGGAGAAGCATCATCGAGAACACTTGCGACAATTCCAGACTCTCGCTTCCCCGCTCGAACATCTTCAATGTAGCCCTGCAACAGACGGTTGACATTGGCCTGTGAGGAACTAAAAAGGATGTTAAGGCCTGTGCTATTATCTTGGAAACCGGGCCAAGATCAACATACATCAATATATCCGCATTTATAACGCTGAGCTCGAAGATCAAGGATGAGAAACGCCCCCGAATATCGGACAGTGGATTCACCGGCCCCACTTCGTCCGCCTGTCGACGAAGCTCTTCCAGCTCTTCCAGAGCTGCACGACAGCCATCGAGAACCTGACTCAGCGCTACAACGGTAAAGTCCCCACATAGCAGCGTCAATGAGATCCTCGTCGCATCAACAACGGATCGTAGCAGACTCAGTTCGTTACGCGCCTGGTCAATGAAGGTGGGCTCACGGCCGGTGGCGTCATACAAGGCCTCGGCTAGTTGTAGAATGGCTGCAATCTGCTCAGATAGGCTGCCTCGCGGAGCCTGGGGCACAGACATGATGAGGCATGTCGCGTGAGGGAAGAAGAAAGCAAGCAAGTGAACTCCGAAGCCTCCCGCCAAGCCGCCATTAATAGGACGCTTGGGATTGGCGGCCGACTAGGACTGTTGGGGGCTAAATCCAAGCAGGGATTGCCGTTCCACCATCGACTCGGGGTGCTGTGTGTGCTTCTTGGGTAATTGGCGGTTTCCCTCGAAATAAAGTAATGCTTGCTGCATGATGCATAGACTTGATGATCCGAAATATTTGCCTCAGGGATTGTGAGCTTGATTGAATGACAAAGACATGGGCGCAAATCGAAAACAGAGGTGGTGATTCAGGACGCGATCTACAGTGGGGTCTATAAGTTTTGAAACCCTGACAAACTTTAGAATTATCTGATCTATCTGATCAAGCACCGGTTGAACGACATGCCAAGAGGTGATAGCTCAGACATCAAAAAAAAGACGCGTTGAAACACATTAAAAGAGGTATTTTAAAGAAGAGTCGAGGTTCACTAGCTGGTCCTCTTTTCTAGTCCTCATGTTCACAATTAGACTACCATGGACATATCAACAGGTTGAGGAATTGCAATTCTCCCTTCAAGAGGAACTTAAGATCCGGGGAATACTTCACATGAATAGAGAGAGAAATATACAAATAAAATTAAAGTAATAGACAAGAAGTATGTAACTATATCACGCAAATGAAATGACACGCTGTTCGCTGGCATCACACATGACCGTATTCCCGAAGGAGAGAGAAGAAGGGCAAAGGAGCGACCCAACTATGCATATAAACAAAAAGGATTGCAGAAAAGTCTAATGGATGTCTGAAGCTCAAGCCTCACTCAAAATAATCCCGCGATCGTGGTCCCGAGGACGATGACAGATATTGAAGCAATGAGCCGGAAATCCGGTAGTTGCATCGACTGTCCTGCACCGGTAGTCACCTTGGTAGAGCCAACAGTGACATTGGTGGTGGCGAAATTGGAGCCACATTGACCATTGACAGCTTTAGCAGACGGTAGGTAAGTGGTGTCGAGAGACTGGTCATCGACGGTGGCCCAATGGGCGAAGATTTTCATAGTGGCCTGCAAGCATTCGTTGCAGGTGAGATTTCCCGACGAACTCAAAGTGCTACCAATGGGGATGAAATAAACATTGTAATCATTCGGGGCCGACGTATTGGTAGCAGCGTCGACAAAGCAATAGTCCTTGGTGTCCGGGTTGGTCAGACAGGAGGCGCGGTACATGGGTTCATATGCCATGAACTCCTTATATACGCTCTGAACAAGTCCGTTGTTCGACTCATAATCCTGGCCACAATTGTCATCTTGAAGCATTTCTTTGGCTAATAACTTCATGACCGATGAACACTTGTCGACCGATTGCGAGCATGCAACGTCGAGCACATGAGAGGTGGACACGGCGGAGGTCAACGTATGGAAGAACGAGTTTGAGTTGCTGAGAAGAAGCGATACTGCATGGCAGTCGGTGAATGACGAGTTAGAGCGGAAGTTATTAAAGAAGGCGACGCAGGTAGCGTTGGCGAAGTTATTGGAAAGGGTGTCGAACGCGGAGGGCAGCTCGCTAGAGGTCGAGTTGACGGCAGTCGCAATGCTTCGTTGAAGCAAGGAGCCACCCTTGAGATCAAAACCTTGGGATTCCACTAACCCGTCACAATCATCTTCACCGGTTTGTGAGTTGTCTCGGGGCTGGTGTGTCGACAATCCTTCGGCACGATCGACTACGTGGATCTCTCCACTATGCCCCAATGCCGATCGGGGGCCATCCGGGGTAAAATCTGATATGCCGGTTGTTGTTTGCGCCAGTGTCGATATTGGCGAGAAACAAAGAATAAGCATTATAATTAAGAGGCCATGGTAAAGCGGCCCGAGGAATTTTGCAGGTCGGCGAGGCACGCCGGGGCGCGACGAGGAGCGCGAAGATGAACGAGAGTTAAGAATCATAGAGAGCGATTGACTGGCATTTGAACTGCCGATGCAGTCCCTTGAGCGGGCAACAGCAGCCATAGTGACGGAATTCATAGTAGAAGCGAGCGACGTAGCCACGACAGGCTATAGACAGAAGACGAGGGAAAGAAAAACGCGACTATGAATGATCCGACATGACCTACACTGTCATCAGAGCCCCCAACCGGACGAGAAAAAGGATTGCTAGAAGGACATTCGACTGGTGTAGTCAGACGTAGTTCGATGGAGGGCTGAACACCCTTTTTGCAGCCTTGGGGTTGGGGGAGTAAGAAGGATGACTACCACGAGGGGAGTAACGGCCAGCCCACCGTACTAGTAACCATCCACAAAGCCAGTCGGGCACGGAGCACCAAACTGGACCGCGTTGAATTTTAGTGCTCGTTTCCATCGCATGGATAGAGCAGCCAAGGCCGAGAACACGTCTGCAGCGGTGCGCTAGGCCCCGAAAGAGCAGGGCTGGTCGGGACTAGAGCGTTCTGTGGAGTCGCCAGGGTAATGGATTCAGCGGGTTCGGCGGGTTCAGGGGCAGCTGCATGGTGCAGGGGCCAAGCATCATCGGACCTTCTCGTGGATGTTGGTGATGCTCGGAAGGGAAAGGTTCGTCGCATTGCCCGAAGGCTTGCTGATGAGAGACGATCGAGAGGCCGAGACCAGTCCATAGAAATTACGATTGTGAACCACTACCGAAGCATGGTTTTGATGATCGGATGCTGATCTCTTTCCTTGCAAATGAATTTAAAGAAGGTGATCTCTGCTTTTGAACTCTTTCACACCTGTTTTTGGACCGCATGTGGAACGGTGTCGGTGTTTCGAGAGGAAATGAAAAGGATGCGGGCGTGCGACCCGACGTAAGGAGCCGGAGGGGCAGTTGTTTAGTATTCTTGGGGTTGGTACGTTGGAGAGTTTGCACGAGGATATCAGAGAGTCACGGGGTCATGAAGGACGCTCAGGCTGAATTGAGGCTCTAATATAGCACGCGACCTCTATTCCTTACCTTTTGTGATGATTTAGCAATCGTTCATCCCAACCCTTCATCAAATGTCGTTTTCACCCTCGCCCTCACGGACTTTGGCTCTTCCCGGTGAAGCCTCCATCTCCGGGGCCAATTAGGTAAGAAGAAATTCGGCCACTCCGCGGCCATTCCTCCCCCACACTCTCCAAGACTTCACCCCTCCATTCATCATGTCTGACTCGCTCGTGCCAGAGACGCGAGTGCTGGCCGTGGCTAGCCATGTAAGTGATCTATCAAACACTTCCAACATTGTCCAGATGATTGATAAACTCGCCAGGTTGCCTACGGGTATGTGATTTGTGCCCTTCCCCTCCGTGTGGAGTCATCCAGTCATCCCAAGATGACGTCCAAACTGACATCTTTCCCAGCCATGTGGGCAATACAATGGCGACATTCGTCATGCAGTCCTTGGGTTGCGAGGTCGCCGCGTTGAATACAGTGAATTTCAGTATGTTTTTACCTTTGCTATGTTCAACGAGTAGAATCTGCCTTATCAAGGCAATTCCGCGGGAAACCTCCCAATGGGTTTAATTTTGATGATATAGCATCATCATCGCTAACCCGGTATATCTAGGTAACCATACCGGCTATCGCCAATTCAAGGGTACCCGTGCGACTGCGCAGGAAATTTCAAATCTGTATCAAGGCCTGTGCCAGAGTAATTTGACCGATTTCGATGTCATGCTCTCAGGCTATGCCCCCAGTGCAGCCGTCGTCGAAGCCGTGGGCGCCATTGGCATCGATCTGCAGCAGAAGGCTGAGAAGAAGCCCGGATCCTTCTTTTGGGGTAAGCCTAGTTTTTCTACCCGACTGAATTATCTGATCATTGGCTGATGAACCTTCTAGTCTTGGACCCCGTGATGGGCGATCAAGGCCGGTTATACGTCAACGACGACGTTGTCCCTGCTTACAAGAAAATCATTCATCACGCCGACTTAATCCTACCCAATCAATTTGAAGCCGAGTAAGTGAATCACGGTTGTCCAGACGGGCCGAATCCTCACGTGTAGTCGAGCACCGACACCTAACCTGCACAATCAGAGTACTCTCCGGCATCAAAATTACTTCACTAGCCACCTTGGCCGAGGCCATCACTGCCATTCATCGCATTTATTCCGTACCGCACGTTATAATCACTTCTGTACAGCTTTTCAAGCTATCGACGTCCGGGTCGACGCCCAGTCCACCTGAAAACTTCCTGACGGTGATCGGATCCACAACAAAGTCCGACGGATCTCCACGTCTGTTTCGGGTCGACGTTCCCGCTTTGGACTGTTTCTTCAGCGGAACCGGTGACATGTTTGCTGCACTCACGGTAGCTCGCTTACGCGAGGCCGTCGATGCTGCAGGCGACAATCTACGTAATACCCGCTCTTGGGTGTCGCCCGACAATGTCCCGTCCAGCCAGCTCCCGCTAGCTCAGTCTACGATCAAGGTTCTTTCAAGTATGCATAGCGTGCTCGAGCGGACTATGGAGGCTCGCGATGCGGAACTCGCAAAGGACGTCCCAGCTCAGAATGGGGACGTGAGCGCCGAAGAGAAGCAAAAGCGTGAACACCTCCGGCGGACCAAGGCTGCGGAAGTGCGGCTGGTTCGTAATACGCGATTCTTACGGGATCCTCCGGCTCAGTTTCAGGTGCAGGAGTGGTGCAAAGAAGACCTTCCGGCACAATTGCAATAGAAGACATGATTATGGATAGACGGCATAATGGGGCTATAAAGAAAGAGATGAACGTTCTTAAAAGGGGAGATTTGACATGGCTCGCTACCAGCCTTTACATCTTGAATCGCATATAGATAATTGAATGTTAGATTCCCGACGACATGATGCTACCTAAGATTAGGGAAACTCGCTAGACCGAAGTCTCTTCTCGGTTGTCTCGAAAGTATGTCTGATGTGGGAAACAGTAACGGCAAATAAGCTGGTTATTATTGACGAGGATATGCTAACTGAGTAGCCGACTAGACTACTCAGCGTCATCGAATTCGATTTACATAGGGAACACATGCGTGTATGTGGAAGTGGTTGTTAAGACCCTATATCTGAAAAGATGTCGTTTACTGTCTTAGAGATCAGAAATGAGCCGAGTAGGGAAATTAAATCAAATCGGCCGCAAGTTACAAACCATCTTGAAAATGCGACAAACTTCATCTTCGAGTTCGACTTCCATTCTTGAGAGTCGTACTCAACATGTGCATTCATTAACTTCAGCCAAGGACCGCCAATTCTAGATATACTTCAATGCATTTTGTCCAACTCCAGAACCCGATTCGTTAAAGTTTATTTTCATCTCATCTCATTCCAAGCTCTAAACGCCAGTGCTGCCGAATCCACCGGCACCACGGACACTCTCCTCGAGCTCTTCGACGACAGCGACCTCGGGGGTATAGATCTACATGTATGTCAGTATGATTCGACATCTCGATAGTAGATCAGGAACAAAGGTACTCACCTTCTCCAGAACCAGCTGGGCAACACGGTCACCAACCTTGACTAAAAGTTCATAACTGTGTCAGTTATTGTTCAACAACAAACCCTTATAGAATCACATACCAGGGAAGTCGACATCGGAGTGGTTGAAGAGCAGCACCTTCACCTCACCACGGTAATCAGCATCAATAACACCGGCACCGGTATCAATAAAATGCTTCGAAGCAAGACCACTACGGGGAGCAACACGGCCATCTACAACACGAAAAAAATGCAGTCAGCCAAAGGCACCCCAATCAATCACACCCATAACCAGATACTGAAAACATACAAGTACCCTCCGGCACAGCCATCGCAATACCAGTATCAATCAGAGCCTTGCCCTTGGCCGGGACAACCGTCTCCTTAGCCGCGTACATATCGTACCCCGCAGCGAAAGCAGAGCCCCGCGTCGGGGCCTTGGCCGAGTCAACCAGCTTCTTGACCAACAGCGGGGGTAGCTGCTGCTGGATGGAGGTCACAGCGGGGGCATTGGAGGCAGTCATGTCGGCGTTATCGTTCGTTTTCGTGCGCTTTGGGAGCGGGGAGGCGGGCAGGGAAGGAGGTTCGCGAGCGGCGTTGGTTGCGGGGATGGCGGTGGGCGGAGTGGTCTCTCTGGTCATTGCCGGGGGAGAGGGAGGAGAGGTATTGGAGAGACGGAGGTGGGATGAGTGGGGAAGAAGTGGGTGAGAGGGCGTGATTGAGGAAGGAAGTAGATGTTGGGGTGGACTTGCGGTGTGGTTTGAAGAGTTTCGTCCCTTGCGCGCTTCACCGCTGGGACGCGGCACGCGGTCGCGTCGGAGGGGCGTATAGAGGGTGTTTGTGCTGTTTGCTCTATTGTTTCACGTGACTGGTATCCATGTGATCTTATATGGAGGTGTCAAGTCATCAGGATCATGTGATCTGTGCTTCCTGCCTCCCCTTACGGCTCCGTGTTGAGCCTCGCTTGGAAGAAAGAGCCGCCATGATGGGATCAGTCTCGTACTCGAAACCTGCATAGTAGGTCACTAGTTTGTACAAAAGACTCTGTTGATGCTCAAGTTCTCAGGAGTAACTACCTATGCCCTTTGACCACAATTTTCCAAGCATAGCATCGACTACTCTACATAGGATTTGCAAATCTCACACCCTTGACCACCAAACAGTTGAGAAACACTCGAACCCCTCCAAAAGGAAAACTCCATACATAAAGCGGCCTTGTCTGACAAGCATTGTCACTCTTGCGACCTCATCCCCGGAAAATAAATCCGGACCCTGCTGATCTGTTTTACCGCTTCATAACTTGCAAAACTGTAGTTTACCGTCATGGCCTTACATAGAAGTCATCGTAATGATATCGGAATGCTCCATGAAACCGCGCAGAAACTTTGGAGAGATAGCGATCTGGCATGCGTGCAATGTTTGCCCGTCCCGCCTGTGCTTGCCGACTTGTCGCCCCATCATCTACGCAGAACTCTTGGTCAAGCAAGTCCGTGCCTTATCGTAGAAGGCTCAATGAGCATCATATGACGTTTATTGTAATCACCGGAGCAGGTCTCATATTTCTAATGCAGGGCGTTCGAACTTCGCATCCGTGCATTTTTGTTTTGATGGCTCTGGTGAACCTTCAACGTCAGCACTAGAGACGTAAAACATTGGATGCAATGCCTGGAGTTTTGTGAGGTGGGGAGGACGATACATACTTCGAAGACGAGCTGATCTTCCAGTCGACTACATCAAGAGTGAATAGTCAGATTAGACACGCGGTGTGCATTCTATAGGTGAACTATATACAGAGTAGAGAGAAGACACGGTACGAAGACTTTCGTAACTTTTTTGACACCGACTGTTGAGACGCAATAGTTCAACTAGCGACGCGCTGGAGGGTAATCCGTCCAAATCCTAGCATATGGGAATGGTGTGTTTCAACAACATGGCTCACCCCATACCAAGACTTGCAATGACGGTAATTTTGGGCTTCCTATATGTATGCAACGCATTGCGGCCCGGTTCGCAGGATCGCCAGACTTAGTCGCGGATGTTGGCGACTAATGCCGCATTTCCGTTTGCTTCAGACGTGCAGGATGGTGTGTGCACTAGAAGGCTTCGAGGGCGGCGCCATACATTACTTGGCGGGTGTGGTCCACTCGTAGGGAAAGGATTAGAGGGGGATTTGCTGTATTGCATTGCAGTAGAAGGCTAAAAGGCTAGACGGTACGCTAGAGGAGTGTCCTGGTTTTCTGTACTTGGGGTCTAACGAGACTCCTTCTTGGATAGAGTATCTGTTGTGCATTCGTCGTTTGTGGACGAATTTGTGGAGTTTTGGGTGTATCTTGACGGAGAAAAGTGATGACCGGAGATATCGTTGGCAGGATTGTCATCACTGAGAGTCTGATTTTTTTTCCTTTCTCCGTGAAATATGTACGTCCGTTATCTGGAGAGTGGGTGGTTTATCGATTGTGGATCTCAGGATCGGTAGCTGCATTTCGAGGGCTTGTAGTAGCATATACTCCGTAGGTGCTGTGCTACAACCTTGCCAACCTCTCGTCCTTTCGTCACCTACAGAGAAAAATAACGGAAACATCATCCTCGACCCTCAGTTGACGTACAGTCAGCCTTCAGTGAGGAGTCACTAGTTTCCTCCTAACTAGATTCCACCGGCACTAGCGGGGTCTTGTCAGCACTTGGCCTTATTCGATCCACGTTTGGTCGCAAGTCAAGAAGCGCCCGTATTTTCCTGCGGTTGGCCGCCACCTTATCACCGTCCATGCGGCGCCACCATGCACACCGACGACCTCGTACCCTCGTCGACGAGACCGTCGCTGATTCGATGGTATGCTGAGGCTTGAAGAGGGGGAAGGTCACGATCGTAGACTCATGGTGCTCAGGGTGAACTCTCTCCCCTCCATGTTCACCTGGAATCATATGATTATGGGCGCAATGCAACTGGTGAGTAAGTAGGTGGTTTTTTTTTTTGCATTTTATTCCATTTTGCCTCTTACTTTCACGCTCTTTTCTTAGGGGATGTGGGCATCTGTCCCGGACATTATGATAGGCTACTCTGATTATCTTGGGGGTGGGGAAGGTCCAAGAAAGAGGGGGGCGAGGAATGAGGCTACCTTGGCCCTGCGGCTCTACGTAGAGTGAGGCTGAGGGGGGAAAGGACCAGCAGGAAAACCAAAAGAAAAAAAAGCAAAAAACCCAATAAGCAAGCACTCCGAAAGTTGTACAAAACGACTCGAGGACCCATCGCGGGGCCCGTGAGTCCGTGGGTGGACCAGCAAGCCTGAAGGGGGTGAAGAACCCCACTTGGTGTTGGACTAGTACGGTGCCACTTGGAGTTACATAGGCTGGTTAATTTACTTTCGGCCGCTGCGGTGCGCCAGAGGGGGAAAACCCATGCGTTGCGCAAATGATCTCGGCGCGGGCCGCGTACTTCCTTTCTGGAAGTAGACGCAGAGTGGTAGAGAGAAGGGTGGGGGTGGGCGCTGACGTGACTGGGGGGAAATAGACGAATGGACGAATGCCATCGCATGATAGGATGGGAAGGAGTAGAATGCTGATGGCCCATGGCAAACGGATGCCGGAGTACGACGGACGGAGAACATGACGGAGTACATGACGGAGTGCGTCTAGAGAACGAAGAATGAGCCGGCGATGAACCAGGGTGGCAGACCAGACCAGACCAGCCCAGACCCGGACAAGCAGTTACAACTGGCCAAGGCAAGGCGGTTCGTCGGGTTCTCCTGAAACGCGCAACGTGGATCATGTTGCGTTGGCAATCCTTCGGAGCCAGGCGGGTCGGGCACGGCGAGGCATGGCCATGGGTTCGTGAGTATACGACGGGAGGGAAATGGAAGCAGCACGCAAGTAGCTATCGCAGAAGGGACGAGAGATGAGAACCAAAAGCGTGGAAATTACTAGCGAATGGAAGGTTCAGAGTCAAAACGCCAGAAAAGCATGATCATCGGATATACCCTCTGGGCGGAGTTGGATGGCTGAGGCTGGAAAGGTTCGGAAGGTCTCTCTAGAAAAGGTTGTTGGTAGACCCAAAAAAGACTACCGAAGTGGAGACAGCCCCGTCGTGCAGGTTCCCTAGCTGGGTGTTAGGCCGGGGGGAAATAGCGAAAACCGCGAATCAATCGAGCTCATGGAAGGGGGAAATCGACCGGCTTCACAAATCATATGTCCTGGATTAGATGGACCAAGCAGCTAGGCACTCATACAGGAAGAATTGAGAAACTACGGATCCGTACAGAATGGAAATTAACGGGCCAGTCCCAAGAAAAAAAAGGGGGGTTGGCATGTCTTGAGCCGGTGGAGAACCCTAACGGGTGTGCCCACTCATCGGCCACGATAGCCCCGGTTGATGACTCCGCGGCCCGTCTGAATTGTATCGGCCGCACAAAAAGCGAGAGCGAGACGAGGGTCATGGGCAAGAATGGTGGAGCCTAGAGAGGGAGGAGTCGTGAACAAGAACGGCCACGGGCCAGCGGCTCGATATTGTTGGACTGTTAAAAAGAGTCGAGTGTACCACCGGCCCTCTCCAAATCCTCCGATGCAAGCGTTGCGATCATCTGCCGTGATCAGGAGAGGATGTGGAGATAGCAGTGTCCGGGCTCGAGTTGGGGAGAATCGAGTGACGACGACGATAGCCGGCTATGGAAAACTATAAAAGGTGTAAAAAGCGATGGCGGCGGTGTCGGATCCATAATTGACCTAAACAAGGAGATAACCAGACTGGCAGAGTGGCAGAGCCGGACGTATAGGTCTAGACTAAGAAGAGTAATCCGGTCTCGCGTTGAGAATTCCATAGGATAATATTCAATCGTTTCTCCCTGGATTTCTCCCTGGAAGGAAGGACAAGAGGATCAAACTCGAGCACAGCCCAAGACCATCATAATCCACACCCAAAAGTGACAGGTTCCCGGTCGACCTGCGGGGAATAAAACAGAACGAGAGCCTCGGAACCAGGCCCACCTTTCCAGAGCCTCATTCTTCTTTCTCCCCGTGCGCAATTTCGAGTCTCTGGTGTTTTCTCTTCTTTTCTCTCTCGCTTTTTTCCTACTGCTTCCTCATTTTCTCCGCCCTCTCTCCTCTTAGTCTTGCCGAGCTTTTCCCCTCCCCTTGAGAAACCTGATCGGATCCCCGAATTCCCCGTTGCAGACCTTTTTTTTTTTTTGTTTTTTTGCGGCTTTTGCTGGCTTTTTCTCAATCGCGCCGCATCCTCATCGGCCCGTGCTCTGCGTGTTGCTGCTCCCCTAATCGCGCTTAGCTCATTAGTCTTGCACCGTCCCCTCCCCCTCCTTCATTTCCAGAGCCTCTTGCCCTCCCCTTTGGGCCTTCTCTCTCTTTTTCTCGACTCTTCTCGGTGATATCATTTCGAATGGCCGTGGATCCGTTGAACGGGTCCCGTTGAGCCTCATCCTTCAACCGCTTTCCTTTCCCTCGTGTCCCCCTTCCCCTCTTCCCGGGCCGGCCCAAGTGCCCTCCCCCCCTCTCTCCAAGAGTAAGTTTTCCCTCACTTGCTTCTTCCCCTCTTCCCTTTTCACCTCCCATGGACCTTCGGGTTCCCTTTCTTGTATTTTTCCTCCCTCTCGAGGAGTTCAGATCAGATCAGATCAGATCCGGGTCTAGATCTGGCCAGGTCGAGAAACCCTCGGGCTGGGTCACTCGCTAGTGTCGGTGGAGAGCTCTCGTTTGGGTCCGTTCTGTCGCGTCCGCCTGGGTTAGATCCCGAGCCCGCGCAGAGCCTCAACCTTGGTCAATCTTGGGTCTTGGGTCCAACCTCTTCTCTTACCCGGACCACCACGCATGCATCTTTTCTTTCTCGAGTCAATGGTTCCATCTGGTCATCGGTGAAATCCCTGCAACATCTCAAGCTAACGTTCCAGGTAGAGTAAGAGAGAGAGAGAGAGAGAGAACGCCTCCCAACAGACTACTACTGCCCGTTCATTCTACTATCTCACCGCTGATGGTGCATGCCGGTCGATCTGTTGTTCTATATCACCGCGACGAGTTCTCCTCGATAGCGCCATCCTTAGCTGCACAGAGGCAATCGGGCGTGCTCTATGCATCGCTCGACTCGCCATGACGTCCGACATCTATGACTCGGACGACGCCATGGGGCTGTCCCCACCGCCCAAGCCGGTCAAGCCCAAGTACGGGCCAGACGAGCCTCCTCCACCACCATTCGTGACCGTCAATCAAGAGGACCACGCGAAACCCACCGTCAAAGATCCTAAGGGAACACTCGACCGTTCCCGTAAGCCGCACCTGCCGGAAACCCAGACCCAAACTCGTCACGGCGACGCGGTACTGATGAGCTATTTAGGGCCAGGCTGTTTGGAGGTCGCGGCGCATGCTCGTGATCATCCGTACTCGGACTGGTCGCCTAAGCAAGGTCGGGGGCCCGTGGATTGGAATGCACCCCCACCCCCGTCACGGAAAGAGGATGGACCTGGCCCGAAGGAAGGGATTCAATTGGGAGGGTGGGATAAACTCGGAGGAGGTTCGGGTGGTGGCAGTGGGAGTGGAATGGGAGTGCAAAAACCGCCAATTCCAATACCAACGCCAAAGCCAGCACCAACACCAGCCCTTATATCGAAACCGATTGCTGGACCGGGTTCCACGGCAGAAGAGGAGGCCAAGTTCAAGTCCATGGTGGAGCAAGGAGTACCGCGATTGAAAGTCGACGAGAAAGCAGACCGCCATACCTCGTTATCACCGCATATGAAACCCTTACCCCCGGTCCTCCCTCCGCCTGCGCCGCCATCCGATTTTAAAAGTGAGTTCGTCTCACCACGACAGCGTCCGCGCTTGCAGTCCATTACAGAATTCCCTCCCGTACGGCCCTCGCCCGATCTGCTCAAACGATCTCCCGAGCTAGGTCATCGTGTCTCGTTGCCATCTCTGCAATCTCTATCCCCTCCATCCTCTACGGCAGACGCATCTCCCGACTCGGCCAGCTGCAACCCAAACACCAAAACCCTGCCTTCCATTCAATCCGCGCTCGGTGGGTTTTCCCCCAGCGAGTTTCCTCCTACTCGACTCAATGCGCTACCTCCACCATATCCTTACTCGTCCTGTCCGGGGTCTGCGACCTCGGCAGATTCCCCGCATGATCGTCAACTCCCACGGCATTTCCTGCCATCACATATCCCTCCCAGTCCGTTCTCCCACCTCTCCCCAATCAGCGCCAAGGAACACTCCAACAATCCATCTCCCGCATCACAACCCTCCTCTGCATTCTGGCGTGGCCCTCCCCCACCCCCACCGCCTCCACCCCAGCCAGCGGCCGACACCCCGCACCATATACCGTCACCATACGACACATCCCCCATGACGGCTACAAGCCCCCTCTCGAGTTATCCCACGCCGACAGAAGCTCCCACGCCGGGGTCTAGTGAACGAACACCCTTAAGTTCAACCGTGCCACTGAACGGTGCCGGAGCGACGGGAAGCTATAAATGCACACATCCCGGGTGTACCGCAGCGCCATTCCAGACTCAGTATTTGCTCAAGTAAGTAGACGCCAATGACCGTACCCGGTCCAAGAGAATCAAATATACAACGGTGATAGCCCCCTAACTGTAATCTTACAACCAGTTCTCATGCAAATGTGCACTCGCAAGACCGGCCTCACTTCTGCCCTGTGGATGGCTGTCCTCGTGGGTTGGGCGGGAAAGGGTTCAAGCGCAAGAATGAGATGATGCGACATGGCCTGGTGCATAATTCACCGGGTTATGTATGTCCCTTCTGTCCGGATCAGCAGCATAAATATCCTCGGCCGGACAATCTTCAACGGTGAGTTGAATCAATTCTCTAGATCAGGCTCGAAGGCCGTTCGGCTAATTTGAGCTGCTTGAGCAGACATGTCCGTGTTCACCATGTGGATAAAAGTAAAGATGATCCTATCCTCCGTCAAGTCCTTGCACAGCGCCCGATTGGGAGTACACGAGGACGACGACGAAGGTCCAATTTTGCTTGATCATCTAACCTATCTTGGGTTCTGAAAATTCCTCCGACAACAGGTCCCTTGACGAGGGTATATAACATGCGTTAAGTGATATCAATGGCCGTCCCGACTGCCTCTGCTGCGTCACGTCTATCTGCAACAACCCCCATCTTGTCTGACCCTCTGGACTGGGGAAGGACACAACCTATATTTACGCGTAACGAATTTCCATCTCTGATACCTGCTTGGAGCTCTATTTTCTATTCACATCGCCCGTTTCTGTTCGACATTTCTCTATGCGCAGCGTAGCACGGTTTTCCCTTAACTGGGTTCATTTCTATTTTTCTTCATTTTCGATGATACCACATGTTACCCCTGTTAGAAGCATGATGATACACGGGCCATTCGTTTCTATCTGTCTTACCAACCTTTTTTTTCTTGTTCAAACTACCGCATAGTCGTGTGTTTGAGTCGTTTCTTCTAAAAGGTCCACTCGTTTTACTATATATCAAACGATTTACTTCTTATTTTCTTTTTTATGCTTTTTCTTGGATTCCTTCCACTCTTCGCGGGTATCCATCCAGCATAGCTGCCAGCTTGAAGGTTCGTCCTTTTCTTTTTGTACGTGTTGTCGTATTTGGAGGCGAGTGTGGTGAGTGGTGAGTGGTTTTAAGGAGTGTTGTCAAGTATCGACCTGGTTCCAACATTCGTTTGGGGGCCGTATCTTATCTTTCTTAATTGTCGCGCAGGGTCAGGTACTGAGCGCGATGTCCGTTAGTGGTTCAAAATTGCGTGGCAATACAATCTTATACATATGAAGCACAACGGGTAGCCATGTTAATAGAGAGCCTTGCCTCACGTGTAGTTTCCAAGTAGTAAATATTCACATGGCATCCAAGAGGTATGTGTAGTGTTGGGAACTCCTGTAATTTTGGACAGCCCCGACTTGATCCTTTCTTACTGTCAATTTCCCAGTCAGATCTCACCGAGACAACCACATATCATCCTGGAGCCGATAAAGTTAGCACTCTGGAGAGTGGAGTTAAACCAAACCTCAGAATAGCTAGCTATCAGTTTCTTCAAGATGAAACAGGTCCCAAGCAAGGTATATACAACCTCAACAAGGACAACCCCCACAATCAATCAAATGCAACTTCATGTCTTCAGAACCAGGTCTCACCCGGTCCTCGGTGCCCGACCTCGTTCGATATGCTTTCTTCTTTCTTCCGTTACATGGCCCCGCAAGGCATGGAGCACTCGCGCCTATTACTCTACCGAGCGACGCAAACATTAAACACGCATGACTAAGACGAGTATGTCACACGACGTCCTCCTTGGCGTATACCATGCGCAAAACCCTATTGTGTTTGAGACCGATCATGACATTCGCCGCAGAGCCTGTGTAATGTCCACCTTGCGTGTGCTCGAGTACCTCGAACTCGGAAGATGTATTCCATGGTAGCACGACAGCTCAGCCATGTGGGTAGGCAGGACTGGTGTTTATGCGTATGAGAGGTCGATCCTGCAGGATGGGTTATTCTTAGTTCAACAGAGCCGCTCTTGTGAAACGAGAACGGGCGAAAAGCGGACTGCGTTTCAAATTGCCGTTCTCGAATATATCGGGAAAACGCTGCGAGGGGAATCCTATTTTGGAGTACGCAGTCGATGTGACGTATGGGCAGATTGGACCGATGGGGAGCGGAGGCGTCTGGTTTCCACAAATAGCACGAACGTAAGTTTGGGTTCTCGTGACGGAGGTAAGAAAGAGGGGGGGAAGGGGGCCAAATAGCGTTACTCCAAGCCAACTAAGCAATGCCTACGTGCAAGGGGTGCAAACGTGCGACCCAAACTCGGAACATGGACGAAAAGTCGGGGACCGAAAGTGTCAAGAAAATGACTCGGAGTAGAAGTAATAAAGCAAGAATATAATAAAGTTGTGCATCCAGCACTCTCGCACTCTATACCCAAACAAGTTTAGAGCCGCATATGTAGACGGCCGTGGCGAATATTGGTCGAATATTCCCCAGGGAGGGGGTTTCACCGCTCCCGGCATCATGGTTAAGCTGTGTAGTACACGTTTAACACACATGGTCTTGACATATTGTGGGAACCCGATCTGTGAACCCCTTCAGGGTTTCCGTTTATAGTATGGAGTACCGCTGGGCACTGAAGAACCTCGGACATAAACGGGGAAGCACCCAGTAGCGTTGAAACGAACATCTTCCAACTTAGGACAATGGGGGCCAACGACCGAACCCACGGTCTACGCCCCGATAGGTTCCTCAACCCCACGACGTGGATGACCCAGACAACAGATGAGACATGGTTACACTGATGAAGAATGAGGAACGGTCACTGGACTAGACTAGCACGAAATAGGTTATCGTGGGTGGGCCATATGTTGCATAACCTTATTATTGTACTGTACCAATATTGAATGTCTACCGCACTAGGTGACAACAACAACTAATTTACAAGCTGAGGGCCAAAGGCCAAATCAGGGTGTATGGTGCGCTGGGGGCTTTGCGCCACCTCCATGCCAAGAATATGGAGGCTCGGCGTGGCTCAGGTATTGTCGATCCATGGTGGGGTCCGAGTTAGCATTACCAGATCCGGAGGAGCGGGAGCTGAGCTGGACATTGTTGGTTCTGTGTTGGAATATGCGGTGACCGAATTGAACTTGCTGGTGAGGGTTTTTTATTAAGAAGAAAATGTTTGAGATCTACATGGCTGATTTAGGTATGTGTAAAAGGTAAGCTGCGATACAGCAAGGCACCGCTAGCACTGCCTGAATCAGGACATGGTTGCGGTGTTGGCGGGGAACCGCGTGGGAAATGGTCGTCCAGGGATTAAAACTAGTGCGGTGGGCGATGCTGGACGTGGGTCTCATGCGAAAAATGGGGTGAACTATCTTTGTCCACGTTCAATATTCAATATTGCCTGCTAGATCACGATGGAAGGATAGCTAGATGGATCGCTGGCAGGAAGTGTTGGAAATTGGGCCTGGAAGGTTGGAGTGCGGAGTGGCATTGGGTTGGTTCGATTGGCTATTGCGACTACTATAAATAACGATTCTCCTATACTGATCGATAGCGAAGCGTGGCTGGCACGGGCTGTTTGGGACTGATAATCTGCAACCGTGTCTTGAATCGTTGAGACTGCATGCTGGTTTGGCTAGCTTGAGTTAAACTGACTCATTGGGAGTGATCGACGAAGATAAAGTTGAATTCAAAGTTCGAGGCTCGGGAATAAAGGATACAGAATACAGTAATACAAGTGGGGAAAAAGGGCCTCAATGTACTGCAGTTCTTTGGATGATCTCATAGCCGAGAAGAAATGTCTTGTCTTGTAATATCAATGACATTGGTAGAAGGAAAATCGAACCTGATCCCAATGCGCGCCCAATTCCCATGGCCAGTCACCAGTTTTTGTATCAGTGATTTTCCATTTATCAAAAATCCAGTCAACGAAACCCCAAAAACACCCCCTCTAATCCCCCAAATTCCCCAGAACAAGAAAGTCACGTTCGCCATTTCACCGAGGTCCGCAGGCCCCAATGTGTTTATTGATACAGATCAAAATCAAAACTCCCAGAGAGCAACAGACTGCAATTTCAACCCCCAGAAAAAAAGTGTTTCCAACTTGAATGAACGCTCATCCCAGAAAAAAAAAAGGAAGGAAAATCATCATCCAACGTCAATGTGAATACATAATTCTTGTAAAACCATAACCGAGAGGCATGCACGAGAGGCCAGTCATCATGAACGACTGCCCCCACGCCGATGAATACGCCGCACATGATCTTTCATGTTATCCACACGGCTAAAGACCCGCCCGCAACCGTCCCACTCACAAACGATGCCCGGGTTATGCTTCGCCTCGTGGCGAGCACGGTCCTTCTTACTCGAGAACCCGCCCTGCTTGGACTGCGGACAGCCCTCGTGCCGGCAGAAGAGATGCTTGCGGTGACGATTGAAATGCTTGCGCAAATCGCAGCCTCGTCGGAAGGAGGCCTGCGAGGTACAGCCCGGATGGGCGCATCGCCAGAGCCCATCGCCGACGGGGATACCGTAGCGGGAGAGGTCGGCTGGGTTGAAGGGGGGTGAGGATGGGTGGCGGGAAGAAGAGGATTCAAAGTCGGAGAGGATGGTGGGTGCTGGAGAGGTGCTCATTACGGAGGAGGAGGGGAGCGATTGAGAGAGGAAGTTGCCGTCGTGGGCGTGGGCGGTGTTGGAGGAGGTAGATGAAGGGCCTGCTGAGAAGCTCGTGGGCAGAGGGGAGAGCCATTGTTGCTCGGTGGTGGTCATGTTCTCGGTAAAAGATGGATAGCAAGCTTGAGGGATTTCTGGCGAGGGAAAGGCGAGGGGACTAATTGCTGGATAGGAAGGGCTGGTTTGGTAGAGCCCGCCAGATAAGTCACTGTCCATGCACCATTTGTTGATCTGCTGGTGAGTATAGCCAGAGATACTTTGGATTGGAGGGTGCATTGAGGGTTGAGACGACCCGTATGTATAGTAAGACTCCATAAAGGGCGAAGCAGAGGAGGAAGCGATAGCAGGGTCAATAGAAGAAGCGGACATGGGTCTCATCATGTCGGCAGCATAAAGAGATCCTACCGCGTCGCTGACGGGCGAGTCTCGGTCTGATAAGTAGGTCTCCGGTGCCAAGAAAGACGTCACGTCCTGAGGGGCCCTCGCATAGCCCAGCGGCGGTTGGACCCCAGCTCTAGTCGTCGAAGAGATGACTGGAATCTCCGTCAGACCCAAGGGCCCACCTGCGGCGCTGTCAGGCACGGGGGCGTTCATGTCCTTAGCTCTCCAATGCGCTGGTCGCATGGTAGACATGTCGGGCAATGGCGAGAACCGCTCAGAACTCACGAATAGACTCTCTTCCAAAAGCATCAACGGAGTGTGGCGAACCTCTCTGTCAAAGTCTAGCAAGGTGCTTGTCGGGGAGTATCTGGCGTGCATAATATCAACCACTACGGGCTTTAGAGAAGGAGGCGATGGGAAGATGAGATCCAAAATTGCTGATTGAACGAGAACCGATAGGCCATATACTAGAGATTGCGGAGTGGAATGGAATTGTATTGTTGTAGTGGTGGAGAGTGATCGGTGTCCGGACAGGGTGAGATTTATAATGGACGTTCGGCCGTTCTGCAATCCTGGGGGATGACGGAGAATTGTGAGAAGGTCGAGGTCTAGAAGCTCGAGATTCGAAGCGTGGCTTGTAGGGCTATGGAATCTTCAGGAGGTAATGGCGTATTTAGGCTGAGGGAGGAGGATCAGGTTGGATGGTTCCGTGGATGATGACGATTGATGACTTTCCCTCGAACGGATACTCCGATCTGTATATAAGACCAAAAGTCGGGGAGGCAGTGCTTTGCGTCAGGTCGAGCGAGGCGTTCCAAACAGCGGATTTACGAATTTAAAATATGATCTGCGAGTAGATTGACTCAGATAGGAGAAGGAGAAAAAAAAAAAAAAAAAAAAAAAGAAAAAGAAAAAGAAAAAAAAAACCGCGCCGTTTAATAATAATGATGGACGAGCGAACTAGGATATAGATGCGAGCTGTGTGTGGGTTTGGAAAGGGAACCAAGAAGAAATAAAACAGAGTCCACTTCTCATCCAAGCAGCCACTAGTCAGCACGGAATGCAAAGACGCAGGAAAGTCGACAGGACCAGTTAGGTTTAGTTGACAGCGTTCCGCCCCCATGAGCGAGGGTACACGTTGGATTCCAGAAGGGCCAAATGGATCGTGAATAAAAAAAAAACAGACCCAATGATTCAGGATGATTCAGACTCCATGCCGGGACCGGGAGGGCATGGCGGCCATGGTTTGGCACCGACGGATCGAAGTAAGAGCTGTGCGAGCGTAAAAGGCAAATCAAAGACGCAGATTCTCCGTGTTGGCCGTGCGCCTATTGGATACCTCAAGTAGGGCTGAAGCCGGAGCTCGGTACTCGACCCGCTGTGAAGTCACTGGATTTTGGAATGACCCCCTAGGCAGGCATGACGGGCCTGGTAGGTTCCTTAGACATTGAAAGTCGGAATGAGCGACCCATCAATTACCCAAACGGGATCTGGTATGGTCGACGTTGATTGGGTGAATGTACGAGGGTTGACCAACGGTACTCTGCCTTAACCCCGAAGATCTCCTCCCCATGGCCGAGCCCGGGAAGGGTATGCTGCGCGCCGTTCAACTCTTTTTAGAAGTGATAGTCTGTTGATTGGAAGAGATATGGCATGCAGACTCCACCGGGCGGCAGGACTTGTTCACTACTGAGTGTACTGGCTAAGCCACCCTCAGAAAGACACGGCTGTCACAGAACGAGTGGGTTCAATTCTTTACACTCGTAGAGTCAACAGTATGTACGTCGTATCCCAAGTCAAAACGAGAATCCTAATGCATGAATCGATAAAGGATCATCATGGTTACTCGTCTCGGTATGGAGTATGCAGCATCTCCTAGTAGTCACCCCCGGCAAATTCGGCAGTGACCCGCCATAGGGATCGAGGTCCATTATTGTCTTACCGTTGGGTTTGTACTATTCATTGGCCACGGCCGGGACTCACTTGCTGCCAAATTGTCAATGATGCTCTGTGGAGGTCAAAAGTACGAAGAGCCCCCCGCCATTGATTTTGCCTCCCCCGCTACAAACTATGGCACCGCCCATCTCATTGAATCGACCCAACTATGAGAACCTCCTCCCCAGAAATAACACGATCCCCCTTCTCACGGCGACGCCGATATGTAAATTCTCCAGAACCAAATAATCAACTACGAAGAAAGATTAAATTTAACATTTTAAACATCAAAGCCCGGTTATTCTGCCTAGCACGCGCAATTATCTGGGGGCCTTGACGCAACGGCAACATAAAGGTAGTATCAATCGCGTGGCCACGGTTTAAGGTAGCATGTAACCTAGTCCAGCTGCCGAGATAAACGGTGAAAGAGTACGGCAAGCGTATTCGAGACACCGCATGCTACGTTGTCGATCCCTCCTGAAACAAGCAGGGGTGAGAAAAGTCGCGTTGAAATTCGAGCTGGGGGTTGGAAGGGGGGGGGAATCACTTCCGGGGCGAAAAGTACAACAAGAAAAGAGATAGGAAACGCAAGTAAGAGCGAAGCAAAGTAGACGAGACATAAGCTACAGGAAACGCTTCACGCTCTGCTTGGACCGTGCCCGACAAAGTCCGACACCGACGATTACAACCGAGACGTGATCCCTGTCGGGACCGCAACTGCAGCTATGATTCGCCAAAGCGCACAATTTTAGTGCTTAGGCGAGCATCGGACCAGTCAGAGGACGGTGGGACAATTCCATGGATGCGGGCGCAGGGCCTCTCTCAGACGCGAGAAGCGGTGTCGATAACTTAACAATGCTATGAAGTGCCGAGCCGCACATGTGGCGCCGTACAATGCGTCAGGGTATTGCAGAAGTCCTGCACTGAGTCCCGCTCTCCTGGGTATAGTAGCATCGAGAATGGAGGTGGGGGGAAGGGATTAACGAGGAAATCCGAGGGATCGTCCTAGCTAGGCAGCATCGGGTCGGAAATAGGGCTGAAAGCTATTGTTGGCGTAAGACCGATCTTCAGGTGCAGTTGATGTGATTTCTCATCGCCATGCGTTGGCATCATGCGCTTACCATGTCGTGGAAACTCGAGAGGGTGGAGACGAAAAGGCGAAACTCACCCTACGAATGAGGTGGATAAGGAAGCGAGATGTCACGAATGCCGCGCACGGCAGACAGCGTAATGAACGAGCGACGAGCACCAATAGAAAAACCAACAGTTGGGTTCACCCGAAAAGTCTGAACCCCCTTCATTGTCTCAAAGCTATGATCTGGGACCGATCCCGATAGTTCTATGAAGACATGGGGCATTGCAAATGCCGAAAGACAGGTCTATAAAATAGTGCTTCTCCTCACATCATGTTTCTAATTCGGCCCCTCCCCGTCTATCACTTTCGCTCGTTCTTGATTCTCTTGGTCCACCGAATCAATTGATCGACCCGTCTCAGCCTAGGGATTGGATTCGTCGAGTAAAGGTGTGGTCGAATCGGGCCCGGGCTGTGCCTTGGGATCCGGGGCGTCCCGGTACAGAATGTAGTGTTGAATGATAAAAATAAGGTCGAAGAAGATAGTGATGTTGCTGAGCAGTAGCTTCGCGGGATTTCCCGTGATGCCACTCCAGTCACTTTGAAGGCTAGAGTCAAGGACCAGTTGCAGTAGTGACAAAATACCGCCGACGAGGTCCAGGATAATGGTCCAAATGTTCCATCCCACCGTCGATTGCCGCCGGTAGTTCATCCAAGCCTGTGGGACATACTTGAACGTCGTAATGACAAGTTTATCGTATGAGAAAGTGTAAATCTGAAGTGGGCCTTGCATTAGACCCCACCGTGGTATAAAAATAACTTGAAGAATCAGGTAATCAAGGGGTTGATAGGTGTCACTTACCACATCGATCCAAGCCCACGACAATGGGTCATTTCTTCCGTCGCGGCTACGAGCCAAGACCACGCAGATCACCACCAAGGGCGCCAATATGCAGCAACTGAACAGGCCCCTCATAGTCCAGCTCACATGTTGGCGGCGAGGAGTATGCAGACCCCAAATACTAGGCCAAAACATGGAATATGCAACGAGGCACATGATCACCCCAAGTGCCGCAAATGCTAAATCATTCAAGCGAACGGTGGGCTCGGCAGCGGCAGGGTGCCTCGCTGCATATTGACTCCGGATCACCGGGGAGCAAAGAAAAGTCGCAGTGTAAATAGCATAGCAAGTGAACCCGAGCAGGTTAATGAAGTTGAAGTCGATCGAGACTCCCGACGTGGACTTCCGGCGCCACATTGAGATGGGTAGAGGGAAGAAGGACAAAGACCAGCTGGCCATACTGTTTCCAATTGTGAGCTCGTGAGCTCCCCTCATTTTCAGAACTCCCAGACAGGTGGACTGGAGCTCATACGACTTACTATGTCCATCCCAAAAGGCTGTGATGAATGATCAGTGATTATCCCCGCGTTTCACCCTTCCAATGTGACCACTTACCGGGACAGCGCCCGAACAAAAATCTCTAACTGTGTGCGATCCATGATTGACGGTGATACCCACGAAGGGCACACTTCTATTGTATTTGTATCTTCTAATCTTGACGTCGTACAAGCATAAGCAAGTGTTCCGGAAGCCGAGTTCAGCCGAATGTCCCCCCTCATTGATTAGGTCAGGTGACTTTATCAGATGCAACTTTAAAAGAGCAGGCGGTCAGTCTGTTCTGCCCGTTGCTCCGGTTATGCGTTGGCACCCTAAACCAAAAGCGGTAGACAGTTGACAGGGCTCACTTCGCCCGCTTGTTGTTGATCCTGTACGACCCTTGGTCATTCTCATCAATTCGGTGATTCTTGGCTGGATTTACAATTGTCAATCTTGCTTAATACTACGTCTTCCAAATTCCTGACATTGTGCGACTCCTTCCTCCCTTTCTACTTCCCTCAACACGCGCTGACCGTCGCTCACCGCTAGACATCATCATAGTGTGTTATCGTGTCCGGGGAAAGGCCCCATTCTCAGATTCCTATCGACTGCGGTTCATCGACTCAGACATTAGAGAACGCCATCATCCACGATTCCAATTTAGTTGCCAGTCCCATCGCATGGTGCATTCCTCGGATCGGGGGATCTGAATAGATCTCCTTCGGTATTTCTCCTTCGGTAACCCCGACATTCCAGACCATCGATATCGTACGGAGCATTCACAACCGCCGTCATCATGTCCGACTCGGGACTCACGGCTCCCGGGAGCAGTTCGTACTCGTCGAATACACTTCATGTTGGAGATGGCACTTGGGACACGCAGCGCGATACCTTTTTGCTGCCCAATCTGATGGGTTTGAATTTTGAAACGATGCGATACAATGGTTAGTCTACATGGTAATATGCGGTCATTTTGCTCTAGCTAACGCGCTTCAGGCATGGGCAATCGGTTTAAAGATATGGCTGGGTACCATTCCATAATAATTGCGCACGGTGTTATTGCAACAATCGTTTTCCTGGGCCTCGTGCCCATTTCGACCCTAATCATTCGATACTACTCCCGATGGAACCCATTCTGGGCATTCAAACTCCACGCGTGGTGTCAGATACTCACACTTCTCTTGTCAACAGTGGTATTTGTGCTGGGCTGGTTTGCCGTTGGCCCAAAGCGAAGCCTAACCAACCCACACCATGGAATCGGCCTAGCAATCTATGTGATGGTGATATTCCAGGTTCTCTGGGGCTGGTTTATGCATAAAAAGGAGAGCAAACGAGTTCGCCATCACGTCCCATTGAAGCTTGTGGTACGCTCCCGTCGTGAAATACCCCATGTTGTGCAAACTAATCTTTGAATTCTTTAGATTCATCGGTGGATAGGTCGAGCATTGGCCCTTCTTGGACTTGCTCAGATTCCATTGGGTCTAACGCTCTATGGCTCTCCCAAGGTGCTTTTCATTCTCTACGCGGTCGGAGTTTTTGCCCTCCTAGTGACGTACTTTGTCCTTTCTTACCTTTACGACGATGAAGGATTCCACATGGCAAGTGAACATGGCAGCAGGTACACGGGTCCTTCGGTTGTGGAAGAACACCACGGAGGAGGTGGTGGTGGTGGTGGTGGCGGACTCGGCCCTGCTCTAGCTGGTGGCGCTCTAGGCGCAGGACTAGCTTCATTGTTCAAACGACGCGGTCGCAGCCGTCACTCCAGCGAGGCATACGAAGAGTCTCGGACATCTTACTCGGATGAAAAATATTCTGACGAGTCTTCTCGCCATCACGGTGGTGGCGGGGGATGGGGAAAGAAAATTCTTGAGATTGGCGCATTGGCCGGTGCTGGTATGCTTGCGAAGAAGTGGTGGGATCGCAGACGACACCGTGAAGAAGATACCGAGGTTGGCCGTTACAGACCTGCCCATTCTCGCACCGACAGCTACACGGAAGACTCTCTTAGCAGGCTGGAAGACGGTCGACCAGAACCCGCTCGCCCGCCGGTCGCTGGGCGGCCCCCTAGCAGGCCTCAGAGTCCTGGGTCTTCATACTATTACAACAGCACATATTTGTCAGAGCAACCGGAACGCCGTCCGTCCCATGGTGTAAGAGATGCATTGCTCGGAGCTGGTGCTTTTGCGGCTGTGAAACGGCTGTTCAGTCGCAACAAAGACAAGGACGACGAGGAAAAGCGCCGGTTGGAAGATATCCGCCGTCGGGATGAGGAAGATGAGGCTCTACAAAGAGCAAACAGCAAGCGGCGACGACCCGATGCTGTTTCCGGTCCTTATCCTCAACGGCGAAGGCCAAGCCCTTACACTGAAAGTGACTTAACGCCTACTGATCTTACTCCTCGGCCACGGCCTCCGCGACTCGCATCCGAAAGCTCCATGCTCACTCCAGAGCCTATGGCAACGGGAGCTGCTCATGGTGCTCATTCTGATATTCCTCCCCTTCCTCCCATTCATCAGGAGCTGTCTGGTGACTTCCCTCCTTCCGAACGGCCTCATTCCCACCATTCCCACCACGCAGAAGAGATTGCAGCTGGTGCAGCTGCGGGTGCCGCACTGGGCGCTGCCTCTAGCCATCGCCGTAGCAGCGTTAGTCGTCGCCGAGACGATAGTCGGCATCGATCTGACCACGTCGAGTCTCCGCCGGTATCAGTCAAAGTGAAGATGCACAATGACGGCCGTCACGTTACTCTTCGTCGTCTCACCGAAGAAGAAGCTGCGGCTCAACGCGAAGCACGACGCCGTGAGCGCAGAAATTCGCGCCGTCGCGGCAGTAGTGCAGGTTCCCTCTCCGGCGACGAAGGTCGTGACTATGATCGTTGGCGTCGTGTCGAGGAGCTAGAGCGCCAACAAGCCGAGCAAATTCGACGAGAACAACAAGCTGCCGCAGCGACATCCGCTGCGCCGTCAGCAAGCGTGCCTCCCTCCTCATTCCACCCCTCTCAATCCCAAATCAGCCATATGCCACCTCCTCCACCTGTCGCACCCGCGGCGCCCCCGAGCATGCCCTATGGTCCGGGCAGTGTCACTTCCCCCGGAACATGGACCGGCACCGAAGCTAGCGGGTCATACGCTAACAATCGGCGCCGCCGGCGTGCGGAGCGAGCCCGAGCCAGGCAAGAGAGACAACAGCATGGCGTGGAATTTGAGTAAGCATGGGTTGACACCTAAGCCCTCTTTGTTACCCCATTTCAAATCCCTTCTTTTGTGTTGCTTTTCTGTGATGACCTGTACAAAACGAGTTTCTGGTTTTGTTGATATAACGGCCTCTTTCTCATACCTTTTTGATGTTCCTGTTTTTTCCCTCGATTTTTACTATGGATATGGATCGCTATGTTTGATGGCTATGGAAATGAACGACTTGGACAGGACATTTGTTTTTACTCGTTTGATGAGGCAAGCGAATCTATGGGTCTTTTGTTTCTTGTACTTCTCATTTACTGGGACATGTTGGCGAGTCTTTTGGGTCGTTGACCACAATATCATTTCCTTTTGCCCTTCTGCATTCTTATTATTTTATCGCGCTATAACGGATAATTTTAAGATTACTTGGGACCGTACTAATGTGTTATGTCCGTATTGTTGTGGACTATGGAGTCAATCTTGTCAAGTCCACCCAATCTCAAGTGTCTGCTTTGTATATCAGGCATTGCTTTTGTAGACATTGATCTTGGATATCATCAATCTTCTCGTAGTAATCATAGTTATGTCATTGATGAAGGCATGAGTATCATTATAGTACAAAAAAACTGGATAGAGCACTGCACTGCAAGAACCATGAGAAGTCAACCAAATATGCCACCATTACAAGGCAGAGGTCCCATTTCTATATCAGAGCGATGAATTGCCCGTAGGCTTCCCAGCCTGAGGAATCCACCGACTACTGCCAGCGACATCATCTTCGCGGCGATCTTTGTCCGGTTCACCATCTACTCTCTGGTCATGATGCGGCGGATGGTTGACCATTCCGGCAACTTTCCCTGACTGGGGCATGAAAGGAGTGCTTGCGCTGACGTTACTATCCCTGGAGTTCTGTCCAGGGCCTTGTTCGGCTTTTGGGGTGTCTGTAAATCTACCGTTAGCGCTGCTTGGTAGAATGAATAATGACGAAGGCTGGAATACAGGTCGCTTTGCGCTATCGACTCGATAGTCGAGTTGGTGAGGAGACTTACCGCTGCGAGAATCGCTGTTGTTTGATCGATCAGACATGATTTGAAATGTGGGACAGTAGTGTTAGGAGACAGTGTCTTTTGGTTCGTCCCATTCTCTCTACGGTATAAGCAAGAATATATATGTCTTGATACACGTACATAGTGCATCCATGACGTTGTAGTGATGTCGATCACCCCACGACCCAATCGTTCCAAATCAAACTTAATAATTCTTAGTCAAGTATCCAAAGATACTCCAGGTTTTTAGACTGTGCCAAGACTTGACACAATTATGACAGAGCTGACAGATTAGGTTTCGCGGGTACACCCGAAATCAGTACGGTGCTCTCCGCCTTGAAAGATGCAACTGCTGTTGATCAGGTACACTATCTAACGGATGAGAAGTAAGACCGATGTGGAGACACGGCCGATCTGAAGCTTTAGGCTAAGGGTTGGGTTTAGATAGGCATAGTGGCCACTGAAGTTTTTGTGGTAATTTCCATCCTGAAGAAATATCCCTGGCAAGAACGAGAATGACTTATGCTGTAATTGAGTCACTTGGATTCCCCTAATTTCTGTGCGATGTGCTTGTGGTGATGGTGATGCTGATGGATGTACCTAGAACTGATGGCGTATCCCCTGTATGTAATTCCATGAACCATCACTACAGAAGTAAAATTGTCCGGCTAATTCGCCTAAATTAATTCATGTTGGATCGAAGGCCAGTGAGGAAGACACAAGTTGGCGGATGACTACAAAGGGAGGAATCATCCAGAACAAGGGCTTGGAATTCTCCTGCCACAGGTCTTCCATCGAAGGGAATACGGCCAGTAGTCATACAACACAATCAATTCCCCTCATTGGAATACTTCAGCTACCGGTACTATCTTGAGGTCAAACGAATCAAATAACACGACAGAATATGTTGAAGCCAGAATGAATAGCATTTGGAGCTCGCCTCCACCAACCAAGATAAAGATATAACCAGCCCCTTACACATTATAGAACCCCATGATGCATCTGGCACAAACATGACAAAGGTTCACGTAAGAGGTGCTTGACAGGCTCCGGAATATAAGTCGACAACCAAACAACAGACCAGCTTGCAGTAGTAATACTCGGAACGTAATGAAACCTGCCACTCTCTCAGGTCCTCCCAGAGCCTTCTCGTGGCTCTCATGACACGAAAGAAGTCACCGGTTCAATGGTATGACGCGTTTGTGTTTTTGTGTCCAGTCCCCGAGCCACTTCCAGGGCCACTTCCTGTCCGGCGGCGGAACTTGGCCACAAAAGCAAGGAAGAATGCGATAAAAATCGACCAAAACATCTTTTCCAAGTAGAGAAGGATTGTGCCGATCCGCGTGTTACAGGCGCTGTTCAAGATCGAAAACACAGCGACAGGGAAGCGTGCAATGACGGCGGGCAAGACCATGTAATGATGGAACACCAAATGCTCGAACGATGGGCGACACCCCTCATGCTCAGTCTCCTCTTCTTCATGGTTCGAGGCGTGAAATGGGAATGGTGTGGAGGTCATTTCAACTTGGAATGCACTTCCGCCCAAACCAAGCGCTGAGTGTTGTTTGGGCTGCGGAACGCGATAAATCGAGAACGAGAGTCCCACGAGATCAGAAGACGGGTCAGTGGGTTCGCTAACCCTGGCGTCTGTTGCGTCACTTGTGACATCCATTTGATTCGAGGGGATATTGTGTTCAACAGTCTCCTGGCTTGGGTCAGTTTGACTTGCCAGATCTTCGGAACCTCCTGGTTGGCTCGATGAAGGTAAAAGAGACGACGACAGAACATCAGACTGTTGTTTCAGAGGTCGAATCTTCGGTGCCTTGGGCGGGCTACGATATGGTGAGATACGCTGGGTGAAAGTACGGTTTGAACTCTTCCACTTCTTGAAATGCTTCTGCTGGCGGTGCGTAGCAACGTAGTCAACCTTTCGCTCTACCGTAGGAACAGGATGGTCTGCAGGAGGCGAGCGCGACTTTGGAGAGGATGCGGATGGCGGAGAGAATTGTACGCAAGACATGCGTCGAGAATTTTCTTCGGGGTTCTCACTGACACCTTTGCCAGTAGTGTCCTTGACGTCTTTCGGCGGGATGATTGTGGAAGAGCGATGCTCATCGTCAGCCGAGAACCGGCGTTTCTGTGCTTTGCTCTCCGAGTTGCCGTCAAAGTATATTAGGTCTCCCTCTGGCTTGCCACCGAACCATTCGAAGTCCAAAGAGTGGATTTGCGGCGCAGAGCTGGTGCGCATGCTCTGGGTCTCAATGGGTCGACCTGAATCTTCGGGGCTTTCACAGCGGCTTATCGACGCTGGGGTATTCCGCGGGTTCACCGGTTCAGTAAACCCATCCAACGAGTGATACTTGTCCAGGGCGACGTCCAACTCTAGTCGAGGATATGGCTTGCCGATGCCTCGACCGTGAATCAATTTGTAAGACGTCTCAGATGCGAATTGGACTCGAGGGTTCATTATGGGCTCAGATGTTCCCACGTAATTGAGGGGCGTGCAGTAACGCTGCAGTAGGTCCTCAAATGCGACAATTGATGGGAATGAGGAGGTGACTGGATCATCCGCAGGAGTGTCAGACATTCTCAGGCGTGTATCGATTCTTCCCAAAGGAGTCCTCATCGACCTCATGATCGAGAGTGTCACAATGGCAGAGAGAATCCCGAGAGGAAATTCGAGTAGCAGAAAGGAAACCAAGTAGGGGAAATAGGAAGGAAGGTCAGGTGGACAGCCGCGGAAGGTGCCACCGCCGACCTTCCGATCTACCAAAGAAAAGAAAAAAAAATAACGGAAGGAGCGATCAACAAAAGAGAATTGCTGTAATTCTACATGGTCAAGGTAGGGGGCAAACGATCAAGTGGTTATGTACATCTATTTGACATGGGCCTGCAGGGTCTCCAGAACCTATTCGAACGCAAGTTAGTCGGCGGTTCAAGTTCGGGTGGAAATTGGATTAGTATCATACCTCAAGCTCAATCTTGGCCTCGGCAATATCCTGCTCGCTGCCGCTGCCGCTGGCGATCTTCTGAGCCTCAGCGATTTGGGCGCGGATAGCCTGTACCGAAGGGGGTTAGATCCATATCAATCCGCAGTTGTCGTAAAGGCTGATCGGAACATACCTCGGCGCTGAAGTCTTCCAGGGGGTAACCCTCAACAGCGTTGATGCTCAGCTGGGAGTCGGGCTGGACGACGGCGAAACCGCCAGACACTGTCAACGGGAAGCGATTGTTAGCTGCATCATTCCATTGCATCTTCATTCGGTCGGCCGGAGGTAGGTCTGACGTACGGAAGTACTGCTTGGTGGCGCCACCCTCCTCAACAATCTCAACGAGACCGGGCTTCAGCTGCTCAATGGAGGGAACGTGGTTGGCGAGGACACCCATCTCACCGGAGGCGGCGGGGATGTTGACCTGGGTACTGTAGTCGCGGAAGGTTGGTCAGTCATTTTTTCAGGGAGCGGCGAAGGCGGACGCGACAGGGAGGGAAACGCACACGCCGGTGGAGCGGTAGATGGTCTATGAGAAATCAAAACAGTTAGTCTCGGAGCCATAAAGCTATAGGGATGTTGATCCCGAGATCGATTCATCGCACCTGGTGAGGCAGAGTCAGGGACAGCTTGATCTTGTCGTTGACGGCCTCGGCATATCCACGGCGCTGGACGGGAGCGCTGAAGAGGGAGGGACGGGCCCTCAGGGCAGAGCGAGCGAAGCGGAAGGGGTTCATTTTGCAATGGTTGGGGGAATGCAAAGACCGGTCGTATCCCTCTTGAAAGTTGCGTTGCAAAGGTCGAAGTCGGAGCGCCGGTTGTTCCCTAGCGGCTCAGGTCACGTGGCTGGGACCATCCGGCATCAACAACTGCGGGCATACATAGTGAAGTGAAGCAAGGAGAGAATAGCACAATTAGTGCAATCAATGGGGGAAGAGCTAACTCTCAAGAGACTCGGCCAGATCTTTCGATGCTCTGTGTCTTAGCCTATTTCCTTGGGGAGAAATACGAAAAGCTAAGATGTTGAACAACTTGAACTCTACGGGTTGTTATTTGGATTCCAATTGCTGTATTGGACGAAAATGAAGGATTTGTTTTATCGTGATTCATCTCTTCGGGTTGCATTTCCATCTTCTCCTAGAGTAGATATTAACATGGTTGTCAGTTGATGCCCATTGAGATGGATGGATACACTAGTGAGGTCACGTGGCGCATTTGCTAATTTCAAGATCACGTGATAGATCGAAGTTTCAGGGTCACCACCAACACAGAACAAAAGCATGAGGAATACGAGTGTACTATGAATCATACAGATTGGTTGCAAAGGTAATTATTGTCATGGCCATCCATCTATAACACTGAGTAGAGCCATCATAATCAGGCACTTGTCTCCATCGGAACAGCTAACGTACGGGGGAAATGAGGTCCGTGCACGACTCCCGCGGCGGTAAGCGAGATCCCACACAAACGGGAAAAAGCCCTAGCCGAACCCATCCACTTGGGCTCGACTCCGACAGCACTCCTCCCTTTTCACCATCCCGTCCACGTTAATCGACAACACCCGTCAAGATGGCCAGTACGTCTTCCAAATCGATCGGCGCCTTTCTCAGCGGGCGCCGAATCTTTCGAAATTCATTTCCGCCCGACCACTGACATTCTGTGCGCTTTACAGAGTCCAAGAACGCCTCCCAGCACCACCGCAGCCAGAAGGCTCACCGTAACGGGTGCGTATTCCCTCACATCGCCATACCCAATTCCTGAAGCGTCACTATTTACCCACCGACTCGATTGCGATACTGCCTGAGAAAGAGAGCCCGAAGCAGGCAAGCTGGAATGGGATACGGATGTGACAAGCCGGACAGCTTAAGAACCTCTTTTCAACTTTGGCCATGGCTTTGGCTCTCTTTCTCAATTTCCTTGCGCCCACGAATCACCACCACCACCACGAGCAAAACAGAGACCAGCGCTGACATCGATTCCCTCATACAGTATCAAGAAGCCCAAGACCAACCGTTACCCCTCCCTCAAGGGTGTTGACCCCAAGTTCCGCCGCAACCACCGTCACGCTCTGCACGGCACCGCCAAGGCCCTGGTACGTTGATGTCCACCACCGCCATCACCAACATCTATCCATTCTCACCAACCACACGAACCCCCCTCGGCGATGGAAACTAACAAATGAAACAGAAGGAGCGCAAGGAGGGCAAGCGTGAGGTCGCATAAACGTGGACGGAATCGAAAAGAAAATTCATGGGAGGAGGAAAACTTGAGCGCGCAAGGAGCCGGAGAACATAAACGTTATGTGCGATGAACCAAGATCAGACAGTCCCGCTGTCCTAGTCGAATAGGCCTGGTTTCTGCTTATTCCTTGCGCGGTATATCCATCTGGGGTTGTTTGATACACAGAAATCAACAGGCTTAATTCGATATCCACGCAATCGTGTCGATCTCATATGGGAAAGACACGTTTCCCCTCCGTTTTGTGTTTTGCATTTGCACTTTTCGGTGGAGCGTGCAACTGCTCTTCTTTGCATTGCACTATCTTGCCCATGCACCGTCCTCGAACATTCATTTCGAGCTTCCCTTTTCCCCTCTGATCTTTCGATCTACCCGGCATATGTGTGTACAGCAACGTGCTCTTTTTATGCGCGCCTGCTGAAGGATTTTTTCAACGTGCCAAGAACAAACCCTGCCCTCTTCATATATCTACTGCTCTCTCGCTTTTCAATGGCGAGCGAGTTGATCGATGGAGGACAACATCCCTGTAAAGAGTAACATTCTTGAACTTGATTTCCAGACGGCGAGTAATACAAGCTGACAACGGTATATCATTTTGCCATAAGATCGAATATTATACTTTCCAAACAATCAACCGTTTATCAAAACCACCACTAATCACCCATTCCTCCTTGGCATCATCCCCCTGGTTGGGTACAGCAACGTAGCCAGCCCAAATAGTTCGCACTTTACTCCCAGGTTCATGACCACCCTTCAACGAGGCAACAACCTTACCAGTTTTCAGCTCGATACCTCTCACCACACCGTCATCCCCATTCACCCAGACGCCCGATCCGTCGGGTCGCCAAGCTACCTGCGGCGTCGAGTAAGACGTTTGAGGAGCAAATGTATTCGCCTGTATCAAGATCGCGGCATCTTCCCGATTTTGCAGCGCCAGAGCCTCGAGGGCCTGTGAAGCTTGCGTCACGGGTGCATCTTGTACCGATGGGATCGATCCATCGGAGGAAGTCGCTGATGGGAAAAGCAGGCGCACAATGATCACCTTCATATGGGGTTCTGAGGAGGTCGCCACTGCAAGTAGCCCCGGATCAAGAGGGCTAAGTGCCATGTGAGATGGTGAGAAAGCTACCCACGCATTAGAGTGTGGTGCCAGGTTCTGCTGTCCAAGGAGACGGCATTCAGGTGGTGAGATATCGGCATTGTGGCTTTCCGTCCGTTGTGTGCCATTTTGAAGGCCTGTCTCAACCTGGTAATAGTAGATGTAGCTCGAGTCGCGGCGCGAGACAAGAAGTAGCAGCTCGCCTGTATCAACGTGGCGCACGAACAAGAGAGACTCCGGGTTTGTTGTCAATTTGATGCGGGCCACAGGGTCGCCAATGACAGGTGTTGGAGGAGCCTGGTCCCCAATTTCAATCGAGACCCGGTACAAGAAGACAGTCGCGTCCCAACCCGCGGTGGCAACCCAGAGGGCCTTCACAGAGCCCATGTCGTCTAGTTCCTCATTCGCAATGACCTTGACGGCGTACTTTGCGTGGTCTTTTCGGCTTTGCAAGGCTTCCGAGCCGCGTTGGAGAAGCAGGTGTCCAGACATATTGGTCATTAGAACGTATCGGCCTTGAAGGATCGACACAAATGAAAGTATAGGTGAGTCTGATAGGCCGGAGAATGAAGTAATCGCCTTGTTTCCGGGAATTGTCTCAAGCAGATGCATCTGTCTATCGGCGCCCGTGGACACTATGAGCGGTCTTGTTGACGTCGCGAGGTCAGAGTCAATATCGCCTCCATCGAGGCAGGGCCTTTGCCAATACTCCACTGATGCAGCCAGTAGATTTGAAGACGTTGGAGTAGAAATAACAGTCGGCTTAGATGGTGCTAATTCTATGTCAGCATTATTCTACTCACACACGGGCAAGGTTCTTCACGACGAAAGCGCGCCTAGTGACAACGATGACCCTACCTGGCAGTCCCCATGATGATATCGCTCTACTCTCATTTCCAAGTCTTTCAAGATTGGTACTGTGGTCATACGCCTGCTTCTCCTCCAGCAAACTTTGGATCGTCAAATTGTGAGTGTCGTCACCAGAGACCTGCCCCACGTCCGGAGCAAGGCCCGCCTCGCGGATAAAAGCCTGCAGAGTTTCGGTGTAGGCATTTGTCCGTAGAAATCGGGCGACTATAGCACTTGCTAGTACGTCTATTTGGGCGGATGGTGCCATGGTTGGTGTGTTGGGGGAGCTTTAGCTAGCTCACAGATGCAAGAGGTACGTGGTGTGGTGTGGCGCCAAATTAAATTGCGGCACTGTGGTGGGCGGCGCTTCCCATAGACGTTTGATGAACCCTGCGACTTGACAATGAGGCAGACTTGAGGTGAATTACAATCAAATTGAGATATCTCAGAGAGGTTTCGCTGTATAGAATAATTGATGTGAATTGTAAAAGAGCAGAGTCTGTTGGTATGCGATTTCCACCCGAAAATACCCATCATAACGCCGTTTCGACATGCTATCCCTCTGCTTAAAATTAAAGAAAAAATAAAGTAAAACTATCGAAAATTGGCACTGTCATCAATGTTTTTGCTCAGCCGAATAAATCCTCCGCGCGCTGGCGACGACCCCCGCGTCCCTCGAGTTTCTCGGTAAACAGCTCCTTTCCAGCATTGTCTTTGAATTTGTCCGGAAACAGTTCGCGAACAGATGATCCCCGGCCTTTGATCGACATGCCGCGCCCCGCGTTACGCATGGCAAATCCTTGGTCCTCCGTACGGGAGATATTCCCTGGTGTCGAGTCGGGGAAGAGCTCCACGTTGCGTTTTCGTTGATCGGAGGTGTTGCCATCAACCATTGGTACAGAGATTCTTCGTCCCAGGAGATCGGGCGTCTCATCTGCGGCGTCAAAGGCATCTGACCGACGATGGTTGCTGGGCTTGCTGGGAAACAGCTCTTTCTTTAGGTAGCTGGAGGAAGGCTTGTTGGGGAACAATTCACGAGCACCCGAGTCGGTAGACGAGAGGAGCTCTTTGCCCTGGTTTCGACGACGGTCTTGTGGGGAGCGCTCCCGGAATTTCTTGCGAGTATCGACATGGTCTGCATCGTCAAGTGTGTCTCGGCCAGGGGAGGCACTTCGGTTACGAAGTCGCCCAGACGAGCGCTCGTCCTCCGGGAACAATTCTCTGCGTCCACGCTGCCTTCGGTCCCCTCCACGGCCACGTCCGGATTCGGAGTGGTCGCCCTGGGGCTGATCGTCGTACATGTTGGCATCAAATTGGTCATCATGGTCACGGTCCCTACGCCGGCGCAGTTCGCGATCGTCGAAGCGACGTCGCCGGTAGTCGCCATCGCTCGAATCATCATCTCGTCGTCGGTCAGATATCTCCTGGCGCAGTCGTTCACGGGGGTCGTGTTCAGGGTGCATAAGGTAGAAGCGACTCTTCTCGTGGGCACGCGGCTGCTTCTTGTCTGTCTTGATTGCGGATCGTACTTGCAGGACGGAGTCGGGGTGTGATGAGAGAAGCTTAGCCGACCGTAGGCGTAGCGGTGGCAGGGTGGACGCGCCGTCACCCTCTTCCTCGCTGACCTGGGTCAATGCTGTGAGAGCTTGGAGGCCGACCTCGGCAGAAGAGTAGACAATGTTGGCAGATGTGTCGTCAATCCATTCTACGCGGGTGGGTGGCTCATTCGTGAAATGTGTACTAGCGAATTGCTTGATGTCGTCGGTGGTCATTTCGTCGACCCCGCGAACGTGGACTTTTTCAAACACCGCGTCTTCGGCGAGAGGATCGACCAGGTCTTCTTGCGTTGTCGCGTCCTGTTGAGAGACGATAACATGTTCAATCAGCAATTGCGCCACACTAGAAGCAAGCAGATCATTGTCGCTTAACAACTCACGGTAATAATGGGCTGGGGTGGCTGCTCGAGCTCCGGCTCCGGACCCAGGTCGAGGTCCATATCGATGTCCATGATGGCGTCTGTGGTGGGGATTCCGGTCCCGTTCGACCTCACTAGTGCACAATCTCTGAAGGAGTATAGGATTGAATGTCGAGTAGAGAGTGGCGATGGTAGAAGGTGAAGATCAACTGAGAAGAGCCATGAGTGGTAGTTAGAAAAGGCCGGCAAGAGCCTCCCGCGTGTTACCCTCTTCGGGCTTAGCGCGTGTGGGGGACGAACCAGTCTCAATGTTCATTAATCTGTGCTAACCTGCTAATAAACATGCAAGCTGAAATAAATTACCCTAGGTTTTCACAAGATTCGTAACTCAACTGAGACTAAGATGGTAACGTTTATCAAACTGATCACATTTACAGCTCTTGTGGTCAATGGGTTCTCCTAGGACATAACCACCAGATGCTGACCCCGAACGGCCAGTAGATGGGCAGCGCCGGTATGGTATCGGTAGGCTACTGCGACAAGCTTCCGTGGCCTTAACTTTTCCTTGCGGGCTGGAATATTTTCACATATAGCGGACCGAGTAGCCATTTTTCTGCCGTTTTTGACTCCTGGAGCATGAACCGTATCGGTCACAAAAGGGTCTCAAATACTCTTTAAGATTATTTGGCATCGACATAACTTGATCCAGATGGTCATCTGTGAGCACAAGAGTAATCTCCGTTCCCAGGTCCTACTCCTTTTCCTTTTCCTTCTCTTTCTTTTCATCATAGCGTGCAAGAGTGACCGTAGTCTGGAATGCTGAGTGCTCATGAGCAGTAATCTTAGGACATTATATGCGATAGATAGAAGTTTACCACTTCGAACTTCATGCCCATTACGATCCAGATTCTCACGTGCTTGTGATGTGTTGATATACTCCTTTGTGACGAAGAAAACCCCAATATTTAGACCTCAATTTTGGGAGTTAAGTCGTCGCAGTGGATAAAATAAAGTAAATCCGACGGTTAAGTGACAATCCTGTGTCATAAATAGAGCAATCCCGAGTTTTACACCTAATATAACATGATGAATTGAGAGATATCAACCACCCAGTGCGCCGCATCTCAAAGGTAGATGCTGATGGTATTTGCAGTAATCACAATTTTTGAATCACCCAAGCGGGTGGAAGCAACGGTATACACTTGGCTCTGGGTGTGAGGCATCTTATTAAGAGTCCGGTATGGTCGATGCACACGGAAATTGGACAAAAAAGCAACAGGCTTTAATCATCAATCTCTCTGGATTGTAAACCCTTACGAGACGGGTGAGCAGACTAGTGCCGAATTGGCCACACTGGGCACGATTTAGACAGCAATACAGGCACGGACGCAATTCATGGGCCAATTCTGATATAGCAGGTCGGGAATTTGCAACAAGTCTGTGTTTATCGGTGTATCCGCGGGCAATTTCAAATACAGAAGCTCGCTCAGCAAGTCATAAACCAACGTGATCATACACACCTGTCTTCTGATTGAAGGAAGCCTGGAACTTCGTTGTATGGAAGCCTTTGGCACATATGCGCCGCTACGCTAGAGGTTCTTAGGAAGTTGCTGGAGAGTGCACCTACTCTGGGGTACTGCGTCATATCAGGGCTGAATCTTCTGGAGAACAACGCGCCGGATATATGCCAGGATCTGTGAACCTCCTTTCACCACGTGGAGAACTGTAGCTCATTTTTTCGGAATATGTTCACGACTTCTGGACGCTCTACGGGCCAGAGTAGTACCAGATAATATACTCGAAACCAATGGATCCGTTCACCAGATAAGAGGTAATAGGTTGTATGGTCATGTGAATATCTTTGGTCGGCTAGGAAAGCTTCATCTTTAGCCTTTAAGTATCTAAAAGTATTGGTTTCTCGCAAGAAGAAGAAAAGAATTCAAGACTATATTAAGGAAGGTGCCTCGTGCCAACCTGTTGGTTCAAAGCTGTCATTTCCTGAAGACGTTTCATAGAAGCGACGGCAGCCCAGACAGGAAAGCGCACCTGCCAGACATTATCCTGTCTATAAATCAGCACATAGAGTAACGCGAAAGCTTCGAGTATGAAGAGAGATCTCTAAAATTGGCGCAGGGTCACTGTAGCACTCCATACGACCCACTCTCCATTGACATTCATTCCTATGAAGCCCATATCTTTCTTGCATTATCAACTATAATCCGACCATCTTCTTGATAGTCTTATTGCATCATAAATTCAGCCTTGCTGAATTAAACAGAACCTAGATCGAACAGAGCCTCATGTCGCTGGGGCTTGACTCAAAAAGCTCATGTGAATTAACGCGACGGTATTACCAATTCACCGAGACTGGACGATATTCTTCTAGTCTAGATATTCTACTCATCGCGGTATGATATCACCGCCGTGTGGTTTAGCCTGATCTACCCCGAATATCAACGTTCGCGATCGTCAACTACACATCAAATAAACACGGAGCGAATGCCGGATCATTTTGGGAAAATCTGCAGTGCCCACCCCGCAGGAGAACTGCCATGTCAGGAAGACCGTTGGAACTCCCGGGTCTCTCTTTCGGAGAAATTTGAGCAATGTGGATTGACCGGTCCACGATTGTCCAGGCTCCAGCCTCGCAATGGAGAGGGGTGGTCATTTAAGTGTCATTGGACCACAGCCACGGCATTGTGATCTGGACTAGAATACGCCACATCGTCACCCTTGAACCCCTCATCAACAAACGATACACACTCAGGCTTTTCAGATCCAAAATTCCAGATCGATTGATAGATACGGCTGACAAAATGCTGTACGCTGAGAACGACAAGCTTATCTTCCGATTCGACGACCATCTCCTCTGGATCCAACCATGGGGTGAAAATGCATTCCGTGTGCGAGCTACCAAGCTCGCTACCATGCCCACCGAGGACTGGGCTCTTGAATCAAGGCCAGACAGCTCTTCGATTGCAATCGAGACACCCGCTGGGGAAGATGCAAGCATCTGTAATGGCAAAATCCGGGCGACGGTCTCCCAGCGAGGCAAGGTGATCATCTACGATCACAAGGGCACAAAGCTCCTCGAAGAATATGCCCGACACCGACAAGACCCTCGCGATCCCAAATGCAGTGCTCTTTTGATCGAAGCACGCGAGCTGCGACCTATCCTCGGCGGTGATTATCATCTCAAGCTACGCTTTGAGTCGCTCGATCCCAAGGAAAAGATCTTTGGAATGGGCCAATATCAGCAGCCGTATCTCAATCTCAAAGGGGCGGATTTGGAGCTTGCGCATCGGAACTCGCAGGCTAGCGTGCCTTTTGCAGTGTCCTCGCGCGGTTATGGG